TTTGGCAGCGCGTTAGATCGGCCGCTATGGTGAACATCTCTCTGTCCTTGTCCGGATCGGGTTCCTCCTACACTTCCTGCAACTGGTCAAGATTCCAACCCTCGCCGAAGGCTCACGTTGACGGGAGACGGTGAGAGCTCGAGCGATTCTCCTCGTGGATTTGGTTTTTGTGACGTGCCGAGGGTGTCAGTCGATCGGACATCAGACCCCCAGGAACAGCGGAATAACTGCAACAGTTCCCATACTCTGTAGTGTACAGTGCACGGAACTCAGTTGGAGGAAGCATGACCAATGCAGGCTGCAGACTGCAGACCATTGTTGAATTCCGACTGGCCATGACGCCACAGGCTCGTGTTGAGCCCTCATGGCCCAAAGACCACAGCCGGAAGAAGGAAAAAGAGCTAGAAAGGATAAATAAACTTTGCCAGAGTTCTGTCGGAGTGGAGGTTATTATTAGTGATTGATTGGTTTGCTAAATCCCATGACATTTCGACAGCAGTACCAGACAGACAGGGAATTTCATCCTGTGAGAACTGAGAAGTCATGTCATGATGCTAGACTGGGTTTTCTGTGGGTGTGATCTTGTCCTCTCGGTTCAATAATAGTATGCTATGATCACAACCTCAATTGAGGATTATTAGTGGGGAAGGACCAGGAGATGAGGACGAAAAAAAAAAAAAAAAAAAAAAAACATGGATAGACTTCGAACCACCAGCCATCAACCATTACCAAGTACTCCGTAACTAGGTAAAGTTCCGCAGTTCCAACTCCGACTGGCGACGGCAAAGCGCAGAGCTGTCAACTTCCACGAGGTTAATATCAACAGTTGAGATGACATCCCGCTTTGTCAAGGCTTCCTCGAGCCTAGTGAGTAGTGAGTAGTTGAGTATCTACTCCGTACTCCGTAGTCACTACTCCATAGTTAGATAGTTTCTCCCGTCTGCCATGCGCTTTTTTATCTCACGCAGTCAAGCTATTTAAGCCCAAGAGCACACCCAATCAGAACCCTCCCCGTTGAGGAGACCACCGAATGGATAATATCAGGGCAGGTGATCATTATAATAATCATGGATGCCTTGATTGCAAGATTTGAGACAGAGATGCAACTGTGGAGACTGGAAGCGGTGCTAATTATACAATGACTGCTTTTTATCTTGTTTTTGTAGGGGTCAAACCCCGGTGCAAAGAACGGTCTTCTTCCGTGGTTCGAACCCATCCCAAGAGATCCTCTCTTGCTCTGTTCTCTAGTCTCTCTAACTACGGAGTACGGACTGTCTATAGTTTTGAGGATCTTGGTCACAGCTGTCCGGCACGGGCGATGATTGGAGTGAATTCATATTTCATGGACTCCCGGTGCAGACGCAGTAGTGGGCCGCCTTAAAACCACGAGGTGCCAGTTAAGTTAACTGGAGCCCATCCGAGTTCTCCCTCCCCCCTTTCCCCCCCCCCCCCCAAGAGGCGGTGCAGACGCAGTCACCGATACTACCCTAAGTCCTTTGGTCCTTATCCCTTAGGGCAGATGATATGTTGATATGGAGCTTTCCTGACGATTCAGGCAGAACTTTTTTTTTTTTTTGGTTTCCCTTGTGTATTCGAAGTTACTCCTGGTACGGAATCCCGAACTTTGCTAGCCTTGTAGGGTTAAAGTAAAAAGAAAAGCAAAAAAACAAAAAAAAAAAAACTCGAAAAGGCGAAAACCCCACTGGCATCATCGACTGAGCTTACTACGTAGAAGTCTTGAGCAGCCCATTCAGTCAGTCATCATCATCCCAGAGATAGGCAATATTGATCCCCTGATCTCGACGGACTACTTTATCTGGTACCTTCCTTGGGAATTCAATTGCTCGTTATATTCCCCTTGTTGACTATGATTATACCTTACTACTTCCTACTTACTACTTTCTAAACTACAGGTCGAAACTTGGATAGTCCCAAGGATACCAAGTAACTAAGTACCAGCCGCCTAGCAACCTCCTACTCCCTTCCTTCGTGCATCCTCCGGCGTTCTGCAGCCATCTTGGAGGACCCCATGCTTCATGGGATCCACTTCCTTACTTGAGGCGGCGGCGTGGACCGCTTGAACGGTGGCTTTTCCCATATTTAACTAGTCACAACTTTGAATTTACAAGGTTGCTAACTTGCTGGGCTGGGGGGTGGCGCACTTTGTCTGTGACGCTGTCCCAGACTGCTCCCTGGCCGATAGGAATCATAGGGTAGGGTACTCTTTTCCATGATACCTTCGTCCTTACTCCCTGTGACTAGCTCCCAGTCTCCCAGTCTCCATCGTAACGGGGGCGGTAACTAAAATCGAAGGGGAAACCATTGTGACTGAATTGACCTGCGAAACATCAAGTTAGATTTATCATGCTTATCTAACTATCTACATATGTAGAATTGTTGATACCACCTACGCCGTAACTATTCCGGAGTAGATATCTACAGAGTAGTCGTCTTTACTCCGCCTAAATAATCAGTTCCCCTTTTGCCCTATAATACTGATATTATTAATATGACTCGGACTCTAGTTGTATTATTTATTCCTCGACCTCCAGTCACTGCGAAGAAGCTCAAGCTAACTAACTCCCTTTTCAGAAAGGGAACACCTCCACTCATCCCCCTCTCTTCATAAAAAAATTAAAAAAAAAATACAATAAAAAAAATAAAAATAAAAAAAAAACTCCTCGTTCTGCTTCTGTACGGAGTATGGTTCTCTGGAACCAGCGGACACTCCGGAGTTCGGGTTCCCAGGGAGCACGGTACAACTCCCACAGGCTAACAGTCTAAGCACTGCCTATGCTCGATTTGTTGGTATTATTATGAGCTTTCCATATTTTGGTTGCTGCTGTTGTTAGTATCTCCTACCTAGGGTAATCATCCAAAAATAATAACAATCCTAATCATATCATAATCATAATCATAATACCGCTGAATAGCATCCAGCAGTCCAGGGATTCAAGGAGCCAGAAGTGACCTGATGGGCCAACCAGCCATTTCCTCCCAGGAGATGAGAGATACATGCACCATGAACACCCTCTAACCTAGGTACCTAGTACCTACCTATGTACATCTACTCCGTAAATACACAACTTTCTCTCCATCTCTCGCCCTTGGGGTATTGATGATTGGCTTGAATGGATCATCGGGAGCCAAACAGACTGCTGACAAGGATGAGATCGAACTTTCTTTCTGTGATGATTTTGATGGAGTTCTAACCATTTACCATTCCCATAGTCGAGAATACTTTTTTTTTTTTTTTTTTTTTGAAACTATAACCTGCTTGCTAAGGTACTGGAGCCAAAGACCCTGGGGCCATGGGTGTCATCGTGGTGATTTGATTTCTCACAGAGAGTTAGTTAGTTAGTGATTCCTAACGGACTGCTAGCTAGGTAACTCCCTAAGGCCCATATTGCTAAGGTCTGACTTACTCTTACTCGCTAAGAAATTTGCTCGATACTAGGTAACGTCTAACTACTACTAACTATCTGCTCCGTCCCTATCCACACTTTTGAAGCATCCATCTTCCATACTTTGTAATACATAGGAGTAGTAGCATCTAGTACTATCCAGTAGCCTTAGAAATGTCAGGGCTGGTTCTATCTAAACCGACTCGAGGGAAATTTCTAAAAGATAAAATTAAAATAGATAAAAAAAAAAAAAGATCTACTCCGTAGTAGTAAGTAGACTTGATCCTCAGGAGCAGCACTCAGGATGAACCAGATAAAAAAAGCTACTCACTCCCCCCAATCGACTCTGTAATAAGAGATCTGGATACTATAATAAAACAAAAAATATTCACAGACTATCAAGTACCCTATCTACTCACTCCTAGGACTCTAGGAGTAGACCGGTGCGTTGTGCATCCCCCGCCACACTAAACACAGTCAGTCAGTCAGTCCATTCCATCGTATCCTAACTATCCATCAGGCCCTCCTCTAACTAACCTAACCAACTAACTACTGACCTGACTACTGACACTCTGACCACCACAGCCTCGGTCTTAAAATAAAATAAGGAAAATAATCATCATATATATCGTCTCTCGTCATCTTATCCTCACCTTCTTCGCCTCTTCTTCTCTCTTCTCGAATCTTAATTTCTCTTTCCCCCTTCGAGAAAATCAACTTGTGATGGCATCTTAAGGACTCTTTCGGATCCTATTTCTTTCGCTTATTTACATTCGCTCGCCATCCAATTCGCCCTTACACTCGCTTGTTATTGGGAATCACAACGCCATCACCACATTCGCTACGTTTGTTGGCTGAAGAAGGAAAAGAAGAAGTTATTTGGTGGATCGATTTTACTCGAATATACCCTAATAATATTTAATCGCATCGTTCGCGCATCTCCCATCTCGTCCGACCTCCCCCCCCCGGATAGTAACGACCAAAACCAAAACCCTCGCGTGGTGAACTACGAAAGAGGATTCACCATCGAACAAGCCAAATATTGACCCGGACATTGTGATCATCACCTCGGTTATCGATCGAAATCAAAATTCTTCAATTCCCCTGCGTTTGTTCCGGTCTCGATCTCCCTCCAGTGACTCTACTCCAACAATCCCCGCGAAGCCGTTTGTTCTTCCCCCCCCCTCCAGCGGGAGGTGCACCGTGAGATCATCTTTTATTGCTTCTCTCCTCTCCTCATTTTGAATAGCATCCCCCCCTTCTCGGCTTCGTCCTGCGTCTGTATTCAATATCAAAGTGGACCTCCCCTCTCTCTCAGGTCGTCCAATTTCCCATCCGCAGCAACTCGTTCAGGAGGTGGTGAACAGTGCGATTCTGGATCCTCCTCGTTTGGGACAATTGTCTCGGTTGAAAGCACCACTTCCTTCCGGACTAGCAGTGATTATCTCAAACCTGAACCTCTCCGGGGAATCAGAAGTATTGGGATTGACCGGAACCCTTCCCAGTAATTTCTCAAGGTTCGTGCTTCTGCTCCCTCTTTCGCCACTATCTTGCCGGGTGCCTTGCATCAGTGCATCAGTGCATCAGTCCCCTTTCATGTCTCCTCGCCTTCTCTCGCTCTTTGCCCCCTCCCTCCTCCTCAACTCCTTGCGTCTTCCAGGTCGTGCTGCTGGTGCACAAGGCAATTAGGAAATTTAGGCTTCATGTGGAACGAGGAGCATGCGCTTGTCATAATTTCCCCCCTCCCCGTGGGTGTTTGTTGTTGACTCTTGTTATGGCGTAGGTTCCAATTTCGTCAGGCGTTTTAGGACCCTTGGATTTTGCATATTAGCTGTCCCGCGGCCTCAGCTGGGTCCTGATTAGAACTCTTGTTCTTTCTTTCACTCGGTAAGTCCTACTAGTCCATGCAGAAAGCCGGTCCTCCCAAGCAGAAAAAAAGAAAAAAGAAAAAGAAGAGGTCTAAGAGGTTCGTGCTCATCAATTGAATAGTTCGTGGCCCGACTGCATCCAACTCCCTCTTGTGCTCAGTGATCTCGGAAAGCTCTGAGACCTTCTCCTTTGCTGGAAGCAAGATAGACGGCCCTGAAAGAAACGAAAAGGGAAAAAAAAAAGAAAAAGAAAAAAGCCGTCTCCAGTCCGTCTGTTCTGTTTGACGGAAGATCCGCTCGCCTCTCTGAGACCCGTCTGCCCCTGACGGATATCATCCATTGTCCTATCGGGATCGACCTGACTGTGGGCTGTCATATCTCGTCTCTCAAATGCCCCTGGAGCTTCTATAGGCTGCTTCGGACGAGTTGTTCATTTATTTTCTTGTTTTCTGCTTCGGTAACGTGGCTTGCCTTTGACCATCAATCTGCAGCCAACCTTCACTGGTTTCAGCCGTCAGCGTTGGATACTGGTCATTGATTCGAAGCTGTTTCGTCGCGCCTCTTCTTCTTGGGACTGACAGCCGCTTCGTATCGTCACTCGTTTTGTCTCGGAAAGCTCCCTGAGAGACTTTCCGATATCCTATCGTTTTCTCAGGATATATTGCCTGCCATTCGCTTCTTTAGGCTGTCGTGGTTCGTTGCAGTTGCTGCAACACCTTCAAACTGGCTTACTCGAAGACACACGGTATCTTGGTATGTTGGACTTCTGAACTCCTGTTTCGCTCTTTGCTGCCCAACTGTTACTTCCTCCTCTTTTGTGGTCTCCCTCTAGTTGTTCTTATTTGATCCCCATTGTTTCTTATGATCCGTCGGTTTCTCAATCTTGATTCAATTCTTGTTTTCGCCGCATCCATCGCACCCTTCGACTCTTCTCTCTGTCTCCCGCGATTCCTCTTGCTGACACTTGCATCGTTCACGTCCAGTTCGATCCCGATTTTCAAACGCCCTTGATTCTAGACGAGTCGCTGGACTTCTCGGATCCTGAAGAGTCGCGATTTGCCGGCGTGTTCTCAGACGGCCTCCTGGCCAAGTCTGACCCTATCCTGTCCATGTCGACTTTTCAAAAACCCCCGACAGCGACCCTGCTAGGTGTGTGACATTTCCCCTTCCGTCTTCCTTTTCAGTCTCTAGAACAAGTACTATGGGATACTGGGAGGAGAACAGCGAGGGCTAACTCCCGCAGATTATGAGTCTACGCGGTCTCTGCACGATGGCCCTTCCTACTCCAATTATGGACAGAATACTTATGTGACAAATACTCCGCTCGTCCCCTCTCCTATGGCAGATCAAGCCAGTCAAATCTCGGACTGCGGCCCCTATCTGCCGAATCAAGAGTACGCCAGCTCGTATGAAGAAGGCCGGTCACCCATGATGAGTGGAGAACCCCGTCAATTGCCGGAAGTCATCTCATATACTCCCCAAAGAGGATCGGAAGGTACCAGAGTATTTGTCCAAATTCAATCGACGCACGACCTCCACTCATCTGCATATACAACCCTCCATCTCGTCTTCGGCTCGAAGAAGTGCGAGTGCACCCCGCACTTCCTGGGCTTGCAGGGCCCATCCTTCCAATATGCTCTTTCTGCCGACACTCCTCCCTTCCTCTCCACGGGATCCCCGTCATTTGCTGTGCCCCTGCAGATTACGATCGAAAGTACTCACAGCGGCGGCCCCGCTACTACTACCTTGCAAGTCGGCGTCTATACCTATGAGCATGCTTCACAGCACTCCCCCACGGATGAAACGCGCAAGAGGAGGGTCCCCTCTTTCTCCAAGGACGCTGCGTACCGGCCAATCAAACGGGCACCTGCTGCCCCAGCGCATACCTCTTATGAAGATGGCCGATCGACCTCCTACTCCCCGTACCTGCAGCCGCTCCCCGCCATGAGCGGCTATATGCCTCCATACCATCATCCCACTTCGTCGCCCCGAGTTGCCTCTTCGCAATATTCCGCTGTTTCAACACCGCACTCCTCCATTCGAGCACCATCTCCGCTCACCCCCTCGTGGACCCCCTCCCTCGTCAATGTCAGCAGTGATGCAAGAAATCCGAACTACGCCATCGCTCACGGCTACCGCCAGCATAAATCATCCTCGCCAGCACGGCCTGCGAATCCAACCCTGATTCGGACGTCGACCTTGCAACAGGCGAATGGTCTGGGCCATGCCCAATCCTTCAACCCTTACGCCATGTATCCATCCAAAGCGGTCTTGAAACTGAACGGCGACCTAGACACCATGACGGAGAAGTGGACACCGGAGGAGCGCGAAACCAAGCGGCGACTAGTCCAGTTCAACCGTATACAGAACGGCAGCACGATCCACGCCGACTTTAAGCCCGTCGCTCCGGAGGAACGCGGACCCAACAGTATCTGCATCAGCTGCATCTACTGGGAAGGCAAAGACGAGTGCTTTGTCACCAGCGTCGATACTATTTACCTGCTCGAATCTCTCGTCGGGGTTCGCTTCACTGTTGAGGAGAAGAACCGCATCCGCCGAAACCTGGAGGGCTTCCGACCCCTGACTGTCTCGAAGGCCAAAGCCGACAGTGAAGATTTCTTCAAGGTCATTATGGGCTTCCCTGCGCCCAAGCCTCGAAATATCGAGAAGGATGTCAAAGTGTTCCCTTGGAAGATCCTCAGCCATGCGCTGAAGAAGATCATTGGGAAATATGTAAGTTGAAATATTCAGAAAACCTTCTGTTCCAACTCGGAGGACCCCCCTCAACTAATGCGCCGGTCGCTGTGCAGTCTGCTAGCTACTCTTCCACCGCCGGAGCACTGCCCACGCCCATGGCTTCCAATTATCCAGGCAATGGAGCCCCATCAGACTCCGGAACGGAACCGTATAACGCAGCGTCGCCGCAATCCGTTTCCGACGCTGCTCCCCCCAGCACATATTGTCACAGCATTGCCACCCCCGCCTATTCCCCTCCCACCGACTCCTCGGGCCCCGAGCTGCGCGCTGTACTCCCTGCGGTCAGCCAGCCCTATCATAGCATGGCGCCGGGGTACTCATATCCCGCTGTCTGCCAGCAGCAGAGCCATGTTCCCCTCGCCGCACCTGTTAGCCGACCCTCCTGGGAGCTGGGCAGTCTTGCCCATCACCCTTCCGCTAGCGCAGGGCATTCGGGCAATGGCTCCTGCTATAATTATATGGCTCCCATGCCTTATTCGCTGCCTGACCCCGCCCACGGGTCTTGAGTCACCACCATGCATGGGCCTTCCGGTTCCCCATGGCCCCGGTGCCTCCGAAAGGGCCTTCTTTTAATCCGCTATTTCTTGCAACTGCATCCACCGGCGTTGTGCGGTTTCTCTGTTCCTGATTTGTCGTTCCTCCATCCCGCTGGTCACTCCTTTGGTATTAGCCATGGCGCACTTGCATGATCACCTGGCATGATCTCACGTCTCTCCTTGAACATTGTTTGATGTCTTGATGCCCGGGAATGTTCTTCTTTTGGTTGCTTTCTTTTGGGGGGGCGGTTGATTACCCTAGCATACGTATAGACGGTGTGTTGTCCATTCCTTTTCTCCGGTTGGCGATATCTTTTGCGCGGGCATTTTGATTTTCCACTCCTTTTGAAAGATTGTATACTACTACATGGCATTGCATGGCGCTGCAGTCGATCCTTTTTGCATTTCGCAGGTCTGGAAGAAGAAAAAAAGATAGTTTTTGGTTTGGGATGGATCTAATATTCTCACGGACGGATTGGACTTTACTTCATCGGCGAAGGCACACGGGATTTTGTGCTTCTCTGCCGCAGGTTTGGATTGGGATTTGTCTCTCGGTTGTTGTTGTTGTCGTTGTTGTTCCATCAAATTTCTTGTTCTTTATTTTTTTTTTTTTTTTTTTTGGGATATCCGATGGGCTGTAGTCCGAGTTTATACATCAGTCGTGATGTTGTGCTTTTACTTCTTGGGTGTTATCAGTAGGAATTCGCTCTCTGTTGCCAGTAGGATAATCCTCCGTCGTAAATCATCAGATGAATCATGAGGGTCCTGATGATCTTGGAATGGATGCCTCAGGAATCCCCTGATACCAGTCCGTGACCACGGTACGGTAACCGTCAATACCGCGTGTTTCTTTTCCCCGCGCTTATCTTATCGGACCACCACGTGACCGGCGGGACATCGGCGCAGGAAACGAAAAAGTGGCGGATGAGTCAGGCAAAGTTCGAGATCACCAGCAGCAGAGGAAGAAGAAGAAGAAGAATAGTCCGACGCTGTGTGACCCTGTTGGGACCTGTTCAGCTCCTCCAAGAATTCCTTTTTTTTGGGCCTTCTCCCATCTCTCTCTCTCTCTCTTGCCTCTCGCAGTCCCCTTTTCTACTCATCCTCATATCCCCTTCAATTGACTCTTTCTCTTTTCTCTTTCTCCCAACTTCCAACCACAAAAAAAAACCCCCCCAAAACCCTTCCTTCATCCGCCCCTCGCCTCTCTCCCCCGCCCTCCTCCCCCTCCAACAGTATCCACCCCAATATGGAGGACATCAAGAGCACTTTCGCCAAGTGCAAGGAACAGAAGCGCGCTGCGCTCGTTGCATACATCACAGCCGGTTATCCTACAGTCGAGGAGACCGTCGATATTCTCCTGGGTCTCGAGAATGGAGGCGCCGGTAAGTGCCTGGGACCTGACTCGCTGGACCCGGCGAAGTCGCCCTTGCGCTACCACAGAAGGACAAATTGCTAACGCAACGTGTCATTTTTCTTCCCTTCCAAAACAACAGATATTATCGAATTAGGCATTCCCTTCACAGACCCCATTGCCGATGGGCCTACCATCCAGAAGGCCAACACCAAGGCTCTCGCCAATGGCGTCACCGTCACCATCGTGCTGCAGATGGTCCGCACGGCCAGAAGCCGAGGCTTGAAGGCTCCTCTCCTGTTGATGGGATACTACAACCCTCTTCTGCGGTACGGTGAAGAGCGCATGCTCAAGGATTGCAAGGAAGCCGGTGTCAATGGTTTCATCATGGTGGATCTTCCTCCGGAAGAGGCGGTGCGGTTCCGAGATCTGTGCGCCAGCAATGGGTGAGTTACTCCTGTCCTGTTTGTTTCCTGCGCATGGCCCGGAATATGGTTGGATTTGGGCTAACCTCTCTGCCCGCTGTCAGTCTGTCCTACGTCCCCCTCATCGCTCCTGCCACCTCCGAGTCCCGCATGAAGCTCCTCTGCAAGATCGCCGATTCCTTCATCTACGTCGTCTCCCGAATGGGTGTCACCGGTGCCACAGGGAAGCTCAGCTCGAATCTGCCCGAGCTGCTGAAGCGCGTGCACCAGTGGTCCGGCAATGTCCCCGCTGCCCTCGGCTTTGGCGTCAGCACCCGCGAGCACTTCTTGGATGTGCAGGAACTCGCCGAAGGTGTCGTCATTGGAAGTCAGATCATCACTACTTTGGCGCAGGCCCCTGCCGGTCAGGCGGCTAAGCAGGCCGAGGAGTACTTGTCCAGCGTCACCGGCCGCAGGCGCGAGAGAGACGCTCAGGGCGCATTGACCCACGAGATCAATGTGCTGGAGGCGGTGGAGAAGGTCCAGACCCCTGCTGTCTCGCAGCCCACTGATGTGATCACCGATGCCGACACCCCTGCCGGCCCTGGCCTGGCTGATCAGATTGAGGCTCTCAACGGCGCCGGTAACCCCGCCGCGCAGCCGTCGCGCTTCGGCGAGTTTGGTGGCCAGTACGTCCCCGAGTCTCTCATGGACTGCTTGGCGGAACTGGAGCGGGGATTCCAGCAGGCGTTGAATGACCCCAAGTTCTGGGAGGAGTTCCGCTCGTACTACCCCTACATGGGCCGACCCAGCAGCATGCACCTGGCCAACCGTCTTACCGAGCACGTCGGAGGCGCCAACATCTGGCTCAAGCGTGAGGATCTCAACCACACCGGCAGTCACAAGATCAACAACGCCCTCGGCCAGATCCTGATTGCCCGGCGACTGGGCAAGACCCGCATCATCGCCGAGACCGGTGCCGGACAGCACGGTGTCGCCACGGCGACTGTCTGCGCCAAGTTCGGCATGAAGTGTGTCGTATACATGGGCGCTGAGGATGTCCGCCGCCAGGCCCTGAATGTCTTCCGGATGAAGCTGCTTGGCGCCTCCGTTGTGGCCGTCGATGCTGGCAGCCGGACCCTGCGTGATGCCGTCAACGAGGCCCTGCGTGCCTGGGTTGTTGACCTCGACACCACCCACTACATCATCGGCTCCGCGATCGGCCCCCACCCCTTCCCCACCATCGTCCGTACCTTCCAGTCGGTGATCGGTGAGGAGACCAAGCAGCAGATGAAGGAGGCCATCGGCAAGCTGCCCGACGCCGTCGTCGCCTGCGTTGGTGGCGGTAGCAACGCCGTCGGCATGTTCTACCCATTCGCCAAGGACACCAGCGTCAAGCTGGTCGGCGTGGAAGCCGGCGGCGACGGCATCGACACCAACCGACACTCGGCCACCCTCTCCGGCGGCAGCAAGGGTGTGTTGCACGGTGTCCGCACCTACGTCCTGCAGGACGAGCACGGCCAGATCTCCGATACCCACTCCATCTCCGCCGGCCTGGACTACCCCGGCGTCGGCCCCGAGCTCAGCTCCTGGAAGGACAGCGACCGTGCCCACTTCATTGCCGCCACCGACGCCCAGGCCCTGATCGGCTTCCGCACCCTGGCCCAGACGGAGGGCATCATCCCCGCCCTGGAATCGTCCCACGCCGTCTGGGGCGCCATGGAGCTGGCCAAGTCCATGAAGACCGGCGACATCGTCCTCAACCTCAGCGGCAGAGGAGACAAGGACGTCCAGAGCGTCGCCGACGAGCTCCCCCGTCTGGGTCCCCAGATCGGCTGGGACCTGCGCTTCTAAGCTCTTAAGTTTTTTATCTTCGCTCGCTCGCTCACTCGCTAGCTCGCTTCCTATCTTCCTTCCCGCTACCAATCAATCATCTTTGCTTTACGAGCGACGTCTGACAAATCACATTCGGCGTTCTTTTTTTTTAATTTCTTTTCTTTTTCGGGGTTTTCAAAAATACAAAGACGGGTGGTCTGTCTCTCTATAAATCTATAACTCACTGGGGATGCGAGAATAGCTTCTGCGTTGGTGGTTTCCATTACCTCCCTCCCTCTCGGGTATTCAGTTGTATGCATACCGTTCTTTTCAGATAGTTTCTTCAAAGTGTATCTAAAGTCAAAGCCTCGTGTTTGATAGACTGCTACTTCAGACAAATGGGTCTGAGGTTTGAATATACAATGTGTATCTGATTCCCAGTACTACAGTAGAAAGCTGCTGGGGCATACTGTATAACTATTGTGACTATGCTCCGACTTTCCGCTACACAAGTCGATAGGGAGAGAGAGGGAGAGAGGGAGAGGAGGGAGAGAGAAAAGATATATGCACGGTTCTAGGTACAAAGAAAAAGCTGAACAAACGCATGGAACCGATGTATGATCGCAGGAACAAGAGTGATAAAAGGAAGGAAAGGAAGATCCAGGCCAAGACAACGAACGCTACGCTAGCGGAAACAAGACACTCAAGTCTCGATGAGCGGGGCCGCGGACATGTTCTCCGCGGAGTTGTCCCTGGTGTCCTTGCTGGGCAGCTTGCGGGCGGAGCGGGCGTAGAATTCGTCGAGGGTGCGCTTGGGGATACGGTTGAGGAGTTCCTTGGGGTAGATGCGGAGCAGGTTCCAGGCGATGTCGAGGGATTCGAAGATGGTGCGCGACTCGTAGGGGCCCTGGCTGATGAAGGTGCGCTCGAACTTGTCGAGGAATTCTAGCGAGAGCTTGTCCTCCGAGGAGAGGGCTTCCTCGCCGACAACGGCCTTCATGGCGGCTGTTAGGTTGGGGTTGTCAGTATATAGAGATAAAACAGAGGATTTTGATACAAGGGGGAGGGGGTGATGGGTAACGAACCGGCATCTCGGCCAATGGCGTACTTGGCATACAGCTGGTTGGACACATCCGAATGGTCTTTACGGGTACGGCCTTCGCCAATAGCAGACTTCATGAGACGGGATAGCGAGGGGAGAACGTTGATGGGTGGGCTGACACCCTTGTTGTACAGTTGACGATCCACGAAGATCTGACCCTCGGTAATGTATCCTGTCAAATCGGGGATGGGATGCGTGATATCTATCAAGACGTTAGTGACGATTCGCTCACCAAGAGCCTATCAATCGAAGACTTACCGTCGTTAGGCATGGTCAGGATGGGGATCTGAGTGATGGAACCATTGCGGCCCTCAACACGACCCGCACGCTCGTAGATGGTCGACAAATCAGTGTACATGTAACCGGGATAACCACGACGACCGGGGACTTCTTCTCGTGCAGCGGAAACCTCACGAAGAGCGTCACAGTAAGCCGACAGATCAGTCATGATGACCAAGACGTGCTTCTCCAGCTGATAGGCATAGTACTCGGCAGTGGTCAACGCCAGACGAGGAGTAATGATACGCTCGATTCTGGAAAGCAAAGTCAGCATAAAGCTTGGGGGCGAAAAGCAGCGCAATACCACCACGTACGTAGGATCATTGGCCAGGTTCAGGAAGAGCGTGACACGCTCCATGCTGCCGTTCTCCTCGAAATCTCTGGTGAAGAAACGGGCCGTCTCCATGTTCACACCCATAGCCGCAAAGACGATCGAGAAGTTCTCCTCGTGACCATCATGGACGTCCTTGGTGGGCCGCTTGACCAGACCGGCCTGACGACAGATCTGAGCTGCAATCTCATTGTGTGGGAGACCGGCAGCGGAGAAGATGGGAATCTTCTGTCCACGAGCAATCGAGTTCATCGTATCGATGGCGGAAATACCGGTGGAGATCATTTCCTCGGGGTAGACCTAGTGGAATCCCACCGCATCAGCTTCCACATCCAGCAGTCATTCGCCGGAGACACAAGCAGGCACATACCCGCGAGTAAGGGTTGATAGGTTGACCGTTGATATCCAAATAATCTTCCGCGAGCACCTTGGGACCCTTGTCAATAGCGCGACCCGATCCGTCGAAGACACGTCCCAGCATGTCCTCGGAGACACCCAGCTTCAAGCTGTGGCCGGTGAACTCGACTTTGGTCTATCGGACGACAACAGTCAGCGCATTTCTCCGCCCAATGGTTCCTCTTCATGCAGTGCGGAGCTCTTACCTTTTTGACATCGATGCCCGGAGTACCCTCGAAAACCTATAATCACGAATACCGCATGAGCACATCCCCCGCACGAGAATGAGACGAAGCTCCAAAAAGGAACATCGATGGATTGACGCGCACCTGAACAACTGCTCTGTTGCCTATCCATTTCCACCCGTAAGTATACCGCCACACAAATAGAACACTGGGATCACACGAGAGAATCAAAAGGAGCCCATACCTCTAGCTTCAAGGACCTGACCGGACCGCTCTGTCCCATCGGGGAGAGTCAAGGATACGATCTCATTGTAGCGGGGGAATTTCACCTGGTCGGAAAGAGTGTTAGTATGTTCAGCTGAGTTCGCGGTCGGGCAGGCTTCGTCAACGGCGCAACCCCAGGCTGGTTACGTACGTTATCAAGGATGACCAGTGGACCGTTGATACCGCCGATGGTGTTGTAGCGGATGCGAGGCTTGATGTTGGTCATCCTGGGATCGACGAATTCGGCCATAGCTGCAGGGCCCGTGGCGGACAACCGAAAAAAAGAGCTGAAGGGCTAGGAGAGAAGGAGGAATTCAAGGTCCGGAAGAGCTGGTCCTGACGAGGGGGCCAAGTAGGAGCTTAGTCGTCAGTAGTTACTTAGTTCAACGCAGCGATGAGCCCGCTGCGGGCTGGGCGGTGACGCATGCACGTGATGACGGACTTCGAGGACATTGATTCTAATACAAGGACCCAACACTTGAAAAAACTGTGTGGGAGAGGTTATGGCTCATTCAAGTTTATTGTTGGATTTTGAATCGTACTGAGGGCTCAGCCCGTGTACTGTGAGGTTTCGAATACTTTGCATAACATCGCAGAAGGGAAACATCGCGGAGCATGATAATCACAAAGAACAGAGCACCCATCAAAAGGAAAGCAATGAGAGAGAACAGAAATAGCCACACAGCAAGTTGGAAAATCATCCTTGCCCTCGTGGCAGTAGATCGTAATCATACACATAAAAGAGAGAAAAACTGTCGTGATAGAAATAGGAATAAACCGCGCCTTTCATCCCATGCCATGATGGAGCCACAAGTGGAAAGAAAACAAAATCATCATAGAGGGGCCATGATATCGAGCTCGACTAGTCAATCTTGGCCAGTGCAAGCTTCTTGGGTGTTGCAAGGTTGTTGGAGAGGCGCACATTCGCCTTCTTCTTGGTGGTCTTTCGAAGCTTCTTTCGTGCGACCATGACGGGGACAGATGAGCTCATGACAAGATAGTTGGAGAAAGACCCGAGGAGTACACTGTTTGATTCATGTTTGTCAGTTCATGTTATGTGGTAGCTCCTCACAACGGGGGTACTCACCCTTTCAACGCGCTTCGCCCTCTGGCTCCCACAATAACGAGGGTTGGTTCAAGACCGTCAATCTATCGCCTCAAAAGTTAGCCACCCGAACGATAAAGGGAATGAAACGCACACGAGCTCAAAGAATTATCACATACAGCTTCTGTAATCATGTGTTTCGGGCTTTTGCAGTGGATCACCTCGACGGCGACGCGGACCTGCAGCAGCGTCTTTCTCAGCAGACGAACACAAGTCTGCGAGATCACTTCTACAGCCCGATTTCTCTCCACTTCAGCTCTAGAGACGCCACGCGCATCAACGGAGCCGGGCCTGCTGTCCGTTCCACCCAGACGGCTCAGGAAGGCGCGTGAGATATTACTGCCCGCAGTTTCGTTTTGCGATTTGTGGACCGTTTCTTCTGTTTGGGACCCAACTACGGCGGCAGCGTCCTGCATTGCTTGGGCGCCCTCTCCGATCTGTACCGACGGTGCAGCAGGCATCCCCATCTCCTCATTGACTGCACAGACAGCAAACATGGTGTCACCATCGCGCAGGATGGTCCCAATCGTCCACTCCAGGGCATAGACGGATTCTTCGCTGAGGTCGGTGGCGACGAGATATCGGCGCTGTCGACGACGGCCCTCCTGCAGATGGGGGTAGTCGCCACGAATAATGGTCCTGATCGATCTGTTGTGGACAGAATTGTCAATGGAGGACATTTGGATACTGAGCTTCTGGGCGCGTTTGATGTCGGACAATTCCGCCTCGTCATCCGAGCCAAATGGGGTAGTGAGGGCGGAGCCAGCCTCAAGGCTCGCACGCGGTTGCACATCAAGAGTAGGTGGGCCATGTTTCGCAGAATGTCCCGCAGCGAGGGATTTTGATTTCACTTTGTGGTCAATCGAATCATCGTCTGCGACAGGGTGGTCAATACGCGAACAAAGAGAGAAAAAAAAAAAAAAAAGAAAAAAAGAAAAAAGGAAAAAAGGTGGGATACAATCGACCAAGGACGACTCGGCCACTTACATTCATCCGACATACGCTCACCAGCAGCTCCGTCCAGCTGCTGAAGGACAGCTAATGGACCGCTCAACATTGAGGGCGTGACATTGGCAGGCTTCTTTCGGCCACGCTCGGGCTCCGCATCGCCATCATCATCACTGGAGGAGGAGGAGGAGGAGGAGGGCTCATCGGGCTCGTCTTCACTGCTCTCCATGGGGTTGTTCTCGCTGTCATATAAATCTTTGGCCAGGCGCTCGTCGCCAGTGGGCGCAACCGGCTTTTCTTCAGCATCGGGAGATTCAGCGGGCACGACAGGGGAGGTTACGCCACCGGTACTACTGCCGACCGACTTGTGCAGGTCGGGGTCGGAGAGGTTGGTGTGGGCGTTATTCATGGCGGATGATTTACCTTTGTCCGGCACGGGGGACTTTCCAGGTTTCGACGACGAAAGATTCGGCGGATTGGTGCTGAGCCAGCGATTCTTGGGCGATCCGGAGCGCCCTTTTCGCGGGGCTAACCGGGAGTCGAGTGAGGTCCCCCGCGTCGAACTTTGCCGCCCGGGCGCTCTGCCCCTGGCGAAGCTCGGGAGGCCGACTTTCAGGTCGAGTCCTGACATCATCGCAGCCATGGCGCTCTTGCTCTGCGTCGGCTTATTATTGTTCGACTCTCTATGCTCTCTCGGTGGCTTTTCCGGCAACTGGATTTGGATGGTACGCCGCGGTAAGACAGCGCCGAACGCCATGTCGCCCGATAGCTTCTCATCAGCTCTATTTTGGTCTACGAGTCTTTTCTTCCCAATGGAAATGTGATCCGAGTTGTCCGACGACCTGCGGGCAGGCGGCGGGCCGTATAAATCACCAGGAAATGTTTTCAAGGATACAGATGACGAAGCCGTTGCTGTTGCTGGTGGCGTAGCCGTACGCAGAGGTGGGATAGAACTGGAAGATGAAGAGACAGGACCCTGCCAGCTGTATCGATTGTTAGAGGGAGAAGTCACACCCACACCAATACCGGCGATGGAGCCATGGCGTGGATGGGCCACGCCTGGGGATGGAGCGATATCTAGTAGGCTCCGCACTGGGGCCGCCTGGGTTGTGTTCCTCCGGTTAGACGACGGGCCGGATTCGTGACGCCGTTCTTGAGACTCGTCGACCCATTCCAGACGCTCTTCCTCCAATGCAGTTGCCAGCGATGACCTGGCCCGTTTCTTGGTGTAGTATGCACTAGTACTGTATGCCATTTCTGTGCGGCTCCGCCTGCAGGCGGGTTTGACACCACTTGTGTGGAGAATGGAAGCGTAAATTAATGTTCTGTCTGACTGCAAGCCTGGGGGAGGGGAGCCAAGCAAGCACCTCAGGAATGTGGGGAGATCAACCAGTCAATGACGAATTGCTTCGGCCTTCTCGAGTCTCTTTACAGGTGTGCTCGATTCCGCATTCAGGTTCAGGCTCAGGCTCAGCTCACGGATCGCTTTTTTTGGGATGCAAGACCCCAAGATCTGGTAAAAAATGACTTAGAGCCGGGAAGCTATAGATTGTAGTCTATCGCAAAGCCCACTCGTCTGTCTGACACACGCTCTCTCTCTCCACGGGAAACTGTATGGCCAAGTAGACCAACAGCACCAGCGAAAGAGGGGGGGGGAGGATGAACCAAACACACTAGGATCTCAAGCAGAATCGCAAAATAGAGCGAAGGGTTCGAGAGGGGTATTCGTGAAGCCCCCAAGACTGCACGGGAGTTGGTTCTTTATCCCTCACAAACGCGGTAGGAATCACCCGCGGCTTCTCCGCAACTGGACAGAAGCGTGGCAAAGCGGTCAATGAGAGCCACGACAACAAGAACCGGCTGCTTTGGGGGGGTGGAGGGATGGAATGTAGATCGATGATGGTCTTTGTAGATGGAAAAAATGAAGAGAACAAGGAGATCATGGATGAAGGGGAAAATAGGGGGGGATATGGATTCTATTCCTGAGGGAAGAGGCGAGAAGAAAAAAGGAGAGAAACACCCAGAGAGCTTCAGCCCTCGTCAGTCACCAAACAGTCGGGCACAACAGCTTCCAAAAGCTCGGCATAGCGGGGCATCAAATACACCCAAGCGCAGGAAGGCAGAAGCAATAATCCGGTGTCTGGCTGTCTGCTCTGTTTTGCTCTGCTCTGCTCTGCTCCGAGAGGGAAAAATGCGACAAAGGATTCAGGATTCTGCATTGCATCTTCACTCTGTTTTGCGCCCATCCCTTGCGTGGTGTCACAAGGCTTGAGTGATGCTGGCGATCCATTCACCTTTTGGTGAGGCCTGCTGAAGCCTTTGTGTAGCATACCAGACAAATAGTTTCCTACTGCCACAGTATGCAGAGGGCGATCATGGTGGAACATGGGGGAGATCGATGACTATCTATCTATCGCAATAGCTTCTACGCCGTATTTACCTGTGCTTCCCGTCGGTTGTAGCACAGAAGACCTGCCAGGGAGCATGTCGAGGACAGCGCATCTTGCAGGATGGTTGAGAAATCAACCGGGAAAAAAGCAGCTCTATGTTTCAATGCTTCATTAATCCTATGTAGATGGTGTGTCGTAAAGGCCAGATGACATGACCTCGGTTCGCTCAGAATGTAAATGCGGCCGTCCATGAAGAGAGTAATATCGTCCAGTTCCAAGCTCCAACTAGAAACACCTGTCCAGTGCCAAAGACTCCTGACGCCGATCGGAGAAGCAGAAGAAAAAAGAAAATTTGCGCAAAAGAGAGAGATCTGGATCAAAAGTCAGGGAGACGGAAACGAAACCAGGACCAGAGAGCTCGAGGCCAAGCCCGCTCAAGCTTTCGCTTTTCTCTTCTTCTTCGTCGAAGCAAGCCGAGCGGCAGTCGCAGCAAACGCTTCCTCCGGCGGCTCCTCGAACTTGGCAGCCCGTTTCTTGCCCTTGGCGCTGCCAGCGTTGCGCTCCATCGCCTCGGCCTCCAAGCGCTCGAGGAAGGACTCCATACGGTTCGTCTGGCGCTGTTTGATGACCGCAGCTAGATCGGCCAGATCCGACCCCTTCTTCTTCTTCTTTCCCGCCTTATCCTTGGTCCCTGTCTTCTTTTCCTTCTTCTCCTCGAGCTCCTTGGCCAGGGCCTCGGCTTCCTGTGCCTCCTTCTGCGCCCGCTTGACTCTCATCTGCCGTTTCTTCTCCGGCTCATTCGTGTACTTCTTGTAGGCCTCCACCTGGCCATCGGCGATGGCCTTGTCGATGATCGCACGGATACGCTCGTCGTCGTCGAGCACATTGCTCAGCATCACCGACTCGTAAACGCGGTCCATGTCGCCTCGGTGATGGTCAAACGCCTCCAGAACATCCTTTTCCTCCTCCGCGGAACCCTGGTAGTCCTGTTTGATCTTCTCGATGGCATCGGAGTCCACCGAGTTGGAATAGAGGTCTCGGTAGAAGTCAACCCAGTCGAAATCCTCGTCCTCGAGGGCCGCTTCCGCAGTGCTGCCGGTCAGGTCAAAGCGCTTGCGGCGGCGCTCGTCCGACAAGATGGCGTAGGCGAAGGCGATCTGCTGAAACTTGGTGTGTGCTTCATCCTTCGATTCGGCGGGGGCCTTGTCTGGAGGCTGTCAGTATATTACCGCCATCAAAGGCTACTGCTCTGAGCAAGGCGGTGGCAAAGCTACCTGGATGATGTTTAAGAGCGAGCTTTCTGTAGGCAGATTTGATCTGATCCTGAGTTGCGTCTTCTGGGACGCCGAGGATCTCGTAGAGATCAGTCGCAACGGGCTGAGGGACATCCTCAGGGATTTCGTCGGAGGACATGCTGCCGCGTTCTGTTGCTTGGGAGATATTTCCAATAGCTCGGATACAACCAGAGATAAAGTAATGAGCCAAGTAGAGAACCAAAGAATTGAGTAGTGACGGTGTGTTGATGGGTGCTGAGGTGGACAATAACGCGCTGGAACGCGCCGCGAAACCACTTTGACTGCCCAAACGGGTTAGCGGGGACACAAGCTTAATGCGCGCAAGTCGTCATAGTGCATAGTGCATAAGGCATAAGGCATAAGGCATAAGTTGGTGATAGCGAGACGGGTTCATGCGGTCATTCAGCCATCACCAATTCACTCTTCTCTTCTCTTCTCCTCTCTTCTCGTTCTTCTTTTTCTCTCTACACTAGAAGTAGAGACAGACACACTCAGCTGCTCTTATCTACAGACACCACACAGCAACACCACACCAACCTCCCTCCACAATGACCACATCCCCCCACTTCGACTACCTCCGCCAATGCCTCTCTCTCGCTGAACGCTCCCCCCCGCGCCCGACCAATTTCCGCGTCGGCGCCATGCTCCTCTCCCGCCGAGACGGCGACATCGAGTGCAAAGACGATTGCGTCCTCTCCACAGGCTACACCATGGAGCTCGCGGGCAACACCCACGCCGAGCAGTGCTGTCTCTCCAACTTCGCGGCCGTGCACTCCGTCCCCGAAGACCGCGTGGCAGAGGTCCTTCCCGCTGAGCCCGGCCGGAAACTCGTCATGTACGTGACCATGGAGCCGTGCGGGAAGCGGTTGTCGGGCAACGTGCCCTGTGTGCAGCGGATCATCGACACGCGGGCGGGTGGGCGGCCGGGCATCCAGAAGGTGTACTTTGGGGTGAAGGAGCCTGGGACCTTTGTTGGGAGTTCGGAGGGGTGTAAGAGGCTGACTGAGGCCGGGGTGGAGTGGAGGGTGGTGAATGGGTTGGAGAGGGAGATTCTGACGGTGGCTACGGCAGGGCATGAGAATCGGGAGGAGGAGGTCAAGGCGGCTTTGGGTGGGGTGGAGACCAACCTGGACGATGTCAGTGATGAAGAGAGGCAGCGACAGGCTGAGATCCCGCGGAATCCCAAGAAGAGGATGATGTAGGTATATTCGGCTACTACCCGTCGTCCGTCTGGCTGGCATAGATGAGACAGGGGGAAATGAACGAATGAGTATTCCGCATCGGACACATGTACGATTTGGCCAGCTGCAGCTCTATGGTATTTTGAACAGGCTGTCCTTGACAGTCTCATGCCCGTGGACTATCTCCTCAACTGGGAATGACTCGATCGGAGTCAACTCTCCGCCCGCGTCCCTCATATCTCCATCTGCTTATATATGCCGGCGTGGAGTCCGAGCCGCCATTCTTCGTCGCATATGCACCAACGAGCGATCCTATACACGAATGTCACTACATTTTGCACATTACCGCCTCTTCACAACGCTGCACTTTGACTTACCAGTAAACCGTCCCGTATCACCACTGACAATCAGCGCATCGGCGCATCCGATGACCATTCGTTGTTTCGGGTGCCGAGCTGGAGCAGCTGCAAAGACATACTCGGAATCGTTCACGGTCTGGATCTCCAGACGGATGGGTCCGCCTTGCCAATCCTCAGGCACAGGTACCGTGTTCTCTGGGGTCGCGTCTCGATAGTTACCGCGGCCCTCTACGCGAAACCAGAAGGCCAGCGATAGTCCTTTGGAGGACTGAAGCAGGACAACACCCAGATCAATATGCTGCTGGGTCAGAAAAACCGTCACGCCCGCTTCTTTGTCGGCCACCCTGGGGTTGAAAGATACGATCACACTGTATGCGCACAACGTATCAGTCTGATGGCGTATGATGAGCGTCAACCCATCATCCGGCTGAAAGTCCTCCGTTCCGGTGGGATTATAGAACGGGGGCGTCAGCCGGAGCGTACGAGGATGGCCCGCTGGCGAGACGGTGAAATCCTCCGGCTTCAGATGCCGCCAGTACACCAAGTGCGGCGGAATCGACGAACCCGTCAGAAAGTCAATCTCGTCGGGTTCGTTGATCCACGCGGCGTCGCCGCGACGGATACCCCTGTTCGGCCGCGGAAGAGGGCTCTGCATCTGTCCGTGGACAGGCTGGACGACCGGCCATTCCCCTTCATCCCCGGTCGCAGCGGCCAGGACCATCTCGCGACCCATGGGGTAGTTCTTCCACTCCGGGCCCGAGCGTGTACTCAGCGCCACAGCCCACCAGTGTCCATCGCCATCATCGTAGAACAAGTCCGCATGGCCGACCATCTGGAAGTATTGAGTCGTATTTCTGTCCGTCAGAAGCGGACTACGCGGGTACGGTTCTCCAAGGGTTCGTTCGGGACCTGGACCGCGCCATGGTCTCCGAGTGGCCGAGCTCTGTGCTCTTCTCCGTGATCATCTAGTAGTAATACCCGTCCTTGCGGTACACATGCGGACCCTCGGGCCAGACCCCGCCCGTCCCGTTTCAGGAGCACCCCACTAGCCCTGTCTCGCCGGTCCGCAGGTCAAGCGAGCACTGCTGGATCTGCTGGTCATCCGCCGACGTCACGTACACCGTTCCATCGTCGTCCCAGAAGAGTTCCGGGTCGATGCCGCGGACGGAGAAGACGAGCGGCTCGCACCACGCGGCACCGCTGAACGGATCGGACAACGTGAACAGGAGACTCTTGGTCTGCGGGCCCAGGTAGGAGACGATCAAGTAGAATATGCCGTCGTGGTAGCGGTGCGTGGGGGCGTAGATACCCGACTGCTGGCCGTCGGTGATGCGCAGGTCGGGAATCTGACTGGGTCGATTGAAGACGTTGCTGGCGAGTTTCCAGTTCTGCAGGTCTTTGCCTGCATAGACTGGCAGGCCTGGAAAGGCGACGAGGGTGGACGTGGCGCAGAAGAAAGTATCCTGCTCCGGAACGTAGACACAGGTGAGATCCGAGTGCCAGCTAGGAAAGAGGGGATTGGTATATGGTTGGGGGGGAGTGGGATGGGAGAAGCCAAGTGATGCCATTGCCAGGCACAGGATGGCGGTGGCGATGGTTCGATGATCGGTCTCATGCTAGTGATTTCTAGCGCAGGGTTGGTTCTCGGGTGTCTGTAATTCCATCATCGACCTTTCTTATATCTTCACAAATCATAGTACTTGCAAAGTAGTCCTGCAGCTATCTGACTCGCGCGTCTGCCCAGAGCCAACTCATTGGAGGGATTTAATTCAAGACCGACAAATTCTCCGAGCTAACAGACCACTCAGCTTGTGGCATTGTGCAGCAGTGATTTGTCAAGACCGTTCTGCTGAATCATACTTTCAGTCAACAGTCTCCAACCTGACAGGTTCGCTGTCATAAGTTCCAAAATATCCTTGACGGCCGGATCGACATATTTCTTTGCTCCTTATCGTGAAAGTCCATGTGCGCTGCGCTCGCCTCGTGGCCGTACCAGCCCAGACGCGCGGGAATCGCCGATGCTCGCCCTGCTGACGGTCGCGAGAGCTTTGAGGCGGTGATCTGCTTTGGCAGATTCCCAGGATGCCGATTGTGTCTGCGTGGACAAAGGCCTGGACACTTCAGACGTCGCCGAGTCTTCCAGGAAGCGAGGTTCTCCGCCGCTTTCGCCTTGGTGTGATGCGTCGTAGCAGACGGTGACGGAACCCTCTTGGGCCGAGCTTCTTCGCAGAGAGGCCTACGGTCTGCTCTTTGACGCCGCCGCCGGGATGCACGATCACGAGTGCAGGTGACAAGGCTGGATGCCTGTCGCGGGCTTGTGGAGCAAACCGGCTAGCAGGATTGGTCCTTTCTTTTTCGAAATGCCAGACATGCTGACTTGTCTGGTTTCGATTGTTTGTATCCCCCGGTATCTCAGGAAGGAGGCCTGCACGTGCAAATCTCAGGGGTATCCAGAATGTCCACTCGGCTGAGAATTCGAACATGTTCGGACATTGATTGATCTCTCAGGTTAGGGTATCATTGGCGTCAAGACAGACGTTCGAAAAACGGCGGGCATATACAGCATCAAGTAAACAACGCACCAGTCCCATTTTCATGGATCAATCATGCCGAAGTTATTCCAGAGCTGCTGACTAGGGATGAAGACGAGATACTTCGGGAGTTCATGACCCAAGCACATACTCCCGAGAGCTGGCCAGTTGGCACTTGACACCAAGGTCACGTGTTGAGAGTCTTCAAAGCGCTCTCATTGATCAACTCTGCAAACCAGGGCGAATCATCTTATCAACTGTTTCAAACGGCATTCGAATCCCATGTCAATTACACCCCCGTGAGTGTAGACGGTGTAGACGTTCAAATTCCCGAATTGAGGCTCGCCTAGGGTCTTGTAGCACAAAACCCTGCGGTTTCAGCATGACAGAGTCCTGTGGCGTAGTCTGCTGTGAAAACATCTGAAGGCTGCGGGTTCGACCCCCGCCGGGAGCTTGAGCTCCCGTGGCGCAATGGTAGCGCGTCAGACTTCTATGCTGGGACCTGTCTCTCTCTCTTCTTTTTTTTGTTGCAACTTTGGTTTTCGTCGGACTGATTGTCAGACAGCCTGGTCTTTCTTTATTTTTTCATCTTTCTCATCTCCAATGCGGATTATTATTTCATCGAGGCCGTGAGCGTCAGCGCTCACGTGACATCGGCCGTCAGACAATCATCGGCCACCACTTATCACAGCAGAATGAATGAATGCTCTGACAACCACATCGAAATCACCAAACACTAAAAAAGATGAGATGATCCTATGGCGACAGCGGACGATGGCGAACTCGTCTTCTACCCGGCCTTCTGCTTCAGAGCTTCGCCAACTCACTTCACCTGGGTGAAGATGGCCGCGGTAGATGTGCATCGGCTGAAGCAACGGCCGGGATTCGAAGGTATGCACACTTGCGAAGCAACGAGGCAGTTTTCTCTGTCCATCTGCTAGGCTTATGTTTCTACGGCTCGAGATACCTCCCACATGAATAGAAACCATAACAGCACAATTTACCTTGTCATCTTGAGCTAGATCAGCAAGATTCATGATTATCATGTAGTAGCACACGTAACTAACCAACACACCCCACCCCAAACCCCGGCAGGCCAGAACATCTTCTTCTACCACAACCACCCCATCCGCTTCGTCTCGCTGCTCGGCCTCCTCGTCGCCCGCACAGACGTCTACAAACGCACCATCCTCACCCTTGACGACAGCAGCGGCGCAACCATCGAAATCGCCGTCCTGAAAGCCGACCCCCCGGCCCCGGCCATCACCACCGCCCACCTCGCCGCGACCAACAAGACGGAGCTGGACATCTCGACGCTACAACCCGGCACCCTGGTGCAGGTGAAGGGGACGCTAAGTATGTTCCGGGGTGCGATGCAGGTGCAGCTGGAGCGCTTCGCGGTGATCCGCGACACGAACGCCGAAATGCGGTTCCTGGATCTGCGGTGCCGGTATCTGGTTGAGGTGCTGGCTGTGCCGTGGCGGCTGGAGGGGGAGGAGGTTGCGCGGTTGCGGGTTGAGGCGGATGCGGAGGAGGAGCGGCTGGAGGAGGAGCAGGAGCAGGCGCGGAGGAGGCAGCGGAGACGAGCGGAGAGGGACGAGAGAGACGAGAGGCGGATTCGGAAAATGTGGGAGCGGGAGGAGAGGGAGAGGGAAAAGGCGGCGGTTGCTGGTCGCGAAGCTGGGCTGGAGGTTATGCGTGAGGTCCAACGGAATCGTTCTGTGGATGTTAGTTAGGGCGAGGTAAGGCCTGCTGATTTCTGTTGCCTCTGGTAGGGTGATTGCCCTACGAAATCACGGCTGAAGTGCGAGTCCGGATCCGTGAATACAGAAAAACATACAGTATTGATTAAGGTTCCAAAAGCAGACACAATATACAAAAAAAAATGGCATTCCGGGTCAGAAAGATGGCGGATCATTTCACATAAGTCATTGAGGTCCCCCACCCCCTGAAATACAATAAGAAATAGGAAAGAGAGAACACGGCAAACGCTGCAGGAAACAACGCAGACAAGGGATATCTTTCACTAAGGAAAACGCCGAGACAACGAGCATACATACCGAGATCGATACCGAAGGCAAGAACATGGAGCTTCTACTTGTAGGTATATGTCTTGTAATCGTATCCACCACCGCTACCACCAACAGGGCCGCCGCCCTGGCCACCCAGCAAGCCACGGTAGTATTCTTCGTCGTCTGCCCGGCTGCCTCGATTAGGGAGATGGTCATGGTACTTGCTCTTTTCGCGCTCCTTTTCTCTCTCCCAGAGGGAGTCGTACAGTCTCTGGTCTTCAGTATCCCGGTACCGTCGGCCATCGTCAGCCAGGTCGCCTGGAAGTGCGGATGACGTGGAGTAGTAATCACTTCCGGGATACCGAGAGCCAGCGGTGTGGGAGTACGACGGGAGGTCGCTTTCGGAATGCCTGTAGTCATTCATGGCCTGGCCACGCGAAGAGCTCCGGGCCCGAATATGAGCCGAAATCGGACGATGGGACCCCCGGCTTCCAGCACGGGGATACAATGGGTCATGGCTGTATGAATCGTATGCTTTGTGGCCGGCGGTAGGGGGTTCTGAGCCCTCCTTGGGTCGAGTGCTGCTTGTCATGGATTCTGTTCGCCGATGCGAGGAAGCTCCGTGCTCGTCGCCGTAAATCTTCCCGCCTCCTGGTTGAGCGGTGTAAGGCTTTCTTTCGCGCTCGATAGGCCGCGAGGGAATCTCTTCGTCCTCATCATCTACGACCGCGGACGACGACGTATGCTGATGGTGGCGGTCCCGCTCGTTTACCGAGTGCGTGGATCCGGTAGCCGACGCCGCTGAGCTCGTAGATACCTTGTGACGGTGCACAGCGACCTTCTTCAGTTCCTCCTCGGTAACGGGCGGCAGCTCGACGCCGCAGTGCTTTGTGATGAATTTGTCAAGCTCATCCCTCACGGCAAGGTCGGGTGCATCTGGGAACAGTCGGCGAGGGATTTCCTTTGGGAACCTCTCCCGTCTATTATCCGGGTTACTAATAGGCATGTTCAGCACGGCCTTCTGCAATCGCTCGTATTCCTTGTCCGGATGCGCTTGGATCATCAAGGTAGCCCATCGTTCGAAACCTCGCGGCGTCAAGCCCGGGATGTCAGGCCGTTCGTTCAGTTTAGTTTGAACAAGGTGATGCTCCGCTTCGAATTCTCGGAACAACCGCGAAATTGAGGACGTGCGATCATCGAAAATATCTTGGAATTACTGGTCAGTTCCGCTTGTAGCTTGGATATAAGACCGACCACTTCAACTCCTCACCTTGCCAGGGATATTGATCTGAGGGTACCGCTGTATCTTCATAGAACTTCTGCAGTTTCTCCGGAACCACTACAATGGTGTTTCCCGGTGGATAATCCTCAATCTTGCCAACTAGTCAGATTTGAATGACTCTTCGTATAACACATGGGCACTTACCAAATGAACTGCTATGCCACGAAGGAGTTGACCCAACTTGGCCGTGGGCTTCCCATCCTCGAAAAGCTTGCCCCATATTCTCTCCAAAGTCGTCATCTCCGTGATAGTCTCATTCCTTGACGGTGGCCTCGGACGCGCTTCCATCTTCTGCGCTTGATCACTTGCCTGGCTGAACGGTGACCCTCGTCTCTCGAGAGGGGGCACTGGCGAAGGCCGCGAGCTAGGACGGGGGCTATTAGGATATGTTCCTGATGGTGGATATTGCTGATACTCGGCGCTCTCGGGTGCGACAGTCGACTGCGGGGGAGATATCTTGAGGGGGACAGCAGGCGGCGATTCGTACTCATTATAGCTAAACTGAGGGGCAGCACTGGGAGCCCATTGCGGCGGTGGAGGACCAGATGGTGGCTGCGGCGGATACTGCTGCGGTGGGGGAGGAGGATGCTGGCCTTGAACGTTATCCAAGCCGGTTGCCTTGAGCTGTTGGATCACGGTTGCGGTAATCTGGGACAGGACCTCGGGCGAAAGGTAGGACGGGGTGTCAGCCTTGTGGAAAGCCGAGCTCACAGCCTCATTGATGGTACCAGTCGACGGCTGCTGATACCAAGAATGCTGCTGAGGAGGCGGCTCTGGATACTGTCCTTGAGCGGGGGACGGAGCAGTCGAGGGCATCTGAGGCTGTGGCATGTTGACCCGGTCAGGCGCATACTGACCCGGATATGGAGCTTGGTAGCTCGATGGGCGGATGTCGTTGGGGTTTGCTTGATTGCCATTATTGCCTAGCTGATCGTAGGGACTTGCGCTTCTTTGAAAGCCGTCATAAGCCATGAGGGCCGTTGCTTCCTGTGACTCCGTGCAAATTAGTCGCTGTCCGTTTTTACCAGGATCGTAGTGTATGTGTGTGCTAACCCTGAGCGGGGACCTCAGACTCAGGAGATGATGGAAAAACCTCTGTTGGTGACACCAGTATGTGGCGAAACTGCCGCTGCGCTGTGCACGCTGTAGGACAAAAAGTTGTCAATAGAACCCCGGCCGATGAAAACGCGATGAGGGGCTCCAAGATAGAGGGGCACAGGTGAAATGTGGATCTTCCGCGTGGAAGCCGTAAGAATGTTCGAACTGAAATCAGCAGCAGCAAGGGTGATAAAAAAATACAGATCTGAGAATTCCAGGGCTGAGCACAAAGAAAATTCAAGAGAAGTCGAGGATCACCGATGAAGGGGGGAGCATGCAGCGACGTTGGCTTTACAAGGCTAAGGCCAGCCTCCACCCCCGGGTCATACGTCACCGGGGCACTACTCCAACAACACCGCTGATGGAGAAGAAAGATATCATCACTGAGAATTGCACTCTGATCAATGCATGTCAGCACATTTGACTGTCTGTCGGTGTGTGCTTAGCGGACTTCTGGTTCATGTACAATATTACTCTGCATCAGGGGCTGTACAATAAGTAGACATGTAATGATCAAGTGCTCGCATGAAGCATGACATTTATGTGGCGCGGCCTCGTGCTGAGCACCAACTGGGCAATAGGCAATGCCATCAACAACGCAGGACGGATTTAATGATAAGTCAAGATTAAGAAGTATTGTTATTGTATTCTATCCTATGGTTCTGTGATAGCTGCTGTTCATGGAAATCCACCTGGTTTTTCTGGATCCGCGGAAGAAGCCGTGGGCTGTAAAGTACCATGGTTCAGCTGTTCTATCTTTGGGACAGTGCGATCGTGGAAATCATTACCGAGAGTACCATGAATGTTAAAGGTAGTCTTCGACGCCGTCGTTGCCGTCATTCTCGTCGTCCGAGTCCATAGTCTGACCACTGGGCTCTGGGACACGCATGGTGGGAGCCTCGTGTTTTTCAAATCGTTTACCCTGCCCATGCTTAGTATATTTCTATCATGTCACAAGTGGACACAATCTGGTTAGCGACCTACCGGAACTTTTGCAAATTTTGAGGCCCTTTTCTTCGAAGTGAGCCTCTCGGGATCAGCATCCTGGCTGTTGGCGTCTGGTCTCACTCCCCAGGAAGCCCACCCGGTGTGGACTGATTTGGGAGCACCCGAGGGGGAGGCAGCGCGATGATGAGCAACTCTTTGGGCATCGTAGGCAGTAAAAAATAGGGGTCCCTGGTCTTTAGAAATCTCAGCATTCTCCTGAACCCGCTCAACCGATACACTGCCGGCAACAAAAGTAGCGTCATCATTTTTCTCGTCTTTTCCGGGCTGTCCCAGACCACGATAAGCAATCAGGGGAACACTCCTCAGGGTGAGTTTCCTGGTTGATGCGACCAAGGAATGTTCATCAAAGGGATTCTATCTTCCTGTTAACATTATCTTGCATCCGGTGCAACTGACCGAGCGCTACTTCGAGTTGCTTACGGTGGTGCGCGTGTCATAGGCAGTGGAGGGCTCGGTTTCAGTCAAAAGCTTGTGTTCCTCGAGCACCGGGGCGGCTTCAGCGTGGCTCTGTACGCAATTCATGCATCTCTGGGAAGGAGGACGTGTGTCAGCTGTGCCATCCCCGAAGCAAAATATGTTTATATCAGCACAACCATACCGCGGTATCCCGATCCTGCCTCTGCGTTTTGGCAAAGTCATCGAGGCCCTTGATCTTATCACAAACACAGCACCTCAATTCGACGGTCTGATTCCTAGTGCAGATACGGCATTTGGTGTTGTTCTTGACCAAAGCGACTCTCTGACCTTGTGCGAGGATGGCATGACGAAGGGCTTCGAGTTGTCTGTTGGAGTAGTTACTTGTGGACCGGACTTTGTGGCAATTTCCACATTTGATCCTTTGGATGTTCAACTAGTTGTTCTCGTATGGTGTGAGTAGAAAGGTTCTACCTACTTTTCTGGTATGGGGACATTCTGAAGCCTGTCATGTACTTTTCTCAGCACCCTGGTGTCGAGAAGACTAGAATCAGAATAGAGGGCTCACCGTTTCTTGATTTCGTCGCTGTAGCCCCCAGCATAGGCACTTCGAAAGGTAGGAGCCATTTGACCTGGTGTTGACTGAGGAAGAAGCCGAGGAGCAAGATCTGGGATGAGTTGCTGAGCTTGAAAGAAGGTGGGAGTGGAATAGGAAGAAAAAAAGCCTCAGAGAAGGTGTGATATTGTCGAATCTAAATACTGTCCTGGAGCACTTTAGGATGGCTCTGTGCACCTCGATGTATGCCTGAAAATTCGTACTCAGTGAAGACAGTGCTGATGCAGTGAATAGATGCCTTGCACGTCTCAAATTCTTGAGGAGAAGATGAAGACAAAGACTGGCCGATGGCCTAGATATGGGGATTCACTGTGAACTCAAGAAGACAGTGCACTGGATTGATTTGTGTCTCGGCATTGGGCAAGATCTCAGACGGAAAGCAGGTGAAAGTTCTGGGGTTCTTCTCCTGTCAACTGAGCCATCTAACAACAAGGCACCGGAAGATGGCTATGCTAGAGCTAGAGTCGTGTCTTGAAGTAAACATCTTTCTTAGACTTGAGGATTCCAGACCAATCCTTCCTGTCGCAACTATCCTTCGAAGCAAGAATCATACATTATAACAGCAGTGTCTCCATTGTGAGCAAGCTGAGCATAGCTCAACTGAACGACTGACAAACGCTTCAAGATTGGACCAAACGCAGCCAGCCGCAACAACACAACTTGAATGCTGGTTCTCATGCGGGAAGAGACATGGAGTTGGAACATATCTAAATGAACTCAGATCCCAGATTCAAGGTAGACCAAGCGAGCCAACATACACTTTAAAGTCGGTGCCCACACGATTGAAGCTAAAGAGACAGAGCCCTCAGACCGACTTCATTGATCATTCAGAACCCTCTGTACATATATACGAATGATCCTCGTACTAAGGATTCAGATAGGGATTCTGGAGACGAAGAGATTGCGTCTAGAGCACATTAACCCTTCAGTTTGAGTCTGAGCCCATTTCAGGTTTGCGATATTGCCAGAGAGCATCCAAGGTATTGTATGGCTAGCGAGTGTATCTAGTCAAGTCGAATGATCATTGCCCTCAAATCAATCCCGAAATCAGGGCACATGTGGCTTTCATGTTCATGCCTTTATTCCAATATCTTATGTACCCCTGCTTGTACTTGCATACACATCGGTCAATATAACTTATCATGAGAGCACAAGCACCGCATCCCTCGTATGACACAGCAGCCCCGATTATCTAGAGCCACAGGGATCGGAAACTGTACAACGGGGATCCAGCTCTCTGGGTCCCGGGTATCAGACAACGTCCAAGGTCTTGATATATCTTTCGGATCGAAGGGGCCGCAGGTTCTGCGAGCAGCATCCAAGGGGCCAACAGGCAACACCAAAGTGGATTGATGGGGTTCGCGAATTGGATACACTGTTTGGTGGATAGCTCTAGTATCATTCCAGAAGCATATCTACATGTTAGATAGTAAATGCCAACCTGTGTCTTGCAGGGGAGAGGGATTGCTCTGTTGATCTCTCCCGATGATATTGATAATCGACTAGATAACTCCCTGCTTTTGGACCAAGTCAAAAACGGGACAATCTCGGTTAGCTGCTCCCAATCTCCAACGGTGGCAATAATTGGTACTGCTAAGGACGGGGACTCCCGCGGTGCAGCGAGCTTCTCTGCTTTCTCTGGCTGGTCTTTTGGTGAGATTGCAAAGGGAATTGGTATCTGACTTCCTTGATCCTGGCATCTCCTGCCGTGTTCAAAATGCCTCATCCGAACTGAGAGTCTGTCTCCTTAATCTAAATCCTTCTGGAAGGCCATGGAAGCCTAACGGCTTCGACGCTTGGGTCTTACTAGAGATCGCTAATTGACGATAGCGGTTTTGGATTCTCCATCGATCAATGTATCAATACTTGGCAGTTAGTTCAATAGTTGTTTGTTTAGGAGAGAAGTACTTATGGAGTCCGAAGGTGTATACTGTGTAAACCATCATGAGATTTAGTACAAATGTTAGTTCCCGAAGACTTCAGTAAGTACTAAGTAGTAGACTAGACCATTCCACAACCAAGGACGGAGTACTTACTACGGAGTACAGAGTACTATCACCTTAGGAGTCTAGTAGGACGGCTTAGCATTATTTTGGAATTTCCTTTTTTCTTTCGACGAGACGGTTCGCAGATTGGAGGTGGTCCCACTCTGGGATCCTCTTTTCCCCAGCGAACCTTTTGACCGTTTGCTGTACTAGCAGCACTAGCAGCACTAGCAGGACTAACTGGCCACTAAGTGACTAGTACCATGGCCAGTCTCTCGGATAGCTGGGACGGGCCTGTTGCTAAGTGGGGGGTCCGCATTCCCCGACACCCCCCGGCGTAATCATTAGATCCACTTTTTGGTCCACTCATCTCTTCCGAAACCATCAAAATATCAGAAAGCCGATAAAAGTGACCAATGTTAAAGCGAGACTATTTATTTTCTTGTTCATTGTTTTTTTTTTTTTTTTTATTTCTGAGGCCAACCTCGAAAATACACTAAGCGTTGGTCATTCACTAGCTTGATCAATGACAATCCATTATTGCCACCCACTCGAGGTCTGGCCCATCTTAGTTCCTTTCAGGTCACGTAGACACGCACCTTTCCTGTCTCTGCCCAGGTGCTCCCAAACAGACTCCAAAATCCAAATGATTGACTGCCGCGACTAAATCAGCAGTTGATGACGGAGGAGGTCCTGATATCCACAGCGAGGCGCTGTATGGACGGATGGCTGGCTCTGGGTTTGTGTTAGGGACAGTAAGTAACGTGGTTCTGGGATGTTGATGCTGTAGCCTGTAGGTTTCCCGTTTCACTCTTATCGATGATTTTCGAGTTTCCACATCACTTCTGAATATTTGGAATAGATAGATGAATATCTGACAAGTAAGCAAGTCACCAAGTAGTGCGCAAGTGGCAATCAGAAGCTAGAGATAGATATATCAGGAGAACAACTGGAAAATAGGACAAGTCAACAAGCTCCGTGGAAGGATTGTCCCCCATGACAGCTCAGGAAGACGGGCCGTCCGTCTACCGTGGATCAAGTGACAGATGTGATATCTCGACTGGCTGGGACTCTTTGTTCCTTGAGGAAGGACTTGTGGACTGTGGCTTCTACAAAAGTACAGACTGATCAATAATTTGTGCCCCTTACTATGATTCAAAAGCCTAGATATGACAGATCTCGATCTGTTCCTTAAAACGGGCGTCTGTTTCTGTTATCCATATGCAGCAAGATTAAGCATATCCATACAATCTATCTACTAAATACCTGGATGGCAGAACAATGTACGGAGTACTCTGTAGACTATGTATATACAGTACAGTACTTGTAGTCATCAGTAGCACCGCTTGTACTCTTTGCACATGGCAGGACCAATAATTTACTCCCCTGCTTGGACAAGGACGCGATGAACTTCATAATGGGTGTCACAAAACTGTGTCACATGTCGCTCGAGGAGGACAACAGCAGCAGATCACCATCCGACATTCTTCTGGGTATGTACGGAGCGTGGGATAGCCCACCAATGATGTGTATGTCTAGACATCAGCCAGTTCAACTGCTCTAGTTCTGCTCAGGCGGAACTTGAGCGACGAAAGCGAAGGGAACAGCTGTAGCCAGCACAGCACTTATTGCACTAAAGCACTGCTACATAAGAAGATATTACTATGTGTTCAAGTATTGATTTGTATCAGGAGCATCCTTCAGTGCATAGGAATAAAATGCGAGGATCTGCCGTACAGGCTCGATTAATCTTGCATCTGGGTATGCAATCCTCCGTAATGATGCAGCGAAGACCCCAATGATCTATCCTGTTGCTAAGGCAATAGAATAAAGACACCTGCTACCGTCTATGACAATAGTATGATGGCGCTTATGGAAACAGACGATGATGGCTACTATTGACAATGGTCAGGTTGTGAATATTGTGAGCCATAGTAACACAGAAAGAGGCTACAGCAGCAGAGCGGATCATGTGGATTAATGCATTCCCATCAGATATGATATCTATGCACTGCGGTGGAAACATGGCTGCAAGGCCAAGATGAAGTAACGAACTCACAAAGTAATCGCTGATCATTGGACCGTAAGGCTATTGGGATTGGGATTCTGGATACCTTAGGTACTCTTTCCTGTGTGTTACCGTGGCATCACCAGGGTGTCAAGCCACGATGGAGCTGGAAGTCTTCTCCCCTGCCGCCAGCATCAGTTTGATACATCACTGTTGGGTTTCAGACTCGTTGATCTTATATACTTCTAAAGTACTTGGGTCATTGAGATTTGAGAGACAATCTGGAGGAGATATTATATGACTTGGCCCAGTTTGGGAACCAGAAGAGTGATTATCCTGACGTCTGTTGTTGTTTTGTTTATCACCTGATGTCATATGATGTTTGACTAGGTATGGAGTATGGAGTAAATAATGACGGATCTGCCGTCCCGGCTCCAGACTTCCACACTTCAGAGTCATGAACTATGAAGCTGACATTGACCTGGTACTTAGTTTTTGAAAGTCTGAATCACCTGCCACCTGTTGATCTATTTGATCATCTATGAAAGGTGGCGGTCAACAGGCTGGCAGCCACCAACCGATTTGTCCAGCCACTGCTGACGGCAAAAACACCAGTACCGCCAGAACAACTGCGTGAGGAATTCAAGTCACAGGATTGCGACCACAGTGACCACAAAATAATTAGTGTTCAGAACTTCAGATACCCAGTCAGTACAGTGGCTATCCACGTTGTCAGAGGCTATGGGCTATCCAGAATTCCAGATGAGTTGGAAAAGAGATCCTCCCATGGACTTATCCACCTTGTCCTGCACCCCCCATCTCTTGTCCGACAAGACTTGCATCAAGGTGCATGAACTGCGGCTGATGAGATGATTTCACTTTCTGTCTTGGGAAAGAGTAGACTCCCGGAACTACGGCGGCTACCCACTTTACCCCAAAGGCGAGCTCTTGGAGAAATGTAGGAAGTTAGGAAGCCTTCCGTCCGGCAACGACTGTACCGACTTAGGATGCTGGATCATAACATGTGGAATAAATAGCCACTGAGCCACTGAGCCACCGACCCAGGGTAGATAATAGCGCAGAACATCCTGTCAAGGTGGCGGGGGTAGGGGGGCAGAAACGAAGACACTTTTGATTTTTGGAAGTTCATCCGCACCTACCACAGCAACAGCATCCCACCTAGACATGTGTCACATATTCCGATGGTCCGATTTGTGAGCTCTTGTGATGTACTTACGAGCAATGATCGAGATCTTGATTTCTGGAGTGGGATGACGGAGCAACCTAAGTATCTACAGACTGCAGTACATACATCAACAAAGCAGCGACGAGTCAGCACCCAGATTATGACCAACACTGCAACACTGAACACAAGGCGAAAAAACACAAAAGAAAAGAGGGATGGAAAATGCGGCCCAACCCCTGGCCATCCTTACTAGGGCCCGTCTAACGATCGTTAGAGGCGGAGACCAGGTGGATCTTTCATCAGGGCTGGACTCGGAAGGGAAGCCCTTGAGAGCAGCGAGTGATGACTGATGAGTGATGACTGATGGACAATCCAGGTAGTTGGCTCGGGACGGCTCTCCTGTTCCTTTTTTATTGTGATTTTGTTACTGCTGCATTGACACCCAAAACCCGATGCGAACGCTTTCTGAGAGGCTGCCTTGCTTTTTTGGCTTCCCTGCCAATTTTTTTTTTCCCTCGCACACTTGATATTTAAAGTTTGTGATGGGTTAAGGTGTTTTCAACTGTCCTTTGTTGAGAGATGGGATGCTAAGGGACACCCCAAAAATGAGATGAAATGCTCAGGGTCTCATCTTAAAGCAAGCATCTCAAGATAGGTAGGCGGGTGTTTAGGACTGAAGAAAAATGGAAATTATTACAATCAGGTACGTACTGTGTGAAAATCATATTTTTTCGGACGGAAAATGGAGGGTTGAATTTAATCTTCGCACCCCCCGCGACGCATGATCCTATTGGTCCTAATTATAGCATTAGAAAAGTAACCCCACCACATTATTGCCTGAAGGAACTCCTGGTGAAATCTAGCTGTAACATCTATCGAGACTATGGTAAATAAAATGGGCTCTGGACATAAACCTTCAACGCTTGAAGTGTTTTGTGTTTTCGCTATATCTACGGAGTAGGACTTTGATCTCTAAGAACGGAGTAGACGTGTACCTAGTAGTTAAAGGACCCAAGTACTTCAAACGCTAGAGTCCGTTCGTTTGTTCTCTCAGTTGCGACGAGTAACTTTCATTGTTTACTTTTCAGTTGTCTGTACCTCCGAGGTCCATCAGGCCTTTACCTGGCATCCCCCTGTAGTCTTGATCTAAGTTGATTCAATTTGATTATTTTTGTTCTGTATTATTATTTATTATTATTCCGCCTTGGTAATGGATGTTGCTCTTCCGTATGATGATTACTCCCTTTTAGATATATTCCCTGCCGGTGTGGATATCTCGTTTCTCACCTTTCCTTTCTGGTGCGATACCACCACCCTCCCTTATGAGTGCTCCGTACTCCGTGGTATTATCGTTTTCCCCTAAAAATAATATGAAAAATAGGCCGGATTCTTCCTGTTTCTTTTTCTTTTTTCTTTTTTTTTTTATCTTGTCTTTTCTTGTGGTCCTTTTGGTTTTCCCTTTCTCGATTTCGATTTTTTTTTTCTCTACGACTATTCTTGTACATAGTAAGTTGTACACAGTAAGAGAGTTCGTTACGAGGACTCAGTAACCACCCGAATTGCTTACTGCTGGCTACGTCGCTGTAGGGACAGTAATGTTACAAATGATTACAAGTACTCAGTTACCTACCTAATCATTCGGAATAAATCACCCATAAATCATAGGTAATAATACCAGATGTTTTGCGTGGTCTCTCCATCTCCGTAGTGGTACATTCAATACTTCCATACGATCTATATCTCCCTTCGGACCACTCACACTCGCTCTTCATTTAACTAAACTCCCCCCAACCTGTTCATACTCCATCCTACTTAGTCTACCTGTTGTTGCTGCAACAGGGAGAAAAAGGAGTTATTCGTCCATGTCAGCATCATCCCATCAACCCCGACAGTAGTCCCACGGAGACTGAAATTGCTTGAGAACAGTACTATAACTGTTGTCCTGTCTTGCAGTTGCAGCTACATACTGCTGGATAGAATACCTTCACCTACCTCTCTCATCGTCATCAACACCACATTATCTCTTCCTCTGTGATCTGCAGCATTGATCTCCCCCCCCCCTTCTCCTCACACTTGCTCCGTTCTCCGTTGTCGACCGCTTCTTCAGTCCCCACGGCCCCATTTCAAGCCTACCTAGGAGGCTAGTACGACTACATACGTCGTAGTCCGAACAGGATTAATTTGGGAGGCCTTTTTGGAGCCCAGACTAGCACAGCTGTCACCGTGTGTCCGCGTCAGGGGTTTCTTGCGCAAAAAAAGTCGGTATATTCGATCTTCCTCTTGTTTAAACAGTTCCCACCAAAACGGGTCCAGTTATCACTACAGTGATCACGTCCAATCCTCCGGGTCTTCCATCTTGCTTCCAGATCTTCCTCCTCCTCCACCTTCGTTTTTTCCCTGAGAGCTATCCTGAGAAGTTATTACTATCTACTACCTACTGCTCACTTACATACATACATACATACCCCCCTCCCCCCTCCCCTTTCCTTCCCACCCCTCTCCCTCTCTCTCTCTCTTCCTCTCCCACTACTTCATCGTTTGTTTGAAACCCATCCGATTACATCTATCTAAACCAAACCCCACGCTTCCTTCGATCCACACTTTCTTTTACTACTTGCTTGAACCATCGATGGGATTGAATCATATCCTCTGCTTCTCCTCCTCTCAACGACTCGACTTGCTTCCCTCCCGAATGATGAGAACCTGCTTGCATTGAACCTCTTCCCTCACATCTATACCACTCCCTAAAACCACTCCCAAGAGTGTGACATCGTGAATGACACTTATCACTGCCGCAAACTTGTCATTGACCCGAAGCCGGACATAGTCGCCAACACTTCCTTTGATTCATCTGCCGGCAGAAGATCCCAAAGAGAGTCGACATGACCGTCAGCTACGACTACCCGCCCTCGCGGTGCCCTGCACCTGCTTCAATGGCTACGCTCGAAGACAGATTTGAGGTCATCAAGGAGGTCGGAGATGGTAGCTTTGGTAGCGTTGCAGTGGCCCGTGTACGCACAGCCGGCTCCAATATCGCGAGACGAGGGACTATGGTAAGACATCCCCCCCCCTAGTTACGAGCATGAAGATCAAGGCCCGCTGATCCTTTCGTCAGGTTGCAATCAAAACGATGAAGAAAACTTTCGACTCATTGGCCCCTTGCCTGGAGCTGCGCGAAGTCATCTTCCTACGGACTCTTCCCGCCCATCCCCACCTTGTCCCAGCCCTGGACATATTCCTTGACCCGCTCTCCCGAAAACTCCATATCTGCATGGAATATATGGATGGCAACCTTTACCAATTGATGAAAGCTCGAGACCACAAGTACCTTGAAGGGAAACACGTGAAGAGCATTCTCTATCAGATCCTGGCTGGTCTTGATCACATTCATGCTCACCACTTCTTCCACCGGGACATCAAGCCCGAGAACATCCTAGTGTCGACATCCGCTCCCAATGACTCGGCATTCAGCCGCTACTCAAACCTTGTCACTCCTCCTTCGACACCCCCAACCTATACTGTGAAGATCGCCGATTTTGGCCTCGCCCGAGAGACTCATTCGAAGTTGCCGTACACAACGTATGTTTCGACTAGATGGTATCGCGCGCCGGAAGTTCTCCTGCGTGCAGGAGAGTACTCTGCCCCAGTGGATATGTGGGCTGTTGGTGCTATGGCCGTCGAAATCGCTACTCTGAAGCCCTTGTTCCCTGGTGGCAACGAGGTCGACCAAGTTTGGCGCATCTGTGAGATTATGGGCAGTCCTGGTAACTGGTATAGCAAATCAGGCACCAAACTTGGCGGGGGTGAATGGCGGGACGGCTCCCGTTTGGCGCAGAAGCTGGGTTTCACTTTCCCCAAGGTAAGACCGCTATGGTATCCTATCGAGGCAAGTATGGTAGCTTACAATGACCTCAAACAGATGGCACCTCATTCGATGGAGAGCATCCTGCAAACTCCTCAATGGCCAGCATCTTTGAGCCACTTCGTGACATGGTGTCTAATGTGGGATCCGAAGGCCCGGCCAACTTCAACCCAAGCGTTGAACCATGAGTATTTCGCGGATGCCGTTGATCCACTGCGACCAAAATCCTCTACATCACGGCTGCTCGGTCGCAAGCAGTCCGACAAGAGCTTCCGATCGGCAACGCGAGATTCGAGCGACTCCCCGACCACCTCCAAGCCGTCCTGGTTCAGAAGATCTTTGATCGGGAGATCGGAGAGCCCTGCCCCAACCTTGGAAAATGAACAGTCTCTCCGTCCACCAGCAGTGTCGTACAACACTACACCCGACATGCAAGTCACCAAAAGCAGACCCGCTTTTGCAAAGCGCGCCACGTGGGCGAATGGGGCCCCGATGCCTATCCTCCCCTCCATCCGTCCGGTATCGCCCCTATCCAACGCAGTCACGGCCCAAGCCAACTCAACTCTCGCTCATGGTGGAGATAACGCCAATCTAGGTGTTGGTAAAGTTAGCAAGAAGATTGGCCGCCAGCTTTCTCTCAATTCCCACGGCAACCACTACGCCGAGACCCACCGGCAAGAGGCCGAGAGGGCGCTCAATGGGGCCGGCAACTTGAATGCCCCCATTAGCCAGAAGGAGGGCTTTTTCGCTCATCTCCGTAAGAGGGCTCGCAGGCTATCAGGTCGCAATCAAGCTAATCTGGGAACCGATGACGTCGAAGCGAACGCTGGCTGCATGCCATGGTCGAACAGATCATCTCTCGCGCTGGATTCTGTCAATCCCGGGGACGTCAAGCACAATGACCTCACCGAGTTAGACAAGGCTTTACAGCATGTCAAATACTCTCTTGACTCGGCCGCTATCGGAAACGTCCCTGTCCAGATCACTGCTGGCGACGCTAGCAAGCGTCAGTCGATGCCTCAGGGATCCATTCGTTCAATGACAGAGAGCCCCGTTGCCACGGGTGCTACTCCCGGGCCTATCTCGAGTCGGACTCGGCGTGCACTGCAGATGTCCACTCATCCCATTCACCGTTACGAGACCCCTGAGGAGGAGGATGAGCTTCTCGATGAGGTTTTGCATTCGGCAAGCAAGGCTGCTAAACGCCTGGCACAGCATGAAACGTCATCGGATGCTTCGTCTACATACAGTCGTCAAGCTCTTGGGAATGACGGCTCTCGCCCTTTACCCAGCCCCTACCCAACTCCTTCGCCATCTGCCAAGTGTGATGGCGTCTCCTTTGGTCAGCATGACCTGACTTATTGCAGACGCGGACGTCTCCCTGAAGCAAAGATCGACCATGCAAGCTCGACTCGTCAATGGCCCACTCCTCCCTACGAGGAAGGCGACTGGATGAACCCGACTTCATCCACTTTGTTGACAGGATCTACCTGCAAATGATCTCACCCAAATTTTCCTCTCACTCTCTTGATCCTCCCTCACCAGTTTTTTATTCTATTTTTTATTTCCTTGTCTCGCGTCTTCGGAAGAACAAAAGAAGAGAAAACGAGGTCATAATGCGCATAACCCGGCTATCTCACCGAGCACGGCGTACTGGATCTGGTGTCTACCCTATTCTCATTTTATTGGAGGAGTTTCTCTATTCGCCTTGTATCTTTTCTTTACTCGCCTTGATTTCTTCGGGAGGGAGCATCGGTCAGCCCGGGCTTGGTTCTTTTCGCTGGTTCTTTTCGTTTTCATACCCCCAAAGGCCTTTTATAGATGGTCGGCCTCGCAACTCGTTTTCGGCATACTTTTGCTTTTTCGCTTTCTATTCTTTCCCTTGTTGATCTTTTATCTTGTGGATTCTGATCCCTTTGCTTTGATATACCCTGATACCAACCGCGCGAGCCGCGAGATCTACCATCATTTCCCCTATATATACATATATACAGACCCCTCTGTCGACCCTCAAACCTCACCATCAAGTCTTTCCTTTGTCAGTCTGCTTTTTTCTTTCACCACCTGTACATTTTTATTTATCTTTCTGGGGCATATCAACCCTCGCCTGTCACTCTTTGCTGTTGCGCTTGGGGGAGGTCACCCGACTTATCTCGTCGCGAATCTTCTATTCTCACTGTACAATTTTGCTTTACCCTTTTTTTTCTTATTGAGAATGACGACGCAAGTCGATGGCTCAAGTTTTGTAATATAATTCCTACTGGGGGCGGCGGAGCCTCTTATACATATACCTGCGTACATATACCTAATAGATACGGACCATGATCGATCTGTGCTGACTGCTTGATTCTATTGATTTCACCATCATTCTTACTAGTAGGAAGACATTGAGAGCAACTTCGGGAATACTCTGGCGAGACACTCACTACAAGTCGACTTCCTCCATGCGAGGCTATTGTACGGAGTACAGTTGGTGATAAGATCTTCCGGAACAACAATGCTCCGATATTCTTCAGAATTTCCCGAAACAGTACAATCGAGAGGTGGAGTAGTAGATGCCAATTTCTTCTACCAAACCCTGTATGGAAGAAAGCTCTTGTTCTTAATTGTGACATGGGCATGCTCTTTTGATTTTACTCTTTCCTACCAACTATAAAACAATCTCGACTTTCATCATCTACGGTCGTTGTGAGCAACCGGAACGGTCCAGAGCGAAAGCTCTCTTCTGCAAATCACCTGCTGGGTCTTGGGATTCATTACCTATTCCACCAGCCCGATCCGGTAGCTGTTTTCCAAAGATCCCTTCTTTCCAACAAAATAAATAAATAAGTACCATGTCAGCTCAACGCCAGGCCTCATCCGCCTCCCAGACCCCTCACCTCTCCCCCGCAGAACTTTCCTACCTCTACACCTCTCTCGCGCTCCCCGACAGCCCCATCCGCCCAGACGGCCGCTCATCCACACAATTCCGGCCCCTGAGCGCGGAGACAGACATTCTTCCCGGCACAAATGGCAGCGCGCGTGTCGGCTTCGCAGACGGCACACAGGCGATCGTCGGCGTGAAAGCCGAGGTCGAGAAGACGGTCATCCCGACGGAGGCGCTGAGGGTCTCGGTCTCGCAGTTGTCTCGGGGCGATGATGGCGCGGAGGACAAGGACGGGGCGGGCGCTGCAGGCGGCCATGAGTCATGGGTGCAGATGTCCATTGAGATTCCCGGGTTTCGGGATGATGATGCCTTGCCTGTTTTTCTGTCGGAGATGATGCGCGAGCCGCTCATTGAGAGTGTCTCAAGTGGGCAGGGCGGGGACGCGGAGATGGCTGGAGGGTTGAAGGGGAGGTTGGTGATTAATCGACGCTGGCATTGGAGGTTATATATCGATGTATGTGGATTTTGCTGCGGTGATTTTTTTCCGAAGGGTTGAAGTTTTGCGCGGGAGATTGGACTAGGCTGACTTTGGATTTTTTTTGTTTTGCACTGCAGGTTCTGCTTCTCTCTCAGCCTCTGTCCTACCCACTTCCTCTGCTTTCTCTCACGACACATCTGGCGCTTCTGTCGACGAGGCTGCCCAAGCTTAAGTCGCAGGGCGAGGAGGATCCCTTCTTCGACGATGACTGGAACGCAGCGGAATACCTCTATCCGCGCTCGGGTACTGGGAGTGGTGTGAAGGATGCCTCTGTGCCCTCACCTCTACAGTATGTTCGGCCTCCGGTGACGCTTCTGGTGATCTCCGTGGGTGATAATATCATCTTCGATCCCAACAGAGAGGAGATTGCCGTTGCGGACGCCGTGATGGCATTGTCGGTCACGCGCGATGGAGAGACCGGGGGTTTGAAACTGCTGTCTATTCGTACGGTGGATCCGCCGTCCCGCTTGACGCAGCCTGGTGTGCCCAATTCGGAGAATGTCGCTACGTTAGGTTCTACCGTGGCTGCGGAGGAAGCGGCGATTGTCAACCCATCGACCGGCGAAGAAGAAGTCCCTGGAGTCTGGAGACCTCGTCGTGGTGGAGTTAAGAGGGGCACAGTCGCACGCATGGTGAAGATGGTGCTGGAGAAGGGCGGCGTGGGCGAAGATGTATTAGAGGGGCTCGAAGGCGTCTCCGTTGGTTGAAATAGATGATGCGGTCTCAAAAATGAACTACGCTCTGGCGCGAATCCTCGCCGACTCTTCTTGTGTCATGGGCTGGTTGAAATGACATGATGGATAGTGTTAGCTCACCACGCCGTTGCGAAGGACGGGGGTATACTGTGGTGACTGGTTTCAGGCAGGAGAAATACCTCGAGCAGGAAATTTGACCGACGCTCGAGATACAGCCGATCTGACGTCCACGCAGGTTTTTTGCATGCAACTGACACACGACCAAACGGTATGCGTATCGTGTGTATCCCTTGAACAGGAGTATATCATGTACATAGAGAATAATACATGGGTCGAGCCAAGATCCCAAACAAAAAAAAAAAAGAGAAGTGTAGTCTAGTATACAGCGCCCATCAATGTCTCCGATATCATCATGCCCATACAGCCAGAATGCCTGCCTAGCCATAAACCACCTCCGCCCACCGAAGTTCCGCTTGATTCCCCCCTCTCTACCAAATACCCAACCACTTCTTCACGGGTTTCTTCTGCCCATCCCAGTCAACATACTCCGCCCCACTGCTTGCCGGCACATCAACAGCGACAGGTGACTGGTCATCAACGACAGGCGCATCCGCATCCGCATCGGCCTTGCCGTCCGTCTCCGCGGGTTCCTCCAGCCCATGCGCGATGCGATACTGGCGCCTCTTCTCCGCATCCTCGACCCGCTTGAGCCGCTTCTCCCGCGTCTCGACCGAGTTATGCTGCACATGCATGCGGAAGACAGCCAGCGCCTGCGACACGGTGTCGATCGGGTGGGCGAACAGCGCCGACCACGGCGGGAGCAGATGCGCGTACGGCGAGCTGTGCTTGAAGTTCGTGGTGAATGTGAACGTGGCCAGGGATGTGAGCACACCCTATTGGAAAAAAAAAATGAAACAAAATCACGTTAGCCCTTGTTCGTCTCCGTTTTTCTCCTACCAACTGCGATTTCCTGCCCGGGTGAACACTAACCATCGCAATCCAGATATGAATCCACCGACTCGTCAGAAACTTATACATCACCGTCCCCTCCGGCGGGAACATATTCGGATACTCCCGGTGCTTCTGCTCCTCCTTCTCCTTCTCCGACAGGCGCGGGCCCGGATAGTTGATGGGCCCGCCGCCGCCGACGACCTTGCCGTTGCGCGTCTGCACGACCCGTCGCGCGGGGTGCGACGGCGGGCGGAACTTGTCTGGCTGGGCGAGAACGCGCGGTTTGGCACTGGTGCTGTTGTCTGACGAGGCGCAGCGGCGCGTGGAGGGGATACTGGTGACGGTGCTCAGGCGGGTTGGGGTGCTGCGGCGGGCGAGGGCGTGGAGGGTGCGTTGGGAGGGCATCCCGCGGGGGAGCAGGAATTGGGGGATCGTGCTGGGGGACATGGCGTGTGGCATATGAAAAACGTATGCTTGCGGGAGGGATAATGGAAGAAATTATTGACTGTTGGGCTAGCTACTCCGCGATGTTGACGGGGGTTGACGCTTTTTTTCCCCTCGGCGATGTTGATAGCAATCACGTGACTACACATGTTGTAGTCTTATAGGCTAGATTGGGACCCGAATACTATTTTCTCCCTGCTTTAGAAGCTACAACTTATCTAGTTATTTACAAGCAGACTCAGCATATGGACTAGAGAAACAAAATATGTAGATTGATCGAGTCAGCATAAGATGAGCCAGGTGTTGGCGAGTGACGGGATAAAGTTCATTGTTCCTATCTACTTCGTCCCAGGCAATCAACAATGGTGGTGCCTGTAACCTCAGGCCGCAATGGATCGGACCACCCCCGGCGGAGCGGAACCCAGTGGCAGAAGCAGTCGGCGATCCGGGCAAAGAATCAACAAATAACAACGCAGCGATTCAAAATCAATTCCAGATAACTACAACAGGAAAAAAAAAGAATCCGGATTCAGGGCGGTGACGCAGGCTATATTTAGAAGGTGTGTTACCTACTATCAGCAAGCGTGTCGCGAGTCAGGACTCCAAAGAGAAGACTCATGGATTGAACACGACAGGAAATAGAGTCAAATACTTCCAAGAACGGTCATTCCAAGAGTGTAAGTAGGTACAAAGCACCTAGGAGCTGAGTCATCATCCTTGTGCTGGCAGAGTTGTGAGCTTGGAATGATATCATCACGCTGGTGGTTGCCATTGACGGCGAAACTGTGCGATATGCCTATGAAGTGTATCAGTAGTCTAGATAGGATTGACAGCAAGCATACTGTAATCTGTGATAGACGAGAACCTCGTCAGACGATGTTATGACCTTTGATGACAACTACGCCAGGAGACAAGAGTTGAGTGATGCCATTGACGTAAGGCATCCTCACCGGCAAATTTCGCGGTCCCGACAGCGCCCGTTTGCTGCTGAATCATCTCGATTGTCATTGGCCGAAACCCTGATCACGGGAGTCATCGGGGGCAAGAACGGCCGCATCTACAAATTCGCCCGCAAGTTTTTCTCCCCCTACCAGCTCGCTCCCATTTTCTTCCCCAATTGATTCTTTTTTGGATTTCGTCCTTCTGTACAAAACACATCCTTCTCTCATCTCCTCTCTAATCAATCTCCTTTCAATTCTACCTGTATACATTCAAAATGGGCAAGGACGAGGGTTTCGCTCCTGGTAAGCTTACTCCTCTCTTTTTTTTTTTTTTTTTTTTTTTTTCTCCCTCTTGCGACTTGCCGGTTGTGCTCCCATTCACTGCGACTGGATCATGTTGGCCAGCTGGATGTTTCAGCTGGGCGTGGAGTGAATCATGGGACTCGAGGAAAGCATTGAGGAAAAGCCGTTCGTGCTCTCTGGCTGCTTGTCTCGAGACTTTGGTGCACTGCTTGCGCGCTGATAGCGAGTGTCCTGTTCGTTCATCACACTGTCGAAGAACATCTCAGCTTCGCCCATTCCAATCATAATCCATTGCACGATGACGAGCTTCGACACTTTCTGCCTCCTCATTACACATGCGCGAAGCCGAACTAGAAGCGGCGGAAAGGGCCAAACAGATCGCTGACCCAATGGTAATTATAGGTGACGCTAAGAAGGGTGCCAAGCTCTTCCAGGTGAGTTTTTGCTCTTATAACCATCGCGATCTCTTGGTTCAGCGACACTAACTCTGCTATTTCAGACTCGCTGCGCTCAGTGCCACACTGTCGAGGCCGGTGGTCCCCACAAGGTCGGCCCCAATCTCAGCGGTCTCTTCGGCCGTAAGACCGGTTCCGCCGAGGGCTACGCCTACACCGATGCCAACAAGCAGGCCGGTGTCACTTGGGACGAGAACACTCTGGTAGGCTCAAATACCAACCCGACATGAGAAGCGGCGATTGTGTGTGCTAACGGTGCTTGACAGTTCTCCTACCTCGAGAACCCCAAGAAGTTCATCCCCGGTACCAAGATGGCCTTCGGTGGCCTGAAGAAGACCAAGGAGAGAAACGATCTGATCACGTATGTACCCTTGGAACCTTGACTGCGAGAATAGGCGCTAACCCTTTTTTCCCTTCCCACAGCTACCTCAAGGAGTCTTGCGCTTAAACATGTTCGCATTAAAACATCACTTATCTCTGATCCTGCCGCGTGGGTCCTGGATGCGCGTTCTGCGGTAAAAGCAGACGCTCGGCAGTGCTACGGACAGGGCATGTAATATTACTCCAACCTTGTTTAAACGCAATAGACCTGATGTTTCCTGTGTGCTGGAACATGGCGGATATCATAGAGTCCGAGCGTGCGCGCGATTGTTCTTCTATCTTGTCTTCCCATCTCTCGTCACCTTTTCTCCGATGATCATGTCTCCCGTCGGATTTTGTGTATCATGAAGACCATAATGAATTTAAGAGATCTCCCCTCCATGATACCCTTTTTTTTTCGGTTGTATTTGCGTCTTATTGCTTCATTTCGCAGGTACTCGGTTCGGGCCAGCCGGTCCCACGTGCGTCATCGGGCATCACGTGTTGGTTGATGTAGCCTGGTGACCTGGTAGTAAGTTTGGTGCCTTGCTGCCTGAAAATCAGTTCCGCATCGACTCGACCCTGGACTTTGGATAGATTCGTGGACGTTGACATGGCATGGCATGGCATAGCATGAGTTTCAGGTTCACTTCTGCTTCTTGACTCCTGAGATCCAGTCGACTCTCTCTAGAGTAGGTAGGTATCGTCCTACTACCTACTTACTGGCCTATCCTGTTACTCCGTGTCTTGTTACAACCACCTAGAAGGCGATCCTGCGGCCATACCTCCGTCAGTTGCTCCCTGATTGGCCCCCGCGCGCAGGCCACGCTGTCCATCAGAGTGAACAAGATGGAGTACAGCCTATCATGCCTCTAGTCCATGGCCATAATAAGAGGGATTAAGTATCTGCTGTCGAACTGATCTGATCAGAATCGTCCCATCCTGCAGGCTCAGACTGAAGACTACGAGGGCGCTGTACGGTACAGTACAGCTGGAACAACAGGCACATGACTCCCAGCGCACACCATTGGTCCAGCCACTCTCTGCGCCCCCCTCTTCTTTCACCCTGGCCAATCGCATTGTCCACTCAATGACACCTCAGTGCCTGAGGTACCGACCCAAGTCTCTCCCCCCCGAAGTACCTTCTCGCCCGCTTATCTAAACGTCGATAGGCCCTCTCTATCTGTCCCTCGCTATCTATCTGTCTGTCTATCAAGACGCGATCGAGTCTCACATTCCCCATCCATCCCGTTCCTGTTCATATCCTTCTTAGCTGGATTCCATCGAGACGCGACTTTGTCCATACTAACGTGCTCCTATACAGGACTTGATTGCTTGATTTTCCTCCGTGGAATGTGGCAGCCCGTTTGATGCAAAGCGCCTCTCCTGTTTGTATGTAGGTAACTCCCAGGCCACCAAGACTGTCGACCAGGCAGGTTGAGTGACTTGTCGCACTCCAGTTAGTCAGTCAGAGGCCAAAGACCCAAAGACCAAGGCCAGCCGTTCGAGTCCTCAGGCATCAAGGCTCTCTACTCCTCTCGCTGGACCTTCGTTCTTCTCTGCGCAGCGCATTCCCATGTCTTGCATCTCCCCATTGCTGCATCTGACATTCGAATCGTTGACCTCGTTGCTACTGCTGCAACTTTCATGTTCCTTTTCTGCTCATTTCTCTCCGACTGCGCATCCTTCAGAACTCACCGTACCTTAGCGCGCTTGCGACTAACCCCCTCCCTCAAGCTACTCACTCCTACTACTACTACTACTACTACTACTACCCACTATCGCTCTCTCAGTAAACTGTCTCCCTCTTGAGTTCGTCGCTTGAATAGCGCAGTGACTGAAGTGGCTTTACAAGTTCGATATAGTTTGTGCGCAACGCCGTCCATCATGCTGGATGAGCTAGATAACGTGTTTGACGATCATCCGTCGCTGGATGCCTCCTTGGAGGACTTTGAGAACCACAGTAACGCCCATCGCTCCCCCGTGTTCGGTCTTCCATCGCAGCATTCCGGGTTTCGATCAGAGGAGTCGGAGGGCGAGGAAGAAGAGGCCACGCCCAACGGTGAGCGCTGGTCGCCTCCGGGATTTCGCAGGCATGACTATGTGCAAGGGAGTGGATGGTATCGCCATCAACCCTATCTGCGCAAAGGCGAGGACGATCAATTACTGCTGAAGCCGACCGTGGGAGTCAGCCCGTCGCAGTCGCGCGAACCGAGCCCGCAGTACGAGGATGCGATCGAAACCCTCGCGGCGAAGAAGCGCAGCGAATCGGCCGATACAGGCGTTGCGACCATCGCTGCCAATGTACCGCTCCCCGTTGATACGGATACGCCGTTGAAGGGACGGTCTCCCAGTCCAGGCCCGGGGACGGCGCCCAGAACCGGCCCTGAGAATGATGGATTGGACTTTGGGTTGGAGAATCACCTAAGCAATTGTAGGCTCTATCTTGGTTTGCAACCCTTGACCAGCAGACTGGGCGCGGGATACTAATTGGTGGACTTTTTTTTGCTTCAAAGATATACGGTTTGCTGTGCGCGCAGAAGTCCAGCATCGCGAACCTTTTGTCGCGTTCTTTGGTTACTTGCGATCCAAGTTCGACAAGATCACTAGCTCCAAATCTAACACCACTTTATCCATCCTGATTGCCCTTCTCTCCATTACCTTCATGCGCGCATTGTTCCTCCCTAACCTCCCCCAGTCGATCCCGGATCTGGTGAAGCTGTCTAGCTTTGCGCGATCCTTTGAGCCCCTCATCTACTACTCAGAAAATGGCGTGCAGCAGATCGGGACATTGCAGGAGACCGGCGTCGCCGTGTGGGATTTGAGTGAATCCGTACGCGGGACCAATATGACCAGCGCGCCCATCATCGTGCGCCAGCTGGATGAGCTCTCAGAATCCCTAAAGACCTTGTCGCTTGAGCTAACACGATTCTTTGCCAATGTCGACTCTGACGTGGATTCAATCCTCATTGTCATGGACTGGGCGAAACGAGAGCTGGAAACCTTATCATCGCAACCGCCTAGCTCGTTGCCATCCATTGTTCTTGACAATGTACACGACCTCCTGTCGCAATTGGGCACACTCGAGCGTGTGTCGGGCCCTAGTGGCGAGGTGGCCGACGGCGAACTCACCACCGCTCCAACCACGTTCGGTCTCGTGGTGACGGCCATTTTTGGTCAGACTTCGGCGCAGCGGACGCGAGCGACGCTTACCCGGACCTTCACCGAGTTTCTCTCTGTGCTTGAAGAGTCCATCAACAGCGAACTGACTCATTCCACTGCGCTCTTTGCGCTCTTTGAATCCATCGACCGCCAGTTTTTGAATCTGCAGCGCACCGTCGTCCGTGAGTCTGATGCACAAGAACGCGCCGAGGGCGAAATGCTGAGCTCCCTATGGACCCGAGTCCTCGGGCCGGATGCCGCCGTGGTGCGCAAGTATGAGAAGAACAAACGTCTGCTGGCCAATGTCCGCAGCCGGACCGTTGCCAACAAGCATCTCCTGATGGACCATCGCGGCCGCCTCCTGACCCTCAAAGTCAACCTCGAAACTCTCCGGCGCAAACTCGTCAGCCCGCTTGTACGGCGAAACGACTCGGTAAGCTTCATTGGTGCGGCTGAAGCGGGCAGCAGCCGCAGTAACGGGCGGATGCTGGGGCCCGTGGAAGCCGTCATCGAAGGTCAGATTCGCGGGCTGGAAGGCACATACGACTACCTCCGCTCTGTTCGGGAGAAACAGAAAGCCAAACTTATGGAGATGGTGTACGGATCCGGGCGGAAACTCCCATCACAATCCATGCTCGCAGATGGCTCGGACGATCCAGGATCAGATACCATCGACGGACTCTGAGTCGCCGAAGGAGGGGATCTTGAGACCCCACGACACAACTACATACACACATACGCAGCTGTCTTTCTTCATCTTATCTTGCGATCGGGTTTGTCTTCCTCCTTCAGTGTACCTTTCACTACGGCGTTTCCTCCATCTAGACGCGGGGCTTACATCGGTGTTCTGCGGTCATCATCACATCTGGTATTTATTCATCTATCTATCTATCTATCTGGTCTGGGCTAGGTTCACTCAGCGTTGAAATCATTCCCTTCCGGCGTCCATCTGCGTCTGCGTCTTTGCGCACCTCAACCACCCTCGTCGCATTTTCCTTCTTCTTTTTCCTGGCGAAACTGAGGTCAAAAGCGGGAATAGACGAGTGGGCTTTGTTTCTCCTCCCTTCTTCCTTTTCATCTGGCGATCCTTGGTTGTGTTTCTTTTCTTTTTGTGTGTTTTTTTTTTATCATGATACACTGGGTTAAGGTTAAGAAGGAAAGGAGCAAAGGGGGGGCGCTCATATTCTTCCTTCCTTTCTTTTTTTTTTTTTTTTTTTAGTTCCCGTTTACTACTTCTTGTCTGCTGGCGTTTTTCGGCTTTGGTTTTCTTTTGTTTTCTTTCTGCTTTTCCAATCTTTCGTTTGACATGTATGTATCCCCCGGGAGCCTCACGCCTTGTCCTTATGTTCTTGCTGGTTGGCATATCTGGTCTAGCATGTATGTGGCATCTTATCAACTTCACACTTCACTACCTATACACTCTCCATACTTCTCCAAAACAGGTTCAGTAATAGGTACAAGATGTAATTCCTGTAACTTTGGAGACTTGTACTTTTTTTTTCTGCCAAAAAAAAAGGATAGATATACACGTTAAGTCCAGATCCAGATTCACAGGGGAACCTAGAAGTAGAAGCAATAGCAAAGAAAAATATTCACAGCAGAAATTCCCAAGATATAAGGAAAGTAAAAAAGAAAAGACTGCCCCGGATATGCGCCCTGCATGAAAAAAAAAAAAAAAAAATAAGAACAAAAACCAGTCTGAAATCAACCCCATGAAACTCCATTTCAGTATGCGCTTTGCTCCGTAAGGCAACGGAGAATTTGTTTAATGTTGATACTCTCCACTTTCCCGCCCTCCTCCTTGTCTAGAATCACTTCATGTGTCAAGGTAGAATGGAGCCATATTAATAACCGTACCCGCCTCCGCTGTACGGCGTCGCACCGTATGGCGTCGCGGCGCTCGCGCCCCAGGCACTGGTGCCGCCGTTGGCGTACGCGGTGAACCCGCCGTCCATGCCCTCCGGCGGCTCGTAGGCATCCGGGCTGCGCACGCCCATCATGTCGTCGTCGTCGCCCATGCCGCCGTTGCCGGCGCCGGAGAGGGAGGAGATAACGGTGGCGAGCTTGCGTTGCAGGACGACGATGCCCTGCTGGATGATGGTGTCCGGGTCGAGGTTGCCGATGCTCTCGACGTCGATGTAGAAGTTGTTGGGGGTGGCGTCGTAGTCGAACGGTTGGTCGGGAGGAGCGGCGTGTTCCCAGGCAGCGTTCTGCGAGATGGGCCTGAGATGAAAGAGCAGGAAATCAATCAGTAACGCTGGAGTTTGGAGCACGAGACAGACAACCTAGCTGAGGAATAACATACCACTCCTTGATGGGATCCTCCTCGTACCAATAATCCACATGTCGCAGGTTATTGTGCGGATCGTACTCGAAGCCCACGGCGGCCGTGGGCGCCCACTTCGCATGCTCCTTGGCCATCCCCTTCTTCGCAATACAGGTCATCTTAAGCTCCTGGCCGCGGCGCAGCTTGCAGATCAGCGAGCCCTTGCCCTCCGGGTCCGTGAGCACGGGGGTGCCGACCCACTCGTTCGCGCGCTCGCCCGTAACCACCAGATCACGCGCGTACACCGGCATGATCTCGTCACCCGTGCAGCGCGCGTGCAGTGTCAGGGTGACGCTGCAGCGCGCGCAGCGGTCCTCGCAGTCACAGTCGCGCGTGTACTCGACGTCCTGGTCGCAGTTCTTCGAGTTCAGCGGGATCAGGCCCAGCCGGTGCGCGAGGAACTCGTCCGGGAGTACCGACGTGTTGCGTTCGACTTCCACCAGGTCGATGGCCATCGTGGGCACTTCGGCGAGGATGACGCGGCGCAGCGAGTTGGCGAAGGCGAGGTCCACGGAGCTGAGTTTGAAGTCGACGTGGTATGGCTCGGCCTGGGAAAAAGTAGTTCATCAGTTGGCATCGTCCTTACGTTCTCTCAACGGCGCTGGCTCGGTTTGTCTTGCTCCGGTGATAGACCGACTCACCTCTCTTACGGTCACCTGGGGCCCCGTGGGCTCAATATCCATTTCATAATCCATCCTGGAAATCAAGGCAGCGCTGCTGGCCGCCTACCTCGTTTCTCTGCGTGAGTATTTGCTATATCCGGCTCATGCGACTCCAGACCTGTATCACGATGTAGATTTTGCAAGCAGAGTCCTTGTGAGATGAAGGCCGAAGGAGAAAGATCGTTTGGTGTTACCAGTGGCTGAGAAAGAGGGAGCTCTGGATTTGGCTCTGAACGAGGCACTTCCGCCTTTTGGCGCTTTGCCTATTTGGGCCATTCTATTCAGTCCCCTTCTGGAGGCGCTTCTTCTTCACACCAAGACTACGCTCTCCGGGAATGAGCAGCGATTTCTCTATATCCCTTCAGAATTAGGGGCTTGATGTCAAAGAGCAGTAAGGGGATGTTCTGTTAACGTCCAGCCTACAGATTGATCAATTTTCACCACCTCTTCAACCCATTCACAACACCCAGAGTTGGGAGTCTACTACAATGGATGCTCATACTGCAAATCACCCAGGATTACCATATCATTTTCCATGTTCCTTCAGTTATTGAATTAAAAGTCTACTGTGAGACAGTTTTTAGAGTAGATAAAGTGGCAATTTCTGCGAGTATATTGCAAGGCCTCGATAAAGTTGTAAGGAGGCACATCCCATCAATGCCAGCGCAGGAAAGATTCAAACCATTGCCTCTTCCTCTTCAGCTGTGCTGAATGGCCAAATCCACGGCCAGCAAAGTCGAAATAGTGGTATCCAGATAGCCGATATCATCTCTCCGACAGTAATTGTATGAAATCCCAACACAAGCCAATGCAACAACAAAAACTCCCTTTCCCCATCCGCCCATCCATCCACCCACAACGCTGTTGGGCTGTGCTTCTAGCCCTCTATGCTGATGAACCATTAAAGACTCTATGGTGATGAGCACACTGACACCAATGTTATGCACAAAGCCATCAAGCCGCCGCCCACCTGTGCCAAGCAACATGATACAAAGACTCAAACTCCAAGGCTGTGTGATCGACCATGTGAGGTAAAACCAAGTAACACAAATGTAGGCAAGAATTTCAAAACAAAGGAGGCCAAATTTTGAGTGGAAAAAATCGTCGCAGTTCGTAACGGAAAGATCGAAGCTCTCAGAAGCAACGATCCGAGTGTAACCAGGAAAAGAAAAGAGGCGAATCCTCGCTATCTTTTCAGCGAACTGCGATTTAAAGCCTCCAAGAGCTCAGGTCGACTTGCAAGAGCGGCGGCCGCTTGTGCATAAGTGACCCATTGCCGTTTCCGCTTGTGCATCTCTGGCCACTGGTCTTCTTCCCGCTCAACTGTCACCTCGAAGAATTGATACGAGGCCTTCGGCGCAGTCATCGTCAGATGGGAGGACGGACGCATATCCGGAATCAGGCCCAGATCTTTGTGGACCGTGCAAATGACCCCGGCCTCTTCCCAAGCCTCTCTGCAGGCAGCATGCTGAGCAAGTACCTCATCTGTCTCCCATCCGCCCTTTGGGAGCACCCAGCCGCCTCTCCCTGCGGACTGGATCATCAATACCCGCGTTTTGTCATGAGACAGCGGGACCACACCCGCCACGAGCCTTTCGCCTTTGGAGCCGTAGCCTAAGAACCAGGGACAGGTTAGCCTTACTCGAGTTGACAGGCTCAGAAAACACAAGGGGGAGATGGAAAAAAAAAAAAGCTTGAGCTTCTGCGCCATAGATTGTAGTCGCAAGAGATTCATTTTCAGGTAGAGAGGCCGTTATGCTTCTGGGGCAATGGAAACTCACGTTGGTTTGTCCGCCCTACGCGAGACTCCATCGAGCGAGGTTGTTCCGCCATTTTCGACATTTTGGTATATATAAGAGCGTTGTTCGTGAGAACGACGAGGGAATGATTGGCTTGGAGGGAGGAATTGGACGCTTGTGTCGGCACAGCGAGAGCTAGTCGGGGCCTCCCCAGGCAACAGAAGGTAAAAGAATGAGAGGGTAATGAAGTGCAGGAAGTTATTGGGTCAGGTAACAGCGTGAGCTGCTCAATTCCACGATGACGGGCACTCCAAGACAAGAACTCTTTCGCCTGAGTATAGGGCCGGATCAGGTGGATGAATGTCAATCGATCCCACACGGCCGTCGACCTGCACCGGTTTTCGCGGGGAAAGAGGGACAAGGCGGCCGAAGGAAATTTTTTTGGGGCGATTGAGGGTAATCGTTTTGCGGAGATAGGAGAGTGAGGAACTAGGTATTCCCGTTCACTCCCGTAGCGGACGGGAACCTCAGAGAAGATGTAAAGGTGACAATAGACATCATATCAAGAGAAAATAAGTATAGGAATAGGGAGAGAGAGTAGAAGAGGAAAATGGGAGAAAGAAACGAGAGGAGGGGAGGGGAGAGGGTCTCAGAGACAGCTTGGTATAATGGCGGCGCGGTCCGGCAGGAAGTACGGAGACGAGACGAAGCCTGGGTATTTCGCATGACGGTAAGTACCCAGTCATGTATCGTAAGCTGTAATACCCTAACTGCCCTTGAAGTACCTACCTACAGAGCTCTTCTACGGAGTACTGAGGGTGGAATGCCCGAGGCGGTATGTAAGTACCGTATCATTTCAACGTCATATTGGTGGACTACTTCCAGTTGCGGCATCTGGGAACTGTGGACTCAGTAATAATACCCTGACTGTAAGACTCGTTTCCAGTCATATTCGAGGTTCAGGGCTATTTTCCCTTTGAAGGACAGGACTCGAGGCCCATCACCTATCCATACCTCAGTGAGGTAGAAGGTCGGTAAGGTACTCCGTGCCTTTTTTCCCTACGGTATCTACCTAGGTATCTATCCGATGTCAAAAGTCGAGTACTGTAATTTCGATATCCCAGTAGGTGCTTTTGTTTTTTTTTTTTTTGTTTTTCCTCTTTCTAAAAGCAAGCACCTGTCTCGATCGAACCCAGCAGTTTTAGCCTAGTAATTGCTTTTGCTCCTTAGACAAAACCAACGACGAGGTTCGCCACAAGCGCAAGACCTTTGATAGCTTATTGCGGGTGTGTAACTGCTACAAAATTACAGTGCGTAGTCAAGGGACCAGGATCGAAGCTCCATACCTGTGATGATTCGATGCCCTATATCGACGGAGTATACACTTATTAAGCTGCGTACAGGACTTCATAGAGCACAATGATAAGATTTACGGTGTCGGACAAACTATTGACAAAACGATGCAGTATGGATCATTTGGGCTAATAGTCCATAGAAAACAGTATATGATGCTATCGTGCATATTAGTACTTACTTTGGGGCGCTATCAGTTTGGCTTCCTCCCCCAGGCTTCAGGGGTGTTCTCTTAATTTCCATCGTACGTTCCGCACTACTATCATACTTTTCCACCAGTGCTGTAGATTGGATACCAGGAAGGATAAGGAGCACAAAACGATCCAGAATCGGATTGCGGGGCGCCAAACTCGGACCAGTGTTAGAGATCTCCGAGCATCATCAGATGCACATTTGCCTAATCGAAAAGAATATGAGGTTCGGACACGAGTAACCCGGCACGAAATCGAAGTCAAATCGCACTGGTCAAATTCTCTGAACGGGTGTCTATACCTAATACTGTCTGCTCTGTGTGTATTGTGTTGCACGACACTCACTACTCTCTAGTGGAATCTGAAATGCATGGCCTACCTTGGCTTGGTGGGGAGCATACTTTAGATGCAGTCACTAGTTAGTTCACGGTGTAATTCCTGAGAGCCAGAAAACTAGGTACGTGCTTAGATCTGTAGGTCATCAATGGTTCGGAGGGCTTGAGGATCGCTGCGGTGGCAATTGGATTGGGATGCGACAACGCAGCAGAAAACGATCGGGTCGCCAGTGCGGATCCCTAGCCTCTTGACGCTTGAGACTTTTGAGATCCTTGTACTCCGTAGGCTGGTAGGCTCTGGTACCATGAGTGATCATTGATGGGCGGTGATGATGCGTGGACGTTGGGGATATCTGCACGTGATGTCACTGACCATGGGGGAACATCTGTACAACAACCAAACCATACCCTTCAGACGTTGAGTTGAAGATACATGCGATCTCATTTTTCCTTTCTTGAATGGCAATAATAGGAGACACCACATTTGATTCGGGACGACTTCAGCACACTCATCATTCGAATTTCAACAGAGTCTCCCAAAATTAAGATTGACACTTGGCCAACTTCCAACTTCAGACATGCGAAAGGTACGGTACCTGGTACGGCTTTTCCTTACATAATTACGGAGGCGTACTATACTCTGTATCGTAATACTTGGATGAATACACAGGGTACTTTACAGTACCCGTACAATGCAGTCCAGGCGATGGTGCTGAGGCCAGGTACCATATACTTCCTACCTAGGAGTTCTCCATAGAACTCCATACTAAGAATGACGGTTTGTCATTATTCCTTTTATGTAGAGATATAGAGCATTTTTCTTTTGCTTAATTCTCTTGGCCATCTTCAAGACACATTGCCGTGTGTCATAACTCATAAGATCTCCTGGAGTGGCAAAGATACCCGCCTGGACTTGTAGATTGACCACAAGTCACATTTAAGCCTCCTGCAACACATTCAAGAAAGGAGCACCAAAGAGCAGGGATGATTCGGTCCTTACAGGCTGCAGCGACATGGGGGTTAGCCCCTTCTAGAAGCATCATCAACACCCTTTTTCCATCGTGGGCTGGCCTAGAGTCAGGTATCTAGTGGCATGCTTGCTTCTTCATGACCAACGCCAACCGGATATGCTTGGCAAATCTTACAGCCACGGGAGTCGCTGGTCGGGACATTATTTTCGGGCATTCTGAATAGTATCACCAACCATCTCCTTCTTAATAGGACTGTAGTTATCACACATAAATGATCTGACGGTGGACAGAGCCCACTGCCCAGGGGCTGCTCCGATAATTCCATCAGTTGACTTGGCCGTAGTAAGCACTCTTCCTCTCCAACTCCACTAAACTATCCACCATCTTCACCATCATCATCACCATCCACCACCACCACCACCACCACCACCATCACCAGTTCCATCATTCGGGTAGGCATCCCAACTGCAAACTGGACTAACCATTCAGTAGTCCCATATAGTCCCTCTAGTGGTAACCAGCTGCAATTTACCGCGCTTTTTTCTCCAACTATCCCAATTTCTTCTTTTCCCGCCTTGAGCGCAGGCAATAATATCAGTTGATCCTTTACATCCCCATCACAGTGCACCCCCATCTGGGACGATCTGATTGAACTACAAACCCAGCCTGCTCGACATGGACGACAATTCTTCTGAAGTCGTGAACCCCATCGTGGACGCCGAACGCGCAAGGGAGCTGTCACTGTTCCGTCCTCTAGGTAAGTAGCCAGTCAGAACTGTCTCTGTTTCCCCGTGCAGCCTTCACTGGCTCTAGTTGACTCGGCTTATCCGCGTTGACTTTGCGGCTGCCCCTCTCCGTGATGGATCTCAACTCCTCTCTTTGAAACATCCTTCATTGTTGTCACGTTGGTATTCTTGGGTTTGTTTCTTGAGAAACGTCTCTCGTTTTTTGGGGGTGTGCCGCTGGTACGGGACTGGATAATGGATATACATCGGCCTTTTTACTTTTTCAAGCCTTCACGCCTTCTAGCCCTCGGTCGATGACCGTTCGGAATGACTAACAGTATGCTTCGATTCGCCCTCCAGGATACCAGCGTAACTCGTGCGGTTACTGCAAATCTGATGACGGGAGTGAGTGTGCCTTTTTACCCCACACTGTCGACTGTGCCATGCCTGCCCCCCCCCCTCTCTCTTCCTCGCCATGCTAATCTGTCAATACAGGTGCTGCTTACTACACTAGCTCAGTCTCTGTACGCCCAGAGCATTACGATATCCTCGTTAATCGCGGCTGGAGAAGGTAGTGCTCGATGTTCCGCATTTCCATATGCAGTTTGACTTCACGGCGTATCGCTGATCTCCGCTTAGGTCAGGCACCCTTTACTACAAACAGAACCTGCAACGGTCCTGTTGTCCACATTATACGTTAAGGTACTACCTCAATCTTCCGCTCGCTTGCCGCGGATCCGTCTAGAGTTTTAGGGCTAATCTTAGGAAACCGTAGGCTGGAAGCATCCACCTTTAAACCTAGGAAGGATCAGCGGCAGGCTGTCAATCGCTGGAATAGGTTTGTGCTGGGTACAGAGTACATTCGTAGGGCAGCATACCTATGCCCGAAAACGAGGAAGTACGTAAACAGAGTTTTGCTTGAGAGATCTATTCGCTCGGAGGCTGTAGCATGTACTAACGTGCTGGTTGTTTCGGTTCAGGGAAAAGCGACATCGAAAATGCCATTTCGATCTGCTTACGGAAATTCACGAGGCCGAGTACAGCAATGTCAAACGACCGATTGACCCCAAGACGAAGAAACTGCTGGAGCCAGCCCATCGCTTTGAGGTCAATGTCGAGGGAGACTCGATTTCTCAGGCCAAGTCAGTATTTATGAGCCTCTTGCATTGTTGTTCTTCACAGAACTGACCGAGCCAGGTTCGATCTTTTCGTCAAATATCAGACAAAGGTCCACAAAGAAGATGTGTCCAAGTGGCAGCAGAAGGACTTTAAGCGTTTTCTCTGCTCGGGCATCAAGCGGTCCCCAGCAGATGCCAAATCTCCCGAGAGGAAACTAGGGTCGTGGCATCAGTGCTATCGACTCGATGGCAAGCTCATAGCTGTTGCCGTGCTGGATCTGATGCCAAGCGGCGTGAGCTCCGTCTACATATTGTAGGTCGTGAACTCACAATCGATTCCACAGCCATGGCTGACAATCTAGCTATGATCCCGATTATGAGCAGTGGGAGTTTGGCAAACTCAGTGCGATGAGGGAGATTGCTCTGGCCCTCGAAGGCCTTTACCAGTACTACTACATGGGTTAGACTCTCATCCGCAGTTGGCAACAAGAAGCGTGAATGGTTTCCACTAACCAAGACCTTTCTAGGATACTACATCCACTCCTGTCAAAAAATGCGCTACAAGGCCGCATTCCGGCCACAGTGCATCCTCGGTCAGAGCCGTCCACCGACCCCCTGGAAAGAGAACACTGCTAACGCAACCGCAGACCCAGAGAGCTACACCTGGGACCCGCTCGACGGCGAGCTCACCAAGAAGCTAGACCAGCGCGCCTACGTCTCGCTCTCCCACGACCGCAAACTGGCTGCAGAGGGCCTGCCCGAGTCCGAGTCCCAGTCCCAGTCCAAGTCCACCGAGGCGGAGCCGGCAGACGCGGAAATCAACGACGAGGAAATGTCTCTGTTCGACCTGCACATGCCTGGCGTGCTGACACTCGATGAAGTGAAGCGTCTCGACCTGGATCACACGCTGCTGCTCGTGCGAGGATCATTCGTGCACATGAATGTGAGTTGATCCTTAGTAGCTCCGTGGGTACTCAATTGGTCTCTATACTGACTGACATGGTTCCAGGATCTCGTGGGTTGGGAAAGGATGCCTATCGATAACCCCCAATCGGTCAAGGGGATTGTTGCGGAACTCGCCGCGGCGTTGGGCCCAGAGGTCTTTGAGAATTGCGCCGTAGTGCTCTTTGATTGATTGATTGATTGATTGATATCAGATCGACAGTTTCACGTTGACGCGTCCACTCCATCTAGGATAGATTTCAATCAAAATTTGGAGAGAGAATTGAAAAATTCCGTACGTATGACATGATGTATACTCGCTTCATCTTCTAATCGGTAAAAAGTTGTAAACAGCTGAAGCCGATGCCCGCCACGAACAATTGCTTCCAGTCTTGAGAACGAACCAAATCCCAACCCGAGCGCCATTTTTAACAATGATATCAGCAAGAAAAAAAAAAGAAAGTAGAAACCAGCACAAACAAAGACCCCATGCACGTAATTATCAAGTGAACACGCTCAAGTGCGACGGACCATGGCGAAAACCCAGCAGCAAGAACAAAAAAAAAAAAAAAAAATAGAACAAATAAATCACAGCATGAGCTCAACCGGCGGCCGGGACGTCTTGGGCGGCATTTTCTTGAGACACATCTCGATCGGACTCATTTCCACATCCCCATCGTCCAGCGGGGCGCTCATATCCTCGACCATCACCGCCGGCAGGCCGGGGCTCCCGCCGTGGTCCTCCGGGTGGTAGATCAGCGTGCTACTCCTGCTGCGCTGGCCGGACATACTGGCGGGCCAACTGCAAGTTCTCTTGTCCGATGTGATGGACAGGGGCGTATCCGGGTCGGCGGGGGCGATTGCTGCCGCGGCGGGAACCACCTGGTCGGTCTTCAACTGAGCGAGGGCATGCGCCAGGTCGGTGGCGTGGACTTCCTTGTTGGGGGGCTCCTCTGTGCGCAGGACCCAGCCGTGCGGGGGGCTGGGGGGTGGGCTGATGAAGAAGAGCTTGTCGAGGTGGGGGGCCTCGAGGAGCTTCGGGCGGCGGGCGGACTCCTCGTCGAGGATGGGGGTTGGTTCGCCGAAGTAGATTTTTGTGCGAACGTTGCGGCTGAGGAGGGGCTGGCCGTCGAGGAGCTTGCGGACGCGGAGGGCGTCGTCCTGCGAGAGGAAGGAGCAGACGATGCGGCGCATGGAGGGGAGTGGGGAGAAGGAGTTCAAGGGCGCGATGGCGGCGATCTGTTCGCGGATGGAGGCGAGGGAGGATGGTTGGAAGAGGTAGAGGTCTTGGAGCTCGGTGATCAGGAGGGTGTTTGAGGGGGGTGTTGGCTGTGAGGGAGGAGGGAGGTTGGAGAGGTCGAGAGAGAGCGCTGGCCGAGGTGAGGAGGAGTTGGAGGCGCGGTGGGCGCTAAAGGAGGGTGATGAGGGAAGAGAGCTTGGTGGTGATGTCGTGAGGCCTGCCATTGTGTTTTGTTGTTGTTGAGATGTGTTTGTATCGAAAGACGATTGCAGATTTTGACCAGACGTGAGTGAGAGAGGTGTTGTGGAAAAGAGAGAGAGAGAGAGAGAGAGAGAATGAAGCGGTGGACAAGTCAACGTTTGTATAGTCGGTGGTGGTTGCCACTGAGATAAGGCCGCAATTGGATGGGAGCGACAAGGATGGAAAATTAAGTCCTTTAGTCCTTTATCTAGTCCTTTATCTAGTAGTGTCTGATAGAAGAAATTGCACTGCAGAGGAATGGCCAAATACGACTCAACCCCGTTCCCAGCCTTTTTGTATCCTAGACTAACAAGGCGCAGTCAAAAGCTACCAAAGCCATCTTGCGTCGGTTGCAGGACATGGGAGGAATGATGTCTCTCCGCCAGGCTCCGCTTAGGAGGCTTTGCTCTGTTGCCTCTGTGCTAGACTTCTGAGTCTACATAATTATATCTAACTAGTCGACAGGATTCAAATGATCGACTATGTTTTTCCTGGGTTCCTGACGATCCAGAAGAACTTCCACTTTGGGTGATTTCCAATCAGTTTTTCGGTGGTCTCGCCACGTCTGATTTCCACTGTGGACTTGGCTGTGTGTGGCTTGTACTTGACTCCTCGATGTACTTGGAGTCTTGGAGATGTCACGATTGCCACTATAGTATTGCTGATAGCAGAAGGGAGAATATGATATGAACAGTTACAAGGACTTGGGGATTTTGCAAGGTTCGTTGTCACTTGTCAGCCCTGCCAGCACTGCATACATTGTAGACTGCAAAACCACCACTCCATACTTCCAACCCAACACGAGCACTCAATTGTCGAATCATTTGACGTCCCAAAGGAGCAGAGTCCAGGAAGTCAAGAATAACCGTATATTATTAGTGGGTCTTCCTCCGCACTTGCTTCTGTGGATTATGTGGTCGTTGTGCTGCGCCTCTGAGGTGGACTGTCCACCTTACAGAGCAGTTGTATAGTACAGCAGACACAGTCACACACACACTTCATCTAGGAAATTCAGTAGCCTGGCGTGGCTCATGTGACTCCTGGATAGATCAGAGATCAGAGATCAGATCAGATCAGATCAACCGATAGTGTGTCCATGATCACAATCCATTCAATGTGGCTTGGGGATTGAACGGGGTCTTGGGAACCGAAGAGGGCCGAAGAGTGATCAAGCTGCCTGGACTTTGCACTCTGTAATCATGGAGACTACTGGAAGTACTATCATGCCGAGAAAGTGTCAATTCAGTTATCAAATCCCTCATAAGTTACAGTACACAGAGAGTGCCTAGTAGTAAGAGGTAATTACACATCATGAATGTTGTGTGGAATGTCAATGTCGGCTGTCATCTCGACTAAGACCATGCTCAGCCTTCAACATCAAGGCTCAACAATTGACAATGCTCGCCCCAATATTCTCATCATTTAACCCCTTCATCTACTATCTTTCCCGCTCTTCATATCAGGAGATGAATCCATCTGCCTGCTTCCAAGCACGAACAACTGTGCTTGTCAACCCCTTACTCGGCTCAGCCCGTGTCATCCTTCGGGATTTCGGAAAGCTCCAAATCTACGGCATAGCCACGCAGTAACTAGTTACAGTTCACAGACCAGAACTTTAGGACGTCGCCTGGTGTTGATATTTGTGTTGACACTTTTTTGTATACATTGGGCTTTCCGTGAGAGAGAGAGCGCTTCGCCGAGGGTGTTTCCACGATAGAAATTAGGAGGTAGGTACCCTATATCAACTGCCTGCCGTGGCTTTTCGTTTACAACGTCCGAATGGCCCTGAGCCGGTCGGCCGTTGCTCGCCTTGTCGCATCAATATCCGGCGCATAGACCTCAAAGGCGTGAGGTAAGCCCGGGTATACGTGGAGTTCCACACTGATGTTGGCGGCTGCGATCCTGGCCGCATACGCAATATCTTCGTCCCGGAAGATATCCAGCTCACCGACATCGATATATGTAGTCGGCAAGCCTTGCACAGACACCGCGCGTGCAGGCGCAGCATACTGCGAGGCGTGATCCTTCCCGATGGCATCCCCCAGCAGTGCAGTCCAGGCGGTGATGTTGTCCGTGCAGTTCCACAACGCAAACGGCTCCAGTGCAGGATTGGGAGTGGTGTTGCGGTCGTCCAGCATGGGGTAAATCAGGATTTGCTTCGCAATCCGGGGGTTCAGTCCCCGGTCGCGGGCCATGAGAGTGATCCCTGCAGCAAGGAGCCCCCCGGCGCTCTCGCCCATCGTGGCAATGCGACTACGGTCGACTGCAAATTCATCCGCGTGTTCGTATAGCCAAGTCAATCCAGCATAGCAATCCTCCACCGGTGTAGGATGAGTGTTCTCCGGTGCCAGGCGGTAGTCCACTGAAAAAACTTGCACCCCCGTTTGATGGACTTGGATTGAAAGAGGCTTCACAAACAGGGCCACATCACCCTGGATTGTCCCGCCTCCGTGGGCATGTAGGATCGCTGGTCCGGCTGTGGCAGGTGTCGAGGACTTTTTGGAGAATCGATGCACTTTGATAGTGTGTCCATCATATGATTTCACCTCATATACGCTGTGCTCGACGTCGGTTACTAGAGGCAGCTTCTCAAACATGGCTTCGTACGCAGCAGTGATGTTCTTTCTTCGAGCTGCGACATCGTGTACCGCCGGTTGAGGGCCTGAACTGGCCGCGAAGAACTCGGCCGTGGCCTTGTGGTATTCTGGGTCGTAAGTAAGAGTCATTCTAAACACTCTACGCGGAGAGAATGGTCAACGGGCTTGCGTTTGGCAGGGTAGCATTAAATTGCTACGACTCTTAGAGGTGCGATCATCTCACTCTTCCAGACGACCGGGGGATTCAGGGATTATAAAGCAAGCATTGTGCTCCATGGGCCGTGTGGGGTTCTCCGAAGCTCAAAGGAGTCTCTCCTGGCCGACAAGAAGCCATCCTTACTAGGTTTAAGCAGCATACTCAAAAGGGCATGGATAGTCGTCTTCATAAGTTCTGCTGTATCCCAGTCATGACAGAAGTGGTGATCATGTCATCGCCGAGGCATCAAAGACCAGATACTTACAGTATCTACTTGCCACCTGGAGACTTTGTCCAAATTATCCATGGGCGTCTGCTTGAACTGGGTTGTAGTTCAATTGACGCTTGGCATGACAGATATCCGAGGATACCCCCGTGTGCTCTGTAGAATGACTGCGCGGTGGTAGGGACCTGACTTTCAGTGACTTCGAAGATAATGACTCCCGCAGAGAGGCATCGTCACACCGACACCCCGTCTTGCAATATTTCTCCAGAGCTATAAACAATTCAACTATGCAACAAAGATGCACAAAGTCATGGCGGACAAGCTGCGCATCCATCGGGCCGGAGTTCCCCAAGACCGCCAAGAAGGGAAAGCGGTCAGGTGATCGGAGGTTCTAAGGTTCTGATTTTCTGCTTCAACTTTCAGTTCCATAGCTTTCCCACTTTACCTTCCACTCTCACTCTCCACTGTCTCACTGTTCGCTTCCTGTAGCTGTTTATCTTGCCCAATTCTCACTCGCCATCATGTTCCAAAGGACTTTTTTCAGACAGGCGCAGGCAGCCAAGTCCGCCCTCTCCGTTCGCGTCACATCCACCACACCTCTGGCCGTCCGGCGCACGTCACAATTGCAGCCTCAGCTCCAGACTATCCGGCCCATCGTTCGCCAGCCAGCCTACCGCTTCTATTCCACAGAGAACAAATCTGAGGGCGCTCCGAATTCCGAAGCAAAGGAGAATGAAGCTGCCGAGGACTCTGCCGAGGAGGCCCTCCGCAAGGAGCTCGAGAAGAAGCAGAAGGAGATTGTTGATCTGAAGGTATCTCATTTTTCCTTTTCGTGAAATCTATGCGGAACACTTATCCTACAGATAGCCACTCGCGTGGCGACTTGCATTTGTTTGTCAATATGACACGTACTAACTTCGTATACAGGATAAATACGTCCGTTCCGTCGCAGACTTCCTCAATCTGCAAGAGCGTACCAAGCGTGACATGGAGAATGCCCGCAACTTCGCCATCCAGCGCTTCGCCATCGATCTGCTGGAGAGCATTGACAACTTTGACCGTGCCCTCCTTGCCGTTCCCCGAGAGAAGCTGGATGCGACTCTCACCGAGCACAACAAGGACATGCTGGATCTGGTTGATGGTCTGAAGATGACACAGAACATCCTCATGAACACCCTGCAGAAGCACGGCCTGGAGCGCTTCGACCCCAGCGAGCCCGCTGAGGATGGCAAGCCCCAGAAGTTCGACCCCAACTACCACGAGGCCACCTTCATGACCAAGGCCGAAGGCAAGGAGGATGGCGAGATCATCCACACCCAGACCAAGGGCTTCAAGCTCAACGGTAGAGTTCTAAGAGTAAGTCCTTCTTGATTTTAAAATTTCTTCTTGATTAATGACTAATCTGGTTTGCTTGCAGGCTGCCAAGGTCGGTGTTGTCAAGAACAACTAGACTAACCACGCTCACCGTTAATCTCTTCTCTGCTCAACTCGCCTGGCTGCTCTGAATCTCCTCCGACCAACATCTTTTCCTCGTTATATTTCCCTTGTACAATACGACACGTTTTTTCTCGTCCCGATGGGACAACGCTACTACTTGCCCTTCGAAAAAAGGGCATAGGCTATCGTGTTTAGGATCTTTACCATATCTACACACCTATTCATCCGACGGAAGGCGTACAGGTTGTCTTCTGTCGCTGTCTTCTTTTTTCTTTACCAATCTCTCCTCCCTACTTTGTATACTACACAATTGGCGGCGTTCTCTTTGCTTCTTCATGTCGAAAAGTGTTATGGCCCCTGGATGGAAGGTTGTTTCTGGAACGGACGTGAATAGCTTTTTAGACGGGCATTTGGGTCATGCTCCCCTGTCTCCAAGTGGGATATATCGTCTGGGATCCGCTGCTGGTAACATGCGGTGGATTCGGAATAATAAAAATCTTAATGACCGAATGATTGAAGAGTTCTACCTTCCAAGGAACGCCATATAGGCGAAGATGAAATGTGCTATTTATACATTGGAGACGCGCATGGTAAAACCTATAGTACATTTTGTTGAGACTTGAGGATGTTGAGGATTTGCTCTCATCGCAGCTCCACGCCCAGCTGGCCGACGAGCTTCGCGCGGAGCTTCTCATGCAGCTCGTTGGTCTCTTCGTTGGTCAGCGTGCGCTCCAAGCTCCGGTAGTTGATGCGGTAGCACATGCTCTTCCTGCCCGTCTTGGGGTGAGTGAATTCGTCAATGAGCCTGACGTCCTCAACCAGGTCGCCGGCGACACCACGGACGATCTCCATGATGTCGTTCTCGTGGACGGGCATGGCGCCGCCCGCAGCGCTGCCGCCGCTGACGGCGGCCGAAGGCAGCCAGAAGGCAACGTCCTTATAGCAGGCGGGGTGCTTGGAGAAGGGCTCGAAGCGGGAGATGTGGCCGGCCTTGAACTGCGAGAGGAAGCGCTCGTCGCGGGACCAGAAGAGGCGGATGTCGGGGATGTTGAAGAGGAGCATGGCGATGCGCTCAAGGCCCAGTCCGAAGGCCCAGCCGATGCGGTCCGGCACGCTCGAGTTGATCAGCAGCTCCTGCTTGACGATCCCGCAGCCCAGCACCTCCAGCCAGTCGCCCTGCCAGAATACTTCGAGTTCCCACGACGGGCTGGTGAAGGGGAAGTACGCCTCGACCCAGCGGACCTTGAGCGGCTCGGCGGCCGCGTCGCCGGCGGCCTTGCTGGCTTCCGTAAAGATCTTGATCACCATGCGTTCCAGGGACCGCTTGAGGTGCGCCGCGACGGCCTCGACTTCCTGTGCGGCGTGGTGCTCGGCCTGCAGCGGATTGCGCTCCGCATGGATGGTGGAGTTGGGGTCCTCGACGGGGACGTCGTGCGCGGGGATGCGCTTCACGTCCTCCATGATCGCTGCGGCGGTCTGGGCGGCGTGCTGCAAGGGCTCCGTGGCGGGCCGCTTCCACAGCATGGCGCCCTCCATCTGGTGGAAGACCGGGTAGTGGCTGCGGTCGATCGCATCGCGCCGGTACACGTCCGCAACCACGGTGTAGCCCACCTCCTCCGGGCGGGTGGCCTCATTGCGGCTGATCTGCTGAAAGTATGCCTGCTGGTGGGCGCTCGTGTGTGTTCGCAGCACCGTCTTGTCGTTGATGTAGTAGGTGTCGGTCCGACTGCGGCCGGGATGGTCCGGCGGGAACCCCAGGACGTCGAAGTTCTGCGCCACCGACACAACCGGGTTCTTCTCGGAGTAGTTACCGTAAACTGGGCCGGGGAACTGGCTTTCGATCAGCTTGCGCGTGATCGCGAGCGGATGGTTCTCGTCGAGGTATAGCCGGCGTCCGACGTGCGAGAGGATGGTCTCCGGAGCATTGGTCCATTGGTCTGAACGGTAGGCCTCGCCTTCGATAGTCAGGGATTGAGAGGGCGGGGAGAGCGTGGAAGGCTTCTTCTTCGACTCGTCATTCTCCTCTGTCCCCCGAGGGACTGTCGAGCTCAGGTTTCTCCGTGTGATACTGGCGGGCTCCGGGAAGTGTGAGATCGGGATGCGAATGCTCCTGCGAGGAGTCACAATGGACCATCTACCACTGCTGGCGCGCAGGGCTCTACCAGTGGCCAACAGGCGCATTCTGAAGATCTCAGGCGCCAAGTGAGGCAGGAAGTTGAACAATTGACTGCTGTGATCGATTGTTGGCGTCCCGATAAATGAAGCTGGAAATCAGCACCAAACAGATCGGAGCCGGGGAAAAGAGTCGCCGCGGGGTATAGAAGTATTTGATCATGTCAATAAGCATATTGCCAGCGGCCTTTCTATTATTGTACAGTAGGGAATTTGTACTTTTAGGATGCAAGCTTCTCTTTATTGCAGTCATATTCTTATCAACCATGTGTTGGTATAAGGCATAGCTGAAGTTCGATTTCTACAGAAATATTATGCTTCTCTGCCCATGCATATAAAGAAATAAACGATACCAGCAACACAAACACATAAATTTCAACAACCTATATCATGACGTTGTCTGCTCACGGTACATAACATCTGTCCGCATGGTATATTTGATCCCTCGAAATACAAGATCTCCACCATGAAGCAGCTCGCTCTGCTGGAATACCAGCACTGATCCTGTCCTCGGAAACACCCTGACTCGTCGATCCTTGTCCCCAAAATTGGCCATGAATGATGTTGCTCCTCCAAGAAGCTTGCCCGTCAAATCCGGATTAGTGGTCGAATGAGGAGCATTATTTGAATCCTTGATCGCTCGCTGTAGCTCCTTAAGATCCTGCTCTCCATCGCCGTTCAGATACAACTGCACCGTGAAGTAGGATCTTTCCTGTTTATCAGGTGTCGTATAGCGCCCGTCGCAATGAGGGAGAAAATATTCGCCCCCTTCGTACTTCAGGAAGCGGAGTCTCTCGTTTAGCCCGGACACATTGAATATCTTTCCTCGTCCCGCGAGACCGGTCACACGGGGCCGGTTGTTGATCTGATCTGCGCCAAGCTCCTTCAAAAACGGCATCAAACGTGCGAGAAGCCTATCCGCTAACTCGTGACTGTCGAGAAAGATCCGTCCACAGTTTCGACTATCGGTGGCTAGGACCTGTTTGCCCCCTCCAGCATTGATCAAGGCCCGTTCCCAGGTAGGAAGCCCAGAGGGATCTCGGACAGTCGTGGCTTCAGCAATTTGAAGTAACTGTTTACATTCATCTTCCGTCAGGACATCGTCAATGACAGCGGCAACGAGATCCTTATATTCAGGCAGAGGGGGGTTGGTCTCTAGGAAATTGACGCGTCGTAGGCGGGCATTAGCAGGAGCCTGCGGACGAAGGAAGCCCTCTGGGATAGAAGATGAGCCCATGCTTTCTTTGAGTGAATAACTAGAAATAGGTCAGTGCCGTCTACTTCAGAGAGAGAGGTATCATTACCCTATTGTTCTGGTGAGAATTTGAACTTTGGTGATTCCCTGGGAATAATTGATGCCCTTGATCTCACCCGAGCTTGCAAAACCTCTTTGTTCCAGGACCAGTCCATTCTTAAGGACGTTTGGATCGAGTCAAGAAACGAGGTGAGACTGGCAAGGCTGAATCGGTGCTGCGCCATTGGGCGGTTCATCTGGATTCAGCCGCAGGCACCATCGGCTTCTATCAAGGCGCCCATAGCAGTAGCCCGATGATCGGACATTGTATGATCTAATGAATGTATGCTCTTTTTGTGAGGAAAACGTCCCGCGTGTGCTGTCATTCTCAGATCGACTCCAGATGTCAGTCTCTCTAGATGTATAGTTCTGATATCTCTGTCGTTCGCTCGGCCCCGATCTCGCTTAGCCAGAACTATTAGAAACAGGGACTTCGTGGGATTGCACCGTACATACAACAATCCAAAGTCATTCTAGTGAATAGACTCAGAACCCGTGACTTCAAACTTGTTATAGAAGGACCATATGAAGAATAAGAATAGCCAGTGTCTTCTAGTTACTCATGGTTGCTTTGCAGCCTCTACGTGTCTACGTCAGAGTCCAGGTCACGGGATCTTGTGACTGGCCAATTCCGCCGCTGATCCGAGGTTCCTCCTTCACTGTGTCTGTTTCTATCTACCAAGACTAGGGAAGAGGGAAATGAGGCAAATATCATGGCAGGCCTCTGTCTTCATAAAGAACATAACCCCGCGGCTTTCATACCTCTTATCAAGGATTACAAACCTCGTCCTCGCGCTCTACCTTCGAGAATGACCGAAATAGACCGACAGCAGCTTGATGTATCGGCTATTACGCAGCTGACACGATATCCAGGGGTCAGTCCTGGGGCAATACGGTAATACAACTACCGTTTAATACTGCCATTCGTGCAGCAAATTCTGCAAAACCGAACATCTGATTGGCCGAGACGTCCTGGCATCGGTTGGTGTTGCCGAAGCACGCAGATTCTCGGCGACTGGATCGATTTCACAATTTATTATCTAGTCTATCGACACTACCTATCTAGTATCGCGGCCATATTACCTATTGTCCGGGGTGAAATCCAAGTACTCCGTACACCCACCACCCATTGCTGGAATGCCCACGTCTTGTTGATCCAAGATGGCTGGCAGTGGAAAGTTGGAGGAATCCCGGCCTCAAAAGGCTGTGGTACAAAAAGTGCATTATCCTTTTTGGTTTGGTGGTTCGGCATCATGTTTTGCTGCAATGGTGACCCATCCATTGGATCTTGGTGAGTGTGGTTGTTCCCTGTCTTTTGGTATTTTGACGATGAGGCTCTCTAACTGACATTGATCTTCTAGTCAAGGTATGATCTCCCTCGAGTCCGCGTACCCCGTTCTTTTTCCTCCGACAGTATTTTTTTCGTTCTGCGCTGTCAATACTGATCGCTGTGCTGGAATTATAGGTTCGCTTGCAAACGCGTAGTGCAGGAGCACCCACCTCTATGGTTGGAACTTTTGGTCACATTCTCAAGAACAATGGAGTCCTGGGGTTATATAGTGGGGTATGTACAATATCTGCATGGGTGTTGGTTAGAGCAGATGAAAAGCAAGAAAAGACTTGGTCGCTCACATTGGTGTTTCACTGTAGCTCTCTGCCGCCATGCTGCGCCAAATAACCTATTCTACCACCCGTTTCGGAATCTACGAAGAGCTCAAAAACCGTTTCACCTCGTCCTCGTCACCCCCCGGCCTGCCCACCCTGCTCGGCATCGCATGCGCATCGGGCTTCATTGGTGGATTTGCCGGGAACCCGGCTGATGTGTTGAACGTGCGCATGCAACACGACGCGTCGCTACCCCCTGCACAGCGGCGCAACTATCGACATGCGCTGCACGGTCTGGTGCAGATGACCCGTACTGAGGGCGCCGCGAGCTTGTTCCGTGGCGTATGGCCTAATTCGACCCGTGCCGTGCTGATGACGGCCTCGCAGCTCGCGTCCTACGATTCCTTCAAGCGCATCTGCCTCGAGAACTTCGGCATGTCGGATAACCTGATGACACACTTCACGGCGTCTCTGATGGCTGGATTCGTGGCGACCACCGTCTGCAGCCCCGTCGACGTGATCAAGACCCGCGTGATGACTGCCTCGCCGGCAGAGACCCAGGGCCACAACCTCCTGGGCTTATTACGAGACATCTACCGCAAGGAAGGCTTCAAATGGGTCTTCCGCGGCTGGGTGCCCAGCTTTATTCGTCTGGGCCCTCATACCATCGCCACATTCATCTTCTTGGAAGAACACAAGAAGCTCTACCGGATGCTGAAGGGCACCTCCGGAGACAACACGATCAAAGCATAGACTGTTTCTCTCTCTTTTTTTTTTTTTTTTTTTTTTTCATGCCATTTCCTTGATCTATCTTTTCTACTATAGATTTTATGTGCATGACATCTGGCGAAACATACTGGGAGGGCAAAAGTTGTGCCTATTACTGTACATAATCATATCTATTCCTGTCCTGTGGTTCCTTTTTGGCTTGGTTCTACTGACCATTGATGTTGTTGTTGCCCAGATGGGTGGTGATTGCCAGCACATACCCTCATACCCTTTCTTGGATGTATTCAAAATGCTGTGTTTTGTCATAGATTTGATAAAATGTTTGATGAAGCTATTGATCATTTGTTGATGTGAACCTAATGTACTCCATTTGGAAATTATCTGCATTGCAAATATCCGTCAAACAAATGGAATATAAATTGCCTCGGATGTAAGGATGTTATCAGAGATTCAAGCACGACTAGCTAGATTGAGCGGGCTTAAGGATGGTGCCATCTAATTCAGAATATTCCCAGAGATAACGAGAAGGCAATGGCATAGGATAGATAACTCTCTTAGCCCAACAACACCCGTCTACGATGTTCTACTCGCAATACCAAAGACCAAGACACGCACGGTCGGATTTCAGAACTATCGGGAGCCTATATACATCCATCTCCCTGGATTCACCTATACTGAAAAAAAAAAGGAATTCCAAGCTGGAGAGGATTCGTATTCCCGGTCTGATCACGTAGAGTACATGTTGACACAAAAAAATCTCGACAACCAATCAACAATGACAATATTCATCTAGTCCAGACGAGCAGGGAAGTTTCCAGCCTCTGTATTTTGCATTCGATTAGGTCGCTGCTCATGATATCAATGAGAGGGGGAGGGGAAGTACATACCGCGTTGGGTATCCCATCTGTCAGTCCAGGCCTTGGGGCACAGGGAGCGGAAAGCATGGAAGAACTGTGATAGATATTTAGAAAATCGATTCTTCGATTGAATGCAGTCTTTCTTTTTTTAATCTGCGATAGATTGAGAGTAATACCTGAGTGCATGGACGGAAATCCTCGCCCTTGGCGTTGACACACTTGTAGTAGTCGACGTAGTTCTGCCAGCAGTGCTTGGTCCTAGAGTTGAAAAGCATTAGCACTGGATTCAACGTCATACAACAAAAATTGTGGCAGTTTGAAGAGCATCATAAACATACTGGTTCTGCTGGGGAAAGCGGGCGTCATAGCCTGTCGTTGCATCAAAAGTTATCAGCATCATACGAGAGACCACCAGCGACGAAAACCTGCACCATATCGGCACAGGCAGCGACAATGACCATCAAGACCCTAGATATAACATACCAGCTACCAGAAAGTTAGCAATTGAGCACAATTCGAGGCCATTGGGCCAGCAGATTGACCGGGACAAACTCACCTGTCACGAACTTGAAGGGCTTGGTCTCCATGGGTTCATCGGGATCGGCTTCAGGAATGGCACCCATTTTGACTGTATGAGACTCAAAAACCTTTGTTGACTGGGTTTAAACGAGAGATTCCAGGTGTGGAGGGTGGGAGGGGAGGCACGTCGTTCGAAAGGAAAGATGGGGGGAGGTTTGCGCCAGTGGAGTGGAATGATCCCGTGAAGCTGTGAAGCCGGAAGTGACCGCGGGCGGTCTAGCGAGCCACTCATGCGGCAAGATTTCCTAAACACCCGAGCCAACCCAGAGTTGCGAGGTTGGCTGCTAACTTACTCATTCCTCTCCCCTTCGAAACGTCCCTAAGCTTCCGTCACCACTCTTCCCCCCCCCCTCCCGAATCCCATCAATCCAGGCATTGCTGTCCGCCATCACCATGTTCGCTACTCGTGTCATGAGGATGCAGGCCACTCGGCCTTTTGCTTTCCCTGCTCCTGTAAGTTTGTCAATTATCGTGAGGCTCTGGAGGGAAAAGAAAAAAGGCTTGGCAGAATATGAGTGCTAACCGACCTCTGCAGAAGGAGAACCAGAGCGGTATGATCGACCCTACGAGATTCCATTGACTTGAAATCCGCACAATTGATGTGTGCTTAATACTACCTGGACTAACGAACTCCTACCAGCCCACACTATCTCCCAGCGTCTGCGCACCCTGAAGAGAGTCCCCCCAGAACTGATCCCTCTCGGTACGTTATTGGCCTGAAATTCATCGATTCGATCGCATTGTCTAACCTACGTTCGCGCTATGAATAGGTATTGTCCTTGGGTATGTACTCCAACCTTCATTTCCGTTTCCCATCAGACATGGCTTCACCAATATGCCAGGATACCTTTCTCCTCCAAACCCTCCACCCCGCTGACGCAATTGTTACAGTGTTGCCGTTGGAGCTGCTATCTACTCCAGCACTCACAAGCTCTTGTCCGACAAGACCCTGCGTCTCTATCGCAACAAGCCTGAGGATCGCAACCACTAAGAATGTACCATCACATCTGATATAGTTGCAATGGACGACGCTCTTGTTCTGTTTTTGTCTGTGTTTGGTCCGGGGGCCCTGTATTTTTCGCAGAGAAGTTTGGTCGCAGAAGAGAAAATCGAAGTTGATTGCTTGAACATTGAAAGCGCGTGTATATAGTACGGCTTTGACCGGAGGGTTCTGTCGAAGGAGTAATATGGTAACACCAATTGCTGTTGGGCAGCTCTTGTTTTCATTCACTTCCACGGGGTATCATGTAAATCATCTCATTCTGGCTTCGGGCCAGCAACATCCAGCTCCTCTAATCCCTGCATCGGATCATGAGGACGCTCGCTCGCTGCTCTGGCCTCTTCTGTGGCCATCTTATCCTCCTCGCTGACGGCATACTTAGCCAGATATCCCTCCTGTCACATTCGTAGTTAGCGATCTATTCACTTGTAACAGTGTCCCAACAATCCTCACCTGCTCCCAGATAGCTGTCTTGCTTCCCAGTCCTTCGTTGCTTTCTTTCTGTGGCTTCGCCGCCGCAACCTTTATTGTACGTCCATACAGCTCGCTTCCATCCATATTGTCGATCGCTTCTGCAGCGTCTTGAGGTAGATCAAACTCCACATATCCAAAGCCTCGGTGGAGATCAGTGGAATTGGGCACATCCGGTTTAGGGAGCGTGATATCAACGACTTCGCCGAACGGGACGAAGGCCTCGGCCAGTGTCTGCACGGTAACGGCCTGGTCGAGACCCCCCACATATACTGTGCATTTCAGGCGGGCCTTTTCGCTCATGGTGCAACGGATTAAGAGAAAATCTGGGTAGAGAGGTTAACGAGCCATACAATCCCCCCAGATAAAAGTCGCAAAATAGCCTTGCCTCTCAACCTTTCTTGGTTTGATATCTGCGCCGTAGATTCTTCCTTGGGACCCTCTGGGGACTGAATGATGTCACGTGCATCCGCCGATGTTTTGGCGAGGGCCGAATGAGGCTTAGTGCTACTGCCCCGGGTCCCTCCCAGAAGGACACTTGGTTGCTTGAGCCCCAAGCACCGCATGCTCAGGTCTCAATCACATCACTAACGTGCTACTCTCCACTTGACGATTGAAGGGGAATCATTGCTGCAGGGAGCTCCTTTACCCCCTAATCCTTGCTCCTCTTTGTTCTTATCTGTCGTTTGATGACCAACTGTTTGCCAGACAAGCACTGAGTCTGGTCTTCCCCTAATCTATACCTCTTTAATCCCGCCCCTCTGCTTCTCAGCATGGTACGTCTGAGGGAAATCCCCCGGACGGCCACCTTCGCCTGGTCCCCCGGAGCTGCATCCCCATTGATCGCTACCGGAACACGGGCCGGCGCTGTTGATGTCGATTTCTCTAATGAAACATGTCTTGAGCTCTGGGATCTGGGGTTGAGCAACGATGATGCTAGCCAGGAGCTACAACCTATTGCCAAGATTGGCACCGATTCTGGGTACGACTCTTTGAGACCTGCTGTGTGTTGCTTCGTCATGCGCGAATAGTATCTGACCACCCGTCTTATAGATTCAATGACTTGGCGTGGACAGACTCCCAAGACAATTCCCGGGGGGTGATCGCTGGTGCTTTGGAGAATGGATCTTTGGATTTATGGGATGCTGATAAGCTGATCAATGGCTCGAGGTTTGTTCAACAACCAGGAATATTTATCGATACGGCTGGTCGACTGACTGGTCTACCACTAGTGATGCCATCATTTCGAGAATGACCAAACATTCAGGGGCTATCAAGGCACTGCAGTTCAACCCCAAGCATTCGAATCTGCTAGCCACCGGTGGCGCGAAGGGAGAGGTATTTCTACCAGCATTGTTATTCGGATTGACCTCGCGACTCACTTCTCAAACCAGCTCTACATCTCCGATCTAAACAACATCGCGAACCCGTATCGACTTGGAAGCACCGCAGCCCGCGCCGACGATATCGAATGCCTGGATTGGAACAAGAAGGTCGCACACATTCTGGTTACTGGTAGCAGTGCGGGTTTCGTTACCGTCTGGGATGTCAAGACGAAGAAGGAAAGCTTGACCTTGAACAACATGGGTCGGAAAGCCGTCAGTGCTGTAGCTTGGGATCCTGAGAAGGTGGGCTATCTGGAATTTGATCTCTGTCGGCAGACTGTCTGACCTTGTACAGCCTACGAAACTCATCACGTCGACACCGTTGGAATCTGACCCTCTGATCTACGTTTGGGATCTCCGCAATTCCCACGCCCCAGAAAGGGTAAGTCCGAACTGCCGTTGTCCTCAACAAATGTGGTGAACTGACGGATACTTTTGTAGACTCTTAAAGGTCATGAATCCGGTGTCTTGTCGCTCTCGTGGTGTCCCCAAGATCCTGATCTGCTTCTGTCTTCCGGAAAAGACAACCGCACGATCTGCTGGAACCCCCAATCGGGACAGGCTTACGGCGAGTTCCCCGTCGTCACAAACTGGACTTTCCAAACTCGGTGGAATCCTCACAATCCCAACTTCTTCGCAACGGCTTCGTTCGACGGGAGAATCTCGATACAGACAATCCAAAACACGCGCACAGACACTGCTCAGGCCATTGCCGACCAGAACCAATCGCTCGACGGTGAAGATTTCTTCGCCAAGGCCCAGACACAGCCCCAGGTCTCCAACTTCTCCCTCCCGAAAGCACCGAAGTGGCTCGAGAGACCCTCTAGTGCAACTTTCGGCTTTGGTGGCAGAGTGGTTTCGGTTGGGTTGATCGAGAAAGGAAAACGTGCGTCGAGGATCAAGATCACGCCGTTCGAGGTTGATGAAGCCGTCGCAAAGTCTACAGAGACATTTGAGACTGCTCTCAAGGAAGGCGATCTCCGAAGCATCTGCGAGACCAGAGCTTCACAGGCTGCCAGCGAAGAGGAGAAGGCTGACTGGAAGGTCATCGAAGCTTTGATTTCGGGAAATCCTCGGAAAGGCCTGATTGAATACCTAGGTTTCCAGGATCAAGCTGATGAGGCTGCTGATAAGCTGGCTAAACTCGGCCTGGATAAAGAGGATGTGAACGGAGATACGCTGACAGAGTCCCGCGGGTCGGGAGCGAAGAAGCACAAGCGTTTGCAATCGATGTTTGACGCTAACCCAGAGGCCGACAGCTTCCTGTCCGATTTGGCTGCATCCAAGGGAGCCAAGACAAATAATCCCTTTCATATTTTCACTGGCTCTGAGTCTGAAGCAGAGCAGGGCATTACTCGAGCTTTGCTTCTTGGCAACTTTGAGAAGGCGCTCGATGTGGCTTTGAAAGAGGACCGGATGTCCGACGCGTTCGTGATCGCAATCTGCGGAGGCCAGAAGTGTATCGAGAAGGCGCAGGAGCATTACTTCTCGAAGCAGACCGGTGGACCTAACTATACCCGCCTGCTTGCTTCCATTGTTGGCAAGAACCTTTGGGATGTTGTGTATAACGCCGACTTGTCTAACTGGAAAGAGGTTATGGCTGCGTTGTGCACATTTGCTGACGACAAGGAGTTTGCCGATCTCTGCGAAGCTCTTGGTGACCGATTGGGGGAGCAAATACGATCCACTGATGACAAGGCTTTGCGCAAGGATGCTTCTTTCTGTTTCCTGGCGGGATCCAAGCTCGAGAAAGTGGTTGCCATGTGGATTGAGGAGCTCCGCGAGAACGAACAGAAGGGCATTGAGACTGCTGCAGATGACACATCCTTCTCAATTCACGTGCGCGCTTTGCAGGGTCTGATCGAGAAGGTCACTATCTTCCGCCAGGCCACAAACTTCCAAGATACGGAACGCACGAAAGAGGCCGATTGGAAACTTGCTATGCTGTACGACAAGTATATTGAATACGCGGATGTCGTCGCTACCCATGGGCGACTGCAAGTGGCTCAGAAATACCTTGATCTCGTTCCGGAGAAGCACCCCGAAGCCGAGATTGCCAGAAACCGCATCAAGCTGGCGATGAGACAGGCTGCTCCTCAGCGTACGCAGTCGACTGTTCCCGCTGCGAGGACGACGTTGAATAGACCTCTGCCACAAATTAACGCATATCCACCTCAGCCAACCTTCTCAAGCCCTGCACCTCCCGCTCCTCAGAATCCTTATGCTCCTCCAACTGCCGCCCCAAGCCAGCCAGCCAATCCTTACGCTCCTCCAGCGGCTGCCCCGAGCCAACCAAGCAACCCTTATGCTCCTCCCACAGCAGCTGCCGCAATCCCGCAGCCACAGGTGAATAACCCTTATGCACCAATCGGTGGTGGAGGCTACACCCCTGCTGGATATCAACCCCCACAGGCGCCTGCATATGGTGTCCAGTCTCTTGGCGGTGGCTCAGTTCCTCCACCTCCCCGTGCGTCCAATCAGTCTCCTGCTGTGACTACATACACCACAGCTACCAATCTACCTGCATGGAACGACCTGCCGGAGGGATTCACGAAACCGCCAACATCACGAAGGGGAACCCCAGCGACCGCCGCTGCAGCTATTAGCTCGCCTTTCCCCAACCAATCTCCCACCTTCTCTCAAGGTCCTCCACCACCTGGAATGCCACCCACTCAGCGTGCGCCTTCTGTCCCACCTCCGCCCAAGGGCACCGTTCCTCCTCCCAGAGTGACCTCTCCACCTACAGGATTTACACCAGCCAGCAACCTGTCCGCCCCTCCACCTGCCGCCAACCCCTATGCCTCGTTGCCTCAGTCTCCCCCAATTGGATCAACTATGGGTATTCCAGCACCGGCGTCAATCCCTCGGGGCCCGTCGCCCTACAACGCGGCGCCTACCATGCCACCACCGTCTAACAGGTATGCGCCAAGCCCAGCGGTTCAAGCAGCAAGCCCACAGCTCGCAACGAGGGCGGCTGTCCCGCCTCCTCCACCGGCCGCTGCTTCACCATACGCTCCCCAGCCGGCGGCGCAGCCTCCAGTTGCAAGCTCCTATGCTCCCAGCACGCCTCCACCAAGCCAGTTGCCGATGCAGCAAGGGCCCCCTCAAGGCCCTCCCTCGAGGCCCGGCACCGCCTCCTCTCAAAGAAAGGCTGCGCCCGCCCCTCCTAAGTACCGTAAGTGATCTTATAGCATCATTGGAAGGAATGAAACTGACTTGTTTCTTTCGCCTTTGAAGCACCCGGCGATCGATCGCACATCCCTGCGGACGCCATGCCCATCTTTGAGATCCTCTCAGCAGACATGCAGCGCGTGAAGACCCGGGCACCATCCTCCTTCAAGGCGCAGGTCGATGATGCGGAGCGTCGCCTCAACATTCTGTTTGATCATCTCAACAATGAGGACTTGCTCCGACCGAATACTATTGCCGACATGGCGGAACTGGCCCGGGCTATTCAAGCCCGCGACTACGAGACAGCCAAGACAATCCATATTGATATCATGACAAACCGGACGGACGAGTGTGGCAATTGGATGGTGAGTGACTCAACCCAATCTCGCAACCGCAGTAAGGTTTTACTCACACCTGTCGTCTAGGTCGGTGTCAAGCGTCTCATCAGCATGAGCCGCGCCACGCCTTGAGGAGCTGAGGGCGGAGGACAATTGTATGGATTACGGCTATGAGTTGTTTGTATAGAGACTGTACTACCGTCTCACCTTGCTCATTATATTTTGGCGAGGATGTGTTATCTTGATTCTCAATATTTTCGTAACGTTTTCCATGTTTTCAACATTAGATTCTAAAAGTAAAGCGTACCCATTGCGGTTGATCATCATTGCTACATCGCTATTATATGGAAAGACTGTACAAGGGACATAAAAACGTAACGCCGGATTGCAACATAGAAGGGGCAGTTCCATAATTGTAGATTCCCGCAGGATCATACCGCACTTATCTACCAGCAATGCCAGCAACTCTCCCACGGCTCGCAGGGAAGTTTCTCGCGCTCAGCAAAGCCCCCTTGACGCCTCTAATCTCCGCACGGAAGCTCGAAATCGCATCCTCCTCTGCCTTGGTGATGCCCGCCGAGGAACCCGCGGAGGTATCCGTGCTCACTGTGCTGTACACGCCGTAGCCCGTGGACGGCGCATAGCTGGACCTGCTGTACTGCAGGCCGTCGAGGTAGTGCTGCAGCTCGTTCAGGCTGGAGCGCATGGAGCCGCCCAGCAAATCGGAGTCTTTCTCTGTGCTGTCGAAGTCACGGAGCTGCGAGGTGATGGTCTCTAGGCGCTTGTGGTGGGTGGTGACTGTGGCGGTGGGGTCGGGAATGGTGCTGTCGTCGCCGGCGGCGGTCTTGCCTGCGGAGAGAGAGGAGGGGGAGGAGGCGGCGAAATCCTGGGAGGTCTGCGTTGCGACGTCACGGTGGAAGAGCTCTGTGGGGTCGGAGGTGATGGAGTCGGTGTCCTCGTCGGAGAGGGCGGAGTCGGTTGGTTGGGGTTTCGGGGTGGTGAGCTCGGGTGGGATGCGCGAGACGGTTTGCTCGAGTCTCTCGTTCAGCTTTGTGAGGTTGGTGGTGGTGGTTTGGGCGAGGTCCAGGCGTGCGCTGGTGAGCGTGGCGAGCATGGGCTTAATGAGATATTCGCTCGCACCGTAGAGACCTGCGCCGAGGCCGGCGGCGCCGTAGAGGGTGTAGAGGGTGCTGCGGAGGGTGACGAGTGGCGGGGGTTTGGACTGCTGGACGAGGAATTCGGGATAGGTGATGATGGGCGGGACCTCGCGAGGCGCGGACGTCTTGGAGGTTGTGCTGGCTGCGGGTGCGGAAGACGGGGAGGAGGAAACTTTGGGGCGCTGGGACACGCTGCTAGGTGTCGCGGGGGTTGAAGCTTTCGACTTTTCCTCAGACGAGGTGGGATCTGGGGTAGATTTGCCCTCCTCTTTCGCTGTGTTGCTGGCGCTAGTGCTCGCCTCCGCATTTCTGATGACACCGAGGAGCTGATCGATCTCCTCGCTTTGAAGGCCCTTTGACTCTAAGAAGGATACTTTGCGATCGATGGGAGCGTTCCGTATGGAATCATCCTGTAGAAACTTGGCCGCTTGCTCTAGTAGCTCTGAACGGGGAGTCTCATCGGAGTTCGGCGATGGTGTGGAGGTGGAGGCATCACTGGAGTTGGCGGCGGCAGGTTGTTGCCATTGAGGAATGGAAGGAGCTTTGGGCTTGACGTTTGACATGGTGTATGGATTCAGGAAAGGAAAGGAATCGAACCGTAATGAAGGAAGAAGCGGAGGATGAGGATGTGAAGGAGGGAGCAAGAGGGGATCATCAACTCCATGTGAGCGACGGAGGCGCTTCTTTACGCCGGTGAATTTCCCCAGACCTCGGCTGTATGGTATGGTATTGTCATGACTCCATCGGATTGATATGGTAGTGGTATAGGCAGCTAGCTCTCAATTCTCACTGCTTGTCTGTGATTTCCTATTATTGTCTTCATAATGTGATTGTAATTCGGATCAGAGTCATCAAAGGTATTCGTATGTTGGATCTTATGCTACCATGGACTCCTTATCAATATGTTGGGGATTCATGGAAGCTGATATACATATATCTTCGTCTCTCTGTGGAGCATAGACTCGACTACAGAGTAGGAATGGGGATCCTCTGTTTCCAGCCAATATCTATTTATATGTTATGATGTTACTGGTTAACTCAATAGACCAAGATCAACCACTTCATCAGACACATTCCTCATCATCCACAATAATAATTATAAGGGGTCCTGCTTCAGTCTACGCTATCGCAGAACCACAACGCACTGCCAAGACACACACCGCCTAGACGGCAGAATAGCGATGCTGGAAACAAATTAAGACAAAGTGACCATTGATCGCAAGACAAGACTGTCATTGATCTTCCATCGAGAGATCTTGCATACAGCTCAAAAGAAAAAAAAATAAAAAGCATAGAGATCCATATTGGGGCTTGGAATACGACCTCTTCACCCGCTGGTATATATATACATATATATATATACCGATTCGACCCAAGCTGATTCCGACCATTTTAGCAGCGACAGATCATCTCCGGTCATCCTGTCTCCATTAGTTCCTCATCAAGTGAGTCCTACGTCCTCTCGTATTGCTCTTGTTCCCGAGTCCTTTTCATGCACCAAACAAACTCTTGTTCTGTTGATCGTTCCTGTCGCTGCTTTTATCCTTCAAAATCCATCCTAGAGAATGGACTTTGGACCCCTGTTGTTGCCCCCCTCCCAGGAAATAATACACACCCTAGCATGCGGGTGCGGCCCAGGATGATAAATGCACCAGCGTTGGAGGGATTCACCGCGTCTGCGAGATATTCGCTGCTCTAGTCACCTTTCCTACGGGCAGCCTCCTGTCTATCTTAGATCGCATCATCCCTATTGGCCCTCCCCAATCCTGGATGTTCTTCCTAAGTGGCGTCAACTGTGTGATAGGCCATTGCTTGCCTGTGTCTACCCGGAAGTGCAATGGGCCCTACCTTGCTGCCTTCACACACACACACACACAAAGTACAATGGCCCACGTAGCCATCATCATCTGAATGGATGTTTGCTTGAGACAATTTATCCCATGAAATCTGTCCTTTGACCGGTGGATCTCTCTGGGAATTCACCTACACCCCTCTCTCCTTTTGCTAGAATCTCGGGAATCAGGCCTCAATCAGCACATTTACCTTGTATGCTTTGTGTCATCAGCTCCCCACTGGATCCGTTGCGCGATCACACTCGGCTCCTGCCGAATTTTTTTTTGCTGTTTGATTTCGTCTGTCGTTCCTTCTGTCGTATTGCTCAATTATCAGACTATCTTTGTGTCAAAGTCCCTTGCAAGCCCATCTCACTGCCTCAGCTTCCATAACACAGTCGCACCCTTTACTCGTCCCCTTTGCTTTCTTTCGCGATGTCTTTACGTCGTTCTCATCGATCCCGCCTAGCGCGGCCTGATCTTATGAGTATTGATTCTGACATGAGTCCAAAGCCCACCAGATCGACACGCGCTGTCGCATCTTCCCCGCTCGTGACCATCAATCGGTCTATTACAGACCCGTCAGGAAACCTTGGTGACTCTCTTTACCTGACCGTGAAGATGCCTTCGAACAAGCTTCGTGAAATTACCGGTGGTAGCGCTCGAGGTAGCTCGTCCGCAAGACGCACCGTCAACGTTTTCACAGAGAATCCCATCATCACGGGGCCACGGTCTAGTCGGCCGAAGAAGAAGCTTGTGGAGGTAAGCACGAGCGAAGGGGATGACTTGGACGACCAAGAGGAGGATGAGGTCGATGAGGATGCTCCCGGTGAGGAGGACGACGACGTGGATGCTGATGGCGATCTCGATATGGACGACGCACCACCCCAACCACCTGTGTCGAGAAGACATGCTAAATCTTCTGCCCCCTTTACAGCGGCCGGAAAGGCGGTGAAAAGCGTAGAGGAAAAGGAGATGGAGTTGGATGATGATGAAGATGAAGATGACGACGAGTTGTCCGAGCTGGACACGGATGCCGAGGGCGAGCCAGATGATCAAGATGAGAGCGGCCTGGGCAATGAGCAGGCAGGGGAGGAGGAGTTGGACGACGAGGAGGAAGATGAGGAAGCTGACAGTGACGATGGTACCCCTGGCGGGGACCTCAGCCGCTTGACCAAACGGCAGAGAGGTAATTTGGGCAATGACTTCCTGCAGCTTCCTATGGGTGAGTTCTCTCTCTTGACTGGCTATATCACTTGGAAGCTTCCCATCTGACTCAAGAGCAGAACCTCAAGTGAAGAAACATCTGACGGCAGAGGAGCGTGCCATGCGCCGAGCCGAGATGGCCCGACGTCGGAAGAATCTGAGCGAGAAGCGAAATGAGGAAGAAAAGGTAAGTAATGGAAATCGTGACGATGGGTTCTGTTCTGGGCCAAAAATCTTCGCGAAAGTATGATGATGCATGGCTGACACACGAGGATAGATGGACACCATCAACCGGTTATTACGCAAGCAAGCCCCGAAACGACGTGGTCGAATTCCTGTCGCTGAAGCTGAAGCGGTCGCCGCGGAGCAAGAGGCACAGGAGTACGAGAAGCCACAGCCGACGATGGTCCGATGGATCAGTGGCCGCGAGGGCAGCCGCATTGGGGTCCCTGAAGAATGGCTCGGCACCCCTGCTGGTCGTGTTTTTGGAGGAGCTACCAATGAATCAGCGAAGCTGGTCCAAGAAGTCTGATTTTTCCGGGGTATCAGGTGATTTGGCTATGGAGCTGGGCGTATTGGGAAGAGTCGGGTTTCATTGATGGTCTATGATATATCTGGGATCGAAAACGGTCAATCAGTCGGAGGCCCGGCTTGATCTATGTATTATTGCGTTTTTCACTTGTATCATACCCTGCTCAGCAGTCTTGACTGAGAAAATCAAGTCGAATTTCTTTATTAAAAAAAAAAAAACAAAAAAAAACATTCTTCGTAGTTATACCTAATATACAAGACGAACTATATAATCGCGGAGAGCGATGCCGACAGATTCTGCTGTCTTGTAGGCGCTATATACTCCGACTATTATGGCCAGCATTCAAGGCTTATCCCGTAGCAGTGAAGAGGCCTATCCAACTACAAGATCATCAACCTAGTCCGTGACCTGTAGAGTTTATGAAACATAATGCCATCCCCGTGGGCATCCACTGGACGGTCTCCCCTTACAATGTCCTGGTCAACAATGCGGTGCTGGCTACCTCCCTGCATGTTGCTGCACAGTTAGTCCAAAAACTGCATGGAGAGCCGCGTCTCCCCGGCAGTGGCCTGCACGCATGCGGTGAGAGGTCCAGACGGGCATCATCGTGATTCGAAAAGAGTTTCCGTGTTGCCATTCCCGACTTCCGCGCGCAACCGGCTCCGCCGCTTCTCTTTACTTCGTGTCTTGGCTTGATGGCGTCGAGACTTGCGTCGTGTCTGAATTGGATGCTGGGGGGTTGTTTGGGGATTGGGATTGTGCTGGGGCTTGGGGTCTGGTAGTTGCGAGACGGGTTAGTGCGTGTGTGCGAGCTATGAGGAATGGCTGTTGCTTGGTGCTCTTGGAGTGTGGGGAGCGAGGAAAATCAACGTACAATTGCGTCGTGCGTTTTTGGCTTTGTAGTTCTTGCAATGCGGGCTGGAAGGTATAGTAACCTGAGGTGGGGACAGGTCAGTACAGGGAAGTTTGTGCCTTTTGGGGTTGAGGTCTAGAGGGTCATATTTCCATTCATACCTCCCAAGATGCCCATTCCGATGGCGATCACGGCGGGGATGAAGTTGCGACTCATGGTGGGTTGCAAGGTGTCGATGATATACTGTAGACGCGAGATAGAGAAGATTGAGTATAAGTTTGGCCGAGTAAGTTTTAAAAACAGGTCAGAACGTGCAGGCTGCCCGATGATCCTCGGAATATTCCAGTGGAAGACGTAGTTAGAGTCAGGGTCCAGTCAATTAATTCCACTTTCAAGCTCCGCCGCTGCAGAACGCGTCTCCACATTTCCGACGCGTCTAGACGGAGAGCAGCCTTTGAACCATCCTGGATTCTAGAAAGCTGTCTACAAGATATTACCTTTTGGTTTTTATTTTTTTTTGGTTCCGAATTCTGTCAGCAGCAAATCTGTGTCCACGTCTTGCGAGCAGGTCGCGGTCTCGTCTCAGTTTTTACACGAAGGAATGGACGTCTAGGGCGATGGGCAATCGGGGTACAAATGGAATCATGGCGGGAACGAGGCTTTGTACCGGACTCGGACTCGGAGGATGGCTTCGATAGTCAGGATTCGCGGCTCAACCCGGTTCTAGAGGATGTGGTTGAAGAGCCCGTTGCCGACGCCCAGCACGATATTGTGCCGGACCCCCACGATGACAGGGCAAGCGAAGAAGGAGCGCAGGACGAGGGTGCTGGAGATCCCCAGGTCGCGGTATCGAACTTGGATGATGCGGAAGAGTGCACAGGCGCTCCCTCAGTCACGCCTACGAGACTGGATATAAGGGAGGAGACTACCCAGGATGATTCTGAGACTGTCCGATCGAACGACCAACACTCTGCAGAGAGGACGACGACTGGTCATGGGAAGGAGGCAGGGTCAACAACTTCAGCCTCAAGCAGACCGGACGCGGCTACGCCCAGCCAGCTGTCGACTCCCCACAATAAACCGCAGGAGGACATTTGGGATATTCCTAGTTCCCCGGACGAACTACAGTTCGATTTCCAGCCATCCCGAAAACCCATCACTTATGTATCGAGGGGAAAGAAGGTGACGCATATCCGGGAGGCCAGCCCGACTCACGAGGAGGATCACACACAACCGGCGGTCGAGACCGCCGACATATCGCCTCTTTCGTCTCCGCTATCGTCTCTGCACTCGATACAGCTGGGCGACGACGATGATGATACTGCGCGGCAGGAATTACAGGATGACAGTGGGCACCCTGAAACTACAGAGGCAGCAGAGACTCAAGAACTACCGACTCTGAAAGATATGCTTCCTGCCGAGATTCCTGAGGATATCCTCCAAGAATTGTCACACCCCATGCGACGGTCGCTGAGACAACGCAACCCCATCCAGTTACACCCCTACCTCCTCGAAGATGCAAAATATCGGAGCCTTATGAAAGCCAGGGGATTGAAGCCTGTGCGCGTTGCTCTAGCGGAACAGGCTCTTCGTGATGTAGCCAACGAGAGCCAAGGCAACGAGTTTGAACCTCCCTCGAGTGATCCCGTCGAAAGCTTTCAATTTCCACCGTCATCGCCGGTTCTTCACCAGCAATCTCCTGAAAAGCTTCTTATGCACACGGACTCCGTACCCCGACGAAGTCGTCTCGATCCACAATTTCGGGGACATTCACCAAATGGCACAGTAGTCCGCCCGTCAAAGCGGCGAAGGGTATCAAGACCCGAAGAGGATGCCCGACGTCGGTTGCAACATGTCCCCCAACCTAGTGTGGTCATCAACAACTCTCCTGCGCACCGCGCGAACACCTCGTTCTTTGAGATACCAAGCCCGCCGCGCTCAGGTAGCGTCTCTTCCTCGCAAACCGCCCAGCCTGTGGATGGATTTATATTCCCTCCCGGATTTACGCCTCCAAAATTGACTACGCCGGTGACGGAGCCGAGATTCAACATGCGGAATGCCCCTGGAATGGATGTCATGGACTGGTCAGGCGGCGACTTCGACCCCGGCTCTGTGGATGCTCAATCAGTCACCCTTCAGAGTCAACCGAATTCTGATTTGGAGGAGGATGGTGATGATAATGATGATGACGATGAGGGGGAGGAGGATGCAGGAGAAGATGAGCAGGCTGTTGTACGGTCATTGCAGCGCAGAATTAAAGGCGTGCTTCCAGCGTCTTGGCTACGACTTGATCAGAAGAAGCAGAGCGAATATTTCCCTTCTACCCAACGATACCGAGAGAGAGCAGCGCTTCGAGTAGGAAATGCCAAGGGCGTCGCCAAAAAGATTACAAGGAGGGCTGACGCTGTAGACTCGTCCTCCAAGAATCAGATGGCATCTCTCAGCCTGCTTGCTGATGAAGACAGCGGTGAAAGCACAGAAGCGGATGAAGCACAGTCTGAGGTGAACCCGAGTAGGCAATTAGCCCAGCTCTTGGGACTTGATATCCCATTTGATGATGAGAAATGGGAAGACGACATCCCCGAGGATAATCAGATGGACTACATGTTCCCGTCTATACCTCGGGGGCCATCTTCTCGAAGTCGGAAGCAGGGAAAGAAACGTCAGAGACCTGATCAAAGTGTTGCGCATATTCATCACCCCGCTAAGAAGGCTCGCTTAAAACGACAAACAAGGATTACGGATCCAGAATATGGGACGCGAACGCAAAGACATACACCACGCCGTCCTCTTCCGAAACTGGGCATCTTGGATGCTCCGGATGTTGCCCATCGACCTCGCAAAGAACAGCCCCAGTTTCTGAGGGTCGCAGCGCGAAGAGCGCGCTCGCGAAAGGACATGGGAAGAAGGAGCCCGTCCCGCAAGTTCTTAAAATTAGGATCGCGTGTGGACACGGAGGATGCTAATATGACATTGCGTGAATGGCGAAAAGGAAGCCTCCCACAGACGACTTTGCCTCAAGTACGGACAGAGCCGCATGTACGACAGCCGTTGATGGACCGCCCCGTCAATGGACTCGCCCCCCTGCGCAATCATGCTACTCACGTGAGGGATAAGACCCCCAGGATCGATTTGGGAACCACCGCTGCAGCTCAGCAAGACGATGCTGCTCCCGAGAACTTGGCAGATGAAGATATTTCAGATCCAACACCAGCCTTAGAGGGCAACAGCACGTCTTTACGAAACCCCAGGCCTGGACAGCAAGGGAATAAATGGGTTATTCGTCGAAATCTTGCCGTATCTTCTCTTCAGAGGAGCGGTCCAAGACCGGTGGGACTAGAAAGCACAGATGCAGGCAGCACTCTAGCGTCACCCTGGCTATTTCACAGAACAATTGCACGACTCAATCAGGATTATCGGCAGAAACGGGGATCTCGGACGACGCAGCGTAGCTTGCCGCTCGATAGATACCTTGCGAACAACGTTGCGCCCAGTATACCTACCAGCGCTGGTCCAGGAGTCACTACTCAAACTCCGAGGACGAATAACCTGGTCCCTCAGGCCCAACATGAAAGGAAGCGACGTCAGGTGCGGAAACGACCACCTCAGCGAATAGACATCGGTGCTCTTGTCAGCCGAGAAGCTATTACTCAAGAGCTTACAATCCTGTCTGGGGATACTCCGGTCTTGGAAACTGAGAGGTTGAATCCTCCAAGCCATATTGGCAACGGGCTGAGATCGTTCCAGCGCTCTTATACTATCGATTTCGACGTCACACCTCTGCCATCTGGTACATTCTTTCACGAATCTACATTCCTAGGGAGTGGGCAATTCTCGCGCTCTCTCAAAGTCATACAGCGCGATGTAGACAGCCGGGGTCCTTTAATCCAGATTAAATATCGGGATCAATGCTTCCGCTGGGGCCCTTGGACCGATGCTGTTTCTTCAGAACTTGGCAATGTTTTCGATGCGATGATTCAAGAAGTCGAGTCGAATCAAAATGAAACCACTATTGATTCCGAGACAGGGTCCGAGGGAGCTTATACCCTGTATAGGTCGCTAATCAACTACGTCTCGGATGCACTTTCATTCGAGGATCCAATCGATAGGATAGGCTTTGTCACAAGAGCTCAGACTCTTGTCATGAAGTTGAATGACTATCTTATGGGATCAACTTCAACCGATGAACGACAAACGGCACGTCTCACAAAAGTTGCAGCTTACAATCTGGTGTTTGCAAACCAAGCACTTCAAGTGGCATCCCACGCTCTTGTCAACGATAAGATCGCTATGGAGGTCCAAGACAGTGTCAAGTTGATTGGCCGACGCGTTCTCGCATTCGTTTCATGTCTTCCAGCTCAGGCTCAAATACGCACCTTCCTCCAAGAAATCAAGTCTCCAGCACGTCGCGAAGCAGGCATTCGGAATGATCAAGCAGTTCTCGAGTCCTACATCGTCGCTAGGCATGTATTGCAATCTACGTCTCAACTTAAAGCATGTTTTGAGGAGTACATGATTGAGAATTATCTATCGGCGCCGGCCGACTTGACTGTTGCAAAGGATATCAAGAGCTACGAGATTGGCTGGCAGAAAATGTTCACGACTCTGCCATTGAATGAAGTCGATACGGACGGACTCCTCAAGACCGGAGTGCGGTTCAGTGAAGGTCACGGCAACTGGTCAATGGTCAAACGACTGCTTTCTCCGATGCTCGACGACTATGAGACTAACTCAGCATCACAACCGATCTCTTACAGTAGATACTGCCAAGCTCTTTTTCACAGATGCTTTCATCTGATCAATGGATGGGGGTGGCGGGATTGCAGGCCTATCATGCAATTCCTGTATGATTTCTTTGCTAAGAACCAGCTGTACGACCTGAGGTTCGAGGAAAGTTACAGATCTCCTTCCTTCCTCGATGAACTCGACCGCAATCCTTCGCTTGAAGTCAGGCCAGGTGATCCAACCTTCCATATATTTCTGAAGATATTGGCTACTGGGCTCCGATTCTTGCCATTGTCTTATGATAAGAAGCAGATTCGCAATTTTGCTTGGCGGCTGTTGCCAAATCATGATGGAAGATATCCAAAGGAGAAGCCCATATCTCAGGCAGACTTGGACGCCGTGAGAAATCATCACGATCTTCTGTGTACGTTGTATTTCGCTGTTCCTGATGGGTGTCGCCCTCGACTCGAGACTATCAAAAATCTTGTCGACCCTGCCATTTCGCATCGTGAAACCTGCAATATCAGCTTTCGCTCCTGGATCAGGCTTGTGCGATTCAAATTGTCTACGAATGAAGATGTGACTGACCTGGAAGCATTTGCTGATTGGCACTGCTACTTTCTCAACGAGTTTTTGAAACAGCATGCTCTCGCGCGGAAGGAGATTGAAGCTCAGAATGCCATTGAGAAGAGTTTCTCCCATCAGCAGGTTGAGAAGACCATTTCTCAAAACCAACGTCAAATCGAAGCCTTGCTCAACATGGCTCTGAACGGCCTGCAGATTGCTCTTCGGGCAGCGCCCACTTTAGAGCATGCGCGGATCCTTGTTTCGAAAACACCTATCCGAGCAATCCTGAGTCTTTTTAATCCTAGGCTCACCCGCATAAACGCTACTGTTGCCGAAGCGCTCCATGTAATAATAGCCTATGTTAAGAAGTGCTACTTGGATACTACGCCACCGTCCAACGCTCCTGCGCTCACGACTGACGAAGATAGTCAAGAGTATGGCGACTGGACTGAGATTGAAGCGATATACGGGGGTGAAAACCCTCCGCCAAGCAAAGGTGTCGAGCATGTCGAACAGGTCTTCCTCCCGGCAGTATCCCGTCTTGTGTCCAATTGTTTTGGCGAAGATCATTGCCCCGAAGATACAATCCTTCTGAATGTCATTGATTGCTGGACTTCGATTGCCCACGTCCTTGTGAAACAAGGTTTGAAGCATTGGGACAACTACCTTAGTCCTTACGATGGTGATTCTTGGTTAGCACTCCGATCGACGGTGCAGACGAGAAAATTCACTCCACTCTTCCTGGCTAGCTGCATCGAAAGAGACCCGCGGTTTCTATCGGACTGTAGGAACCAGATCCTCGGCCTGTGGATGTCCAGCTTGGTGGAACGGGGATCGATGCTCAAATTCCAACACCGCTTGACGGAGGCGCTGTTGAATCAAGACACAACAAATCCCATGTTGCATAATCTGCCATTCTTAAAAGATCGGCAGAGTGAGCAGTACATAATCTCGATGGAAGACCTCACCCAGCGGAGGCTGTCACTTCTCTCGAGTCTTCTGTCGAACATGCGCGCACATGTTCAAGCTCTAGAGGATGCAGAAAGTCGACAATTGACGAGCCCAAAACAAGACTACAAGGAGTTAATCCGACGGATGATGGTATCCATGAAATCAAATTACCAGGAACTGGGACACGGGGGAGGGACCGCGCAAGGAGCCTATGTGGATTTTGTTCATCGGATTGTTGGATTCTTGCAACAGCACAGCAGAGATATCTGTCCTATCGACCCATTCTTCACCGATCCCACATCCTTCCCTCTGCCTTCGGCTGATCCAACTTACATTGTTGCGAGACTCAAGAGCTATGAGCCAAAGCTCTGCTCTGAGAAGGTTGTGAAGACATTGGTGATATTCGTCCAGGGCGTGTCCGAGCGAGCTGCCATTGATGGTCAGCAGATATATCTAGTTGACCAGCTGCGTGCGTCTATGGCGGATATCTATGAGTCTGGAGATCCAGAGAAGCCTACTCTGCGCGCTATACTCCTGCAGTGCGTGTTTCCTGCTTACGTCGAGTGCGCCTTTGTCAACCCGGCGGCATGGCTTCTCAGTCGGCCAATCATACAGACCGTCTCTCTTGTGTTCAAGGACCTGCTGTTTGCCATGGATGTCACGGATACAATGTGCCGGGCATCTGTCACTGCCATGTTGGACAGTATCTTCCGATCAGCATACGAAGTCTTTCATAGAATCGAGGCAGCGTCCACTATGCTCAAATTGCCGACTGTGATGGCCACGCTCACTTCTCTTGTCGAGATGACCACTTCTGCTCTTCCAGCAGTGGACTATATAGACCGAGCAACGAATGTTGGAAGCAGACTCATCTCCCAGATCGGCGCTCTTCGTGAATCCATCATGTCTGCCGCATCATGCATTCGGGAACAGTCATGGGAGGAACCAGATCTTGCTCAACTTTCAAGTGTGTTCGCCCCTGACAGCACTGCGAACCCGGCAGTCCCCAAATTCTTCCAGGTTATACGAGCCGCCGCGACCCAAGAGTTGCAGACGTATCTCATCGAGAACTGGTCGCAGCATCAGGGCAAATACTATTTTACTCGACGCGGCGGGCACCAACCCCAGCTGGTTGATCTTGAGCCATCAATCACGGTGGATCTTGAGCAACGACCGTCAGCGGCATTTGAAGGTGCCGTCCAAACCTTTTTGGAGACGCTAAGAGCGATTGATTTATTTGATGAAGCGGATTAGATGGGCTCATATGCCCCTCCTAGATGGTATATACTCCCATGTCATAGGTAATTCTTAATTGCCCCTATGGTGTTCGCATTTATGATGTCAATCCTCATGTCCGATGTGCCTATATAGTATGAAATAGCTCGACTATTTAATGAATTATGATGACTCTACAATGCTGTGCAAGAGTAGAATGGTTCCAACCCATATCCTTATGGGAGAAAGATGCATGTGATTTAAAAGTCTTGATTGCTTGCCCTCATACCAATCGTAAAACACTCATGACAAGTCAGGTAAAAGAAGAAGATCACACACTCAACACCAAACAAAACACATTCAAACCACCCGGATAATGCATCCTAACCCATTCGCCAGAACCCATCCATTGGGGGAAAAAAAAAAACACAATTCAATGCCAACCGCAAAGTGCATTATAGCTAGAGAATAGTTATACCAACGTCGCCAAGCGATCTTATTTGAAATACCCAGCACCGCCTGGGGGACTCGACGCGGCCGGCGCCGCGTCCTTCGCATGCCCGTCGTGCAGCTCCGGGTGGCCGCCATGATTCCCGTGACTTGAGCCCCGGCGGTGGAACGGATGCGGATGGAACCCAGAGAACTGGAAGACCTTCTTGACGGCGCTGGCGACGCTGGAGCGTTTCTTGGACTCGGGCGACGCCTGCGCTTGCTTGTTGTTGTTGTCAAGGGCGGCGGCGGCGCTGGCGGGCTTGTGCACGATCGAGTCGTCCTGCAGGACGATGGAGGTGGGCTTCGGCGGCCACTGGCCGTCGGATTTCCAGCCCTGCACCATCGCCTTGACCAGGTCCGCGAGGTTGATGGGCACCGTGGGCGTGAGGCCCTGCACCACGACCTTGGAGTAGATGGACGGGTACATGGTTGGGGTGATCGAGGCGCGCACGGGGTTGGACAGCGGGATCAGCGAGGGGGCGAGGGGGATGAGCGGATCGCGGACCTGGCTGGGTGGCAGCGTCGGCGTCACGGCCGTTGGTGTTGTTGTCGTTGTCGTCGTCGTGTTCGTGTTCGCATTTGCATCCGCGGTTGCCGGCGCCGACTCCTGGCTCTCTTCATGCGACGGCTTCGGCACCGTCAGGGTCGTCTCCGTCGACTCCTTCGCGCCGTCATCGAGCGTCTGACTCTGCTCCGCCTCCCCCTTTCCCAGGTGCGACTCGCCCTCCGCAATCGCCAGCGACGCCTCCGTCCGCGCAGCCAGACCAGGCGAGCCAGAGCCAGAACCCAAGTTCGACATCGACCCCGACATCGACCCTGACCCCGACCCCGACCTCGACCTCGACCTCGACTTCAAGCCCAAGCCCAAGCCCTCATCCCCATCCTCCCCCCTCTCCAGCGCCCTGACCTCCTCCGCCGACCGCGCCCCCGTCCACGCATCCCGCCGCTCCACCCACGTCCTCAGCCCGGGATTCCAACGCATCTCCTCCTCCTCCGCCAGCCGGCGACGCAGCCGACGGCGCTCGCGCGCCCTCTCCTCCGAGTCCCCACCGTCCTCACTCAACGGACTCCCGACCTCTGTCGGGCTCAGCTGCGGCTCCAACTCGGAGCCGGAGCTGTCGTATTCGCGCAGCCGCCAGCCGAGCCAGGGCTGGTGCGGGAGGGCGGCGGCGCCTGAGGCCGGGCAGGAGGGCTGGAAGGTCCAGTCGTTGCGGACGACGTCGGCGACGTGTCGTTTTGCGTCGCGGATGGCGGCGTCGCGGGCTTCGCCGGACATGCTTCGGTTCGGTTGTGGTTGCGTGGGGGAGTCTGGGAGGGTGGAGGGGGGGGGGGGTTCTTTTTCTTTTTTTGTGGTTTGGGGGAGAAGGGAGGGGGGTTTTGTTGGACTTGGGATGTGGGTAGCTGTTGGTGGGTAAAAGGGACTTTTTGAAAACTGGGGTTCCTGTGGGGTTTCGTGCCGATCGTCCAGAGACTGAGAGTGAGGATATTAGATATTAGTTGGAGTGTTGGACTCACAGACTGCAAGTGGGTGGCGTGACCAGCGAGCGGAGAGGAGAATTCGACGATGTCATCGCGACAACAACGGATGGTGTGGGCGTGACCTGGCCTATGATCCCGTATGGTAGGAAAACTCTCGGCGTCAATTGCTTCGACTATATACCTTTTCTTCTCTCTTTTCAGCTCGATTACTGATACATGTTCTATCTGTTCATATCGCTAATAGTACACAAGGTGGTCTCGTTAAAAAAAAAAAAAAAAAAAGGAGAAAAAAAGAAAAAATCTCCAGTCACAAAGTCCATACATACAGAAAAACATTTGTTGATTGATGTAAAACACCCCCTTCTGGCCGATGATATACCCAAAGTAGAGGACTCCTAAAAGAACAAATAAAATGCAAGAAAGAGAGAAAATAATCATGTCCGGACACGCGCTGCGTCGGTTTCCACCTTCTCCATACCGCCAGGCGTGAAGCCCCATCCCGAGTTCTTCTTGCGACGGCCCTTGCGGTCTCCGTATTGCTCGTCGAACTTGCGGATCGCAGACAGGGACGACATGTCTTCGCTAATCGAGGCGCTGATTTCCTCCATGCCTCGCTCGAAGTGCGCCCGGGTCAATGTGCGCCGCGCGGGATATTGGTACGGCTCGTCGCCTTGGTGCTTCGCCGCCAAGTCGTTCTCTTCACGGACACAGGCCAGCGCCGCCGCAACGCAGAGGTTCTTCAAATCGGAGCCCGAGTAGAGCGGAGTACGGTGAGCCATTTCGGCGAGGTCGACCGAGCTGTCGAGGGTCTCCTCTTTGAGATGGATCTTCAGAATGGCCAGCCGATCTTGCTCGGTCGGGAGGTCGACAAGTAGTCGTCTGGGCAGCCGTCGAAGGACCGCGTCATCCAGGTCGAAGGGCCGGTTCGTGGCCACCATAATGAAGGCAGACATGTCGTTCATCCCGTCCCATTCGCGAAGGAACTGGTTGATGAGCTCGCGGTGCGAAGTGCGGCTGCTGGCACCGGTCCGGGAGCAGAAGATCGCATCGGCCTCGTCGATGAAGACCACACACGGGCTCAGCTTCTTGGCCAGCGTGAAGATCGCCTTGACGTTCTTCTCGCCCTCTCCAACATACATATCGTACACTTCGGAGCCACTGACCTCCAGCACCGTGGCACCACTTTCCCGAGCAACGGCCTTTGCCAGCAGCGTTTTACCGGTACCAGGCGGCCCGTAGAGTAGCAATCCCGGAATTTTATCGGTGGCCAGAACACCGTAGGTGAAGGCTTCCGGCCGGATAAGCGAAAGCGACGTAAGTGTCTTGAGGGCATCAATGGTCTCCGGTGGGACGTGAACATCGGCGAAGGTGGTCCGGAGGTTCTTAGCATCGACAACTCCATTCAAGAGCTTCTTCTCGTGGGAGTTGCAGGTTTTGCGCAGAGAGTTCAACAGCCGCTCCCGGTCGGTTCCAGTCTCTGATGTTGCCGATTTGGGCGTCCTCTCCTGGAGCCAGTCATTCTTGAGTCGGTCGTTCTTGTACATCATCTCGATACCACGCTGGATGTGTTCGAATCCGAACGGCTCGCTTGGATCAATGCAGCCCAGTGCGAGAGTGGTTGCCCAGTGAATCTGGCTGTACGGCCAGTACCGCTCGTCCAAGCCAGAGTCTTTCACCACAGCTGGAGGCAGAGGCCAAGTACGACTGCCGAAAATGTCGTCCTTGATAGCCGAAGGGCTCTCGCTAAGACGCGTCCGAAGCATATCTTGTATGTGACGGATATTGATGTCCAGGGTGCGCTTCTTTCGATCTTCGGCTAGAGTCTTCTCCGCTGTCCCCGAGTCCATTCCCGGCGTGATGACCAGCATCTGTGAGAAATGGTCGTCAAAGGCGTTTTGCATGAGCCTAGACGTATCCGAGTCGGGGCTGACTTCCTGCGCCGAGGTGCCAATGAACAGAACTCGACTGCCACTTTTCCTACGATCCATGATCGCCTTTTGTAATAAAGCCACGAATTTAGCGCCTTCCCGAGTCGCTTGTAATTCGCCGTAGTCCTGGACCTGGAGAATGACATCCCGTGAGATCTCAGGCTGACGTTCCGTCGCCGTTGCTCCTTCGGCTGCTGGCGGGGACTGCTTGCGCGGCGAGTTGATGAGCTCGTTGACAAGTCGAAGCCGTCTGTCCTCGACGCGATCCATGCTGCTCTGTGGTGAAGCGGCACCATCCAAAGGCCCGTTAAAGGATGTGATTAATGACTTGAGACCCAGAAGACTGGGCAATGGAATATCTGCCCCATCTCTGGAGCTCTCAATGGTGATGAATTTCGCTCCCTTCAAACCAGGTCGGGAATTCTTTGGCGACCCCGGGTCGATCATGTCGGCATCGTCGGCGTCGCTCTCGTTCAACCCGTCTCCCATGTCTTGCCATGATTCGGAGATCGAGGGCCGGTACACCTCGTAGCCGAGCGACCGGATGGGCGATGTCGCCCCACCATCCGCCAGATCTTGCTCGCTACAGAGCTGAGCAATATCTTGGGCATTCAGAGTCACCAGGTCTGCGCCTACTTCCTGAGCCAATCTCTTCACCACTGCATCGAGAAACAAGACACCATCCGCCCCGGGGTATTGGAGAACCAAATGCGATTTCCGTGCCGACGGTTCTTTCGCGTACTTGGCCGGTGGAAGACGTAGGCCTGCTTTGGCAGACGCGCATAGTTCCTCCCAGAGCGCCTCGGGGAGCGCATAGCGATGGTCTGCGCCGGGTTGACCCTCGGAGGGAGACGGCTCACCTCCTTCACCACCTTGAGCCTGAGCAGTGCTCTCCTGTGTTCCCGTTTCCGTTGCTGTTTCGGCTGACCGGCGTATCGTGACTTGGTGCTGGGCCTCCACGACAGCCTCGCCGCCGTCGGCATGCAAGACGACATTCCGTTCACGAAACCATTGCGGCACCTTGGCTATGGGGGCTGCCCATTCCTTCCCTTGCTTTCTATTTCTCAAAGCCCGGCGCACCCCGGAGCCATACGGGCCCGACTCTTTCTTCACAGGGCGCTCCACCGACGGTGTAGGACTCGATAAGGGAATATTCTCCGAGGAGTTGTGATCAGAGCTTACGGTTGGTAAATCGTGCGCAACACTTTCCGGAGCCGAGTCTCGAGAGTCGCTGGGGTCCGATGGCGCCGCCGCCAGCCATTGCCGCGAGAGATGGAAGCGACGGGCAGAGGAGGCGATAGTCGGGGGATAGCGGCGATGGGCGACGAAACGGCAGGGTCGCGCGAGAGACGAAAGTAGCCTGCCTTGCAGTACCATTGACGAATACATCCGAGGCAATGGGCGGTGCCCTCGGAATCAAAGATGAAGAGGAATGCTGATGCTGTAGAGAGCCAGCGTCTGCATCAGCGGAAAGGGCGAGCGAAGTTGAGTTCAGGAACAGGAACAAGAAGCTCAACGCTGATCTCCGTCCAAGGTTCCGCGGCGAGTTTGATGTCACGTGACTGTAATGGATTCCAATGTTTTTGCGAGGACTGGATGCTTTTTCATCAGTGGCAAAAACAGTGACTGTGAATAGAGTGTCGAAAAGGAGTTATCTAACTATATTTTGAATCCAGCGACCGTTGCTCCAAGTAAGGACAATAATATACTCTAGCATTGTCTTGCGGTGTCTGGAGGTGAAGCCAAGACTCGTGGCTAAAGATCGACAGAGCAAAGTTTGCAGGATCATTCTACAGATATATATCTCCAGCTATGATCTCACCGGGACTCCCAGACTATCTACAGGGTTAGAGCATACAGGAGATGGCTACTTTGATAAAGATTGAAGATAATAATCGAGTTGCATCAGAGCATGATATTGTATTTGTGACTAAAGATAGCGCAAGCTCTAGAAAGCTATTGTGGAATAACTGGCACTGCTCTTCGTGCAATAGCCACCTCGAGATGTTCCAATGTACCTAAGAATCGTCTGAAATCCAAGTCAGTAATTTGTTTTCTGACAGATAACCATGCAACATGAAGCAATGAAGAAGTTCTCAGACAAAGTATACTGGCAAGTAGCAGACCAACCGGGAAAGGAAGGTCCGGAATATCTCATCAGGGACGATTCAGTGAGTAAAGAAGTAAAAAGGGTTTGTCATCTTCGAACAGCTCCCAACGGAGCAAAACGGGAACAGAAATCACAATAGCAAAGAAAAAAAAAACAATAAAAAGCAATTTGACTAACCTTGCCAGTGGTGCTGTCAAGCAGCCTGTTAAAGAGTGACCTGATCTGCTGTTAGTGATGATGGTATGATCCTGCATTATGTAGCGGGATGTAGTGGCGAAGTCATGCAGCTGCATTTGCTGCTCAGAATCTTCAAGATGCCAGAACCTCGTTCACCAACAACACCTTCTAGTAACACGAAGGAATCGATTCTGGAAGAAAACTGGTGGGAAAAAGAAGGAAGAGAAAAAGCGCACGAGTTTGACGGAGAAGAAAAAGAAAAAAACCGGCCGGCAGACCGCAAAAGCTGTTGTTCCGAGTCCACGTGACCCATACCTGATCGGGACTAGCGGCAGGCAGTGACTGCGCTGGCCAACAAGAGTCCCGTTAAGTCACGGTCGCTCACTGGATTGAAACGGGAAGAGGAAGAAGAAGAAGACGAAGACGAAGAAGAATCGCCCCTAAGAGGAAGAAAAGGAACAAGAAAAGAAAAGGAAGAGGAAGAAAAGAAACCTCGCCATGAGCCTCTTCTGACCTGGTGGGTGTGATCTCTCTCTCTCTTGTACCTACTCTCTTATTATTACCCTTAATTCTCTCTCCTCTCTTCCCTCTCTCTCTTTCTCTCTCTCTCTCTCTCTCTCTCTCTAAAGAGGGTGTCTGTGTGTGCCTGTGGTATGTATGAATCTTGCTTTCTTCTTTCTCCTCCCCCGTTTGTTCTTCTTCATTGCATTATTATCATTATTATGATTATGGTCAGATCATCAGAGACATGAACTACCCCTAAGCCCCTCCACATCGCTCCGTTCGGCCTCCTAAATCCATCCACCTCCTGCGTCTTGTCACCGCGTCCCGCTGCTTTTCAGCCCTCACCACCCCCCTCTCACCCCCCAACCACAAGCCCTGTGCTTAGAAACTAACACTTGATTCTCTTGTTCCTTTTTTGGGCTGTAGGATTACCAAAACGGGGTCTTTTCTTTTGCAGCTAGACGATTTTTCACAACATCAATCCGTCGATCAATTAATCCATGCTTCACTTCTCGTCGGAATCTCAACGATAGCGACGCAGGCTCGGTCGCCCGACTGTTGCGTCTTCGGTCTTGGCCTCCGCTCCGAACGCTAAAAGCGGCCTGTCGTTTCTCCACGTCAAGCGCGCTCGTTTTTGACTTCCAGCCTCTGAAGTCTTAGCTGTCGATTCGATTGATTAAATCCTTGTATCCGTTCATATCCTCGTGTGCTCCATCCTAGTCTTCTCTCGTCCTTACTATATCCTCTCCCTTTCCCACCTCCATCGGCCTTAGGAGTCCCGTTCTCGGCGACTTCGCTGCATAGCGATGATGATGGCGCAGCCGTTTCCTGCCCATCAAGGCATCCCACAACATCCTGGGCTGCCTCCTGGTCATCCGATGGCTCCCGGTCAGCATCCGAACGCTCATCCCGGCGCGGGAATGGTACAGGGGGTTCATCCAGGCGTGTCGGCGCCAGGCCCTCAGGTCACTCAGGGTGGACCGATGATGGCTGGAATGCCTCCAGGAGCCGGGACCACAGGCCCAGGTCCTGTGCAGGCTCACGCACTTTCTCATTTGGGGCCGGCGCAGGCGCATTTGTTCCAACAACCGCAATTCGCTCAGACCTGTAAGTTTCTTGTTCTCCTGGGTCTCCCTGGTGGTCCATCGCTGCCTTCCGTCATGGGGAAGAGGCGAACCCATGACTCGCATAAGACCGGGTGTGCTGATTTGTTGTTGCCCGTTCAGTTGCCAATAACCCCCAATTGTTGCAACAACACCAGCAACAGCAGCAAATCCTTCGCCAACGGATGATGTTTCAACAACAGCAGGCGCAGCAGCAACAGCATGCAGGCCTCCCCGTCTCATTACCCAACGGCACACAAGGGCTTAACGCGGCCCAAATCGCGGCCATGCAGGCGAACCCGGCAATGCGACCGGTCAATCTACAAATGCACCTTCACCAGATGCCCCACGGGCCCCAGAACATTCAGCAACAGCAGCAGCAGCTTTTCGCTATGCAACAAGTGCAACAGGCCCAACAGGCACATCAAGCGCAGCAACAGGCTCAGCAAGCTGCTGCTGCCGCGGCCGCGGCCGCGGCCGGCCAACAGGGTCAGCACACTCCACAGCAGCGGGCAGCCGCGCAACCCCAGACCATGCACGACGCGCAAAGCGTGACACCTCAACCTCAGCCCCCGCCGCATCAGGGCAGCAGTACCCCTCAGTCGAACCCTCCGCGACCCTCATCCACACAGCCTCACCAGCAGCCCGGTGCTGCTCCCCAACCGCAGCAGACACCTAACCCCGCTCCTCAGCAGCTGCCCCAAGCCCAGCAACCGGGCCAGCAGCAGCAGCAACAACAACAGCAGCCGCCGCAACCCCAACTGCAGCAGGGTCAACCACAGAATCAGCAACCGCAGATGACGCCCCAGGAGGCGCAACTGAAGGCCCAACAAAGTCAGAACCAAGCCGCAATGATGATGCAGCAGAGGATGGCGATGAAAAACGCGTCCATCCTGTGTCTCCACACATTCGCGGAGCATCTGAGTAACTTTAGTGTAGGTTGAATCCCGTTATTGTTTGATATGTGTATTTTCTTCTGCGTTTCAGTACCCATGCTGATCTGCTTTATAGAGCCGTGGTGAGGTACAGGACTTGCTATACTGGCAGGCATTTGTGGATCGATTCTATTCTCCCATGGGGGTTCTGCGACAGGGCGTGTACAACCCGCAGGCCGGCTCGAAACAGTTTGAGATTTCGACACCGGCCTTGGCCCGATACTACCTGACTCAATTTACCAGTGGCATTCGGCAGATCCAAATGCTTGTCGAAGGCGCACGTGAGAGAGATTCGCCAAACGGGGGACACATCGTGGAGAGTCCCAAGACATCGTTCATCTACTGGTTCACCAACGATTCTCAGGTTCGCAACCCCAAGCTCCTGTCATGAACTCTTTTCGAATTGTGAATCTTGCTGACTGGGGATTTGCAGCTCTTTACCAACGGAACTCTTCGGGCTCACTTTGACCACAACAACAAGATTGAAATGCTTGACATTGTGGTGATGAACCACACCGAGTTTCTTCCGCGCAGCCAGCTCCAGGCGTTGGAAATATTTGAGCAAAAGCAGAGCCCCAAAGTGTCGAAGAACATGGGTAAACGGGGACAGCAGAAACAAGCCCCGCAAATCACCCCATCTTTACCGGAATCGATGGTGACGGCCAACGGGGTGCCCACCGCCGTCATGAGTTTCTTGGAGGTTGCGGAGACGATCTCTCACATGCAGATGCTCTTTCAGTTCTCACAGCAGAACCCGCAGCTTTCTCCGCCCGAGGCGCTGCGGAACCTGGTGAACACGCTGCAGAGCCAGAATTCGAATCCCGGATATATGCCGGGGCCGATCAACCAAGCCATGCAGCAGGCACAGAATCCTCGAGGACCCCACATGAACGCACCTAACCAGTTCGCTTCTCCTGCCATGGCTCATCTGGGCTTGCCGGCGCAGGGGTCTCCGCATCTCTCGGCGCACCCCAGTCCCGCCCAGAGTCACCTCGCCGGCCCTCCAGGAATGGTACAGCCAGGCCAGATGCCCCCCAACGTCGGGCAGGTGACGAGTGCTAGTGCTAGTCCGCAAGTCAGTTCAAAACGACGACGGGCTAGCACGGTCAAGGTGGAGAACGATGAATCTGGCGGTGCTCCCGAACTCAATGGGACTGCTCCTCAAGGGGTGAACAAAGTACCCAAGGCCAGTCCTCGGTTCACTGGGAAACGACAGAAGGGCACTGCTTAATTTTTCAAAGGGACTGTTTCCTTTGCCTTGATTGCTCTTGCTCCATCTTTTCCTCACCCTCTTACTCCCTTTATTCCATTTTCAGTCTCAAGAAGCGGGAAACTGGCGTACCATAGGATACCTGTTTGAGGCTTTGTTTGATTGTGCCTTCTTCGTTTCTGTTCTTTTCTTTTCTTTTTTTCTTTTTTTACGAATCCGGGTCTGTTGTATGCTGTTTCTTCTCATCCATTGAATATATCGGATGCTCTCCCCCCCCATTCCGTTACCCGCCTGCCTTGTTCGGATATTGTTTCAGTCCTACGTCGCATGCGGACTGGATGAGAACATTGACCAGTATCGGCTGCCTGCTCTCACATCGACGAGAATTGGCAGGACGCTGCCGGTCCGTATCGAAACGGGGACTGAGTGGCAGCGGCGAACTTTCACGTTGAATACGAGGCCGCCCCCCCCTGATATAATCTGATATCAGACTAATGTACTTTATCTACTTGCTTGTTTTGAGTTTTTGTCATCGTCCGTGTCCTGGAGTGCCGGTTCCATGAGCTTTTCCCTTTCCTGCGACATGGCCAGGAATGATGTCTTTTGGGTTCTTGAGCTCGATTCCCACCAGCGCTGATGACCACTACTAGTCCTTGACGCGATTCCGTTCTCCTTGATATCCGGGTCCTACAATCTGTCTTTTTGTCTGGCGTTTGGGTTGCTTTCTTTTCTGAAGATATTGCTTGTGTGTCTGTTCGTTCTGCTCTTTTTATACGCCGCGTGCTTTGGATGGGAAAAGGATGGTAGATGCTCTGCATGCTGCCATGGCTTGTACCCGTACAGGGAGATGATAATCGTTTAGATATTCCCTCCGCCTGTTCATCTTGTTCGTCTTTTCCGATCTCTATGACTATGACTATGGGTGCGGAGAGACCCGTATCTGAAGCTCTACTTGTAACTCCCCGCCTGCACGAAACGTCGAGCCAATGGTTACGTCTGTAGATTAATCAGAGAGCATATAGAGTCTTAAATCATGTTCATGTTCGTGTTCATGTTCGCAGTGGCTGTTGTGTCTGTCAATATACCCTCATGGAAGAGAAAGCATCGGAGTCCGCCGATTCGGCCAAGTCTTCCAGACAGTCTTGACTGAGCCTCCCCGCTCTTTATCTGGTTGCGATGCCGAACCCCTCCATCGGGGAACCACACAATTCCTAACAGCCCTTTTCTCTTTCTCTCTCTCTCTCTCTCTTCCTTCTTTTCTTTTCCATCCTACAACCTCCCTCCATCCCATCTCTCGTCTGCGCCCATCAGTCGATCATGTCCCACTCCCACGACCACTCCCATGACCACGGCGTGAGCCACTCGCACGATGACCCTTTCAACGGCCACGGCCACTCTCACGACATCCTCGACGGCCCCGGCTCATATCTGAGCCGCGAGATGCCCCTGATTGAAGGGCGGGACTGGAAGGACCGTGCCTTCACCATTGGTATTGGAGGGTATGCTATGCGCGATGACTTGTGACGGGAAGTGGAGATGCTGATGGTTGATGCGGTTGATCCGCACAGGCCTGTGGGATCCGGCAAGACGGCGCTCATGCTGGCGTTGTGCAATGCCCTGCGTGACCAGTACAACATTGCGGCAGTGACGAACGATATTTTTACCCGGTGAGTTGGATATTTGGTGTTGATAGCCCCCCAGGCGTGCAGCCGAATCCATTGCTCCTGCGAGCCCGACCCCCCCCACATGACGTCCATGATATGATGCTGGACATCGACTGCCCCCCAGGGCGAAACGAAAAAAAAAAAAAAAGAAAAAGAAAACTACTAACCAACCGCTCCACCCCGCACAGCGAAGACGCCGAGTTCCTCACCCGTCACAAAGCCCTCGCGCCAAACCGCATCCGCGCCATCGAGACAGGCGGCTGCCCGCACGCCGCCGTGCGCGAGGACATCAGCGCCAACCTGCTCGCCCTGCAGACCCTCCAGAAGCAGTTCCAGACCGACCTGCTGCTCATCGAGTCCGGCGGCGACAATCTCGCCGCGAACTACTCGCGCGAGCTGGCCGACTTCATCATCTACGTCATCGACGTCGCGGGCGGCGACAAGGTGCCGCGCAAGGGCGGGCCGGGCATCACGGGCTCGGACCTGCTGGTCGTCAACAAGATCGATCTGGCAGAGGCCGTGGGTGCAGACCTGGCGGTGATGGAGCGCGATGCGGCCAAGATGCGGGAGGGCGGGCCGACGGTGTTTGCGGTCGTGAAGCAGGGGAAGGGCATGGAGCACATTGTCAATTTGATCCTGAGTGCGTGGAAGGCGAGTGGTGCGTACGAGGCCAGTTTGGAGAGGTGGAAGAATGGCGCGCCGAAGAACTCGGGGAGCGTAGATGCGTGAGTGAGGAGGAGAGGAGGGAAATGTGCGTGGTCTTGATGATTCTTCTTTATTCTTGGATTTTGATATATCTCATCATTGTAAATGTACACACGAATGAACCAGTAATGGCTGGTCAACTTTTCACACTTTTTTTGTTTGGTGCCAAACCCCATCGCAGGAAACTCCCGTACCCATCCAACGCCTCGAGAAAATGCAGAGTTTATATCAAAACAGGCTGAGAACCGACGGTCCCGTGAGAAAGGTTGGGGGGTATCTAAACACTCCGCTCGGGTCATCTCGTCTCTTCGAGATGGTGAAAAACGAAGGGAGACAATCAATATGCAGCACGAACATCCCTCCACGGGGGAAGGGGAAAAAAAAAAAAACCAACAACAACCGACAGACACAAGCGTAAAAAGGAAAAGAAAAACAAAAAGGAGCAATCAGATCGCCTTCTTGGCGAACCGGCCCAGCGCAGGACCCAGATCCTCTCGCTCGGCACGCAGCTTCTCCTTCGCGCGCGCGGCGTGCTCCTTGCGCAGCATCTCGGCCTTGACGCGCTTGTCGTCGATGACGTTGCGCCGGCCCTTCTTGCGGAGGTACTTGCGCAGGGCGCTGTTGCGGCCGCGGCCGCGGTTCTTGAGCTTCTCGAGCGGGTCCTCCGGCCGGCGGTCCAGATCCTTCTCCTCGCGGTTTTTCTTGTCGCTGATCGTGTCCAGCTTGCCGATGAAGCTGGGGTCCAGCGAGATCATCTCCGGCTGCAGCTTGTTCAGCAGGCCGCGCACCTCGGCCTCCTGCCGCTGCTTCGTGTTCTCGTAGGGGTTGGCCTCCAGCGCGTCGAAGTTGGGCTCGCCCGCGCCGGGGACCAGGATGCTCGCGAAGCCCTTGTCGTGCGTGACTCCCAGCACGTCTTCCAGGGGACACCACCGCATGTTCTCGATGCGCTGCCCGTCTCCGCCCCACGCCATGTACGGGCTCTGCACCTTGCCCTGGTCTGCGGATGCGGCGTCGAAGAGACCGCGCCACACGCTGACCTGCGTGCCCCAGCCGACGGCTGTGAGACCGCGGTCACTGATCGCGACCGACGAACCGGGCTGGTAGCACGAATACGAGTGCACTTCCCGGAACATCCGAATATCCCACACACACATCTTCTGATCCTGGCCCGTGGAGACCATATACCGGCCTTGCCGATCAACAGCGAGCGAGCGAACAGGGCCCCGGTGGACCAGCGCTTTGACGAGGTTGGTTTGCGAGTTGGGAGACCACAGTGTCACGGTTCCGTTCTGGTGACCGACGTGTACGATGGCGTTCCATGGGTTCTGGCAAAGCGAAGTCGGGGCTCCGAGCCGCGTGGGCAGTTCTGCCACCATTTGGCCGGTGGATGTGTCGGTATACTTGAGGTGGCCGCTCATTTGCTACAAGAGGGGGGCCAGTCAGCATATCTTTATCTTCCCAGATGACCTTGGTTCAGGGATTGGGTACTCACAGCGCCAGCGAGGAGGAAGTGGTACGGAAGAAACTCGAGGAAGAGGGGCTCGATGTATTTGTTGAGACAATGCAGCTCCACGCCGCTGTGGTCGTAGATGTAGACGTGCTTTCTCTGAGCCACCGCAAAGTACTGATTGTTGTGTAACCACCGAGCATCGCGGACTGTCTCTCCCAGCTGAAGCTCACAGCCCAATCGGCCACTCCGCCAGTCCATCGTCGCAACGTGCCCTTTCCGTCCAGCCAACAGCAGTTCGCGGCCGTTTCTCGTGTAGTCCGCGCGGTACGGTCCCATATCCTCCAGCTTCAACTCGAATCCCTTCTTCGCCGTCTCGATTCCGACATTCTCCCGGATCTCATCCTGTCGCACCTTGTATGTTCTCTCCAGTTCGCCCTCAGGCTCGAGGAAACCCGCCTCATGCTCGAGCAGGATCTCCGCATCCTTCGCCTTGAGAGCGGCTTCCTTGAACTTCGCTTCCACAGCCTTGAGGTTGCTTCGTAGTTTCCGGTCCCGTACGCTCTGTACATTGATGGGTTTGCCTCGCCCGTAGGTCTTTTGCGCTTCGACCAGTCGTTTGCTCTTCTCGCGCTTGGGGGCCTGCGCCACGGCCATTGCGGGCGCCGGTTCAGACATGGGTGTCTATCCTCTCTGCGGGCGTTAACGAGATAATTTATTTAAGTTGCAAGAACTCAAATCAAAGAGCAGATAATCGTGCAGTCGCAGAGGACAGTCGGAGGTCAAGCTTTTTTTGCGGAGTGATGGAAGGAAAATTCATGCCAAGAACTCACGCTCGCTTGCCCACCACAGCCCAATTTTTTTTTTTCTCTGGCAGAAAAGACCCGCTCTCCGAGATCTGTCTATCGTCGTCCGGCTTATCTTGTTTTTTTCTTTTCTTTTGTTCGTGATAGAGGTATTTCGGTTTTTTTCCGGTTTACTTGTTTTCTTGCGTCTCTCTCTACACACTACCGGCTGCGTCTCTCTCATTGCAAACTGGCCTCTCTTCCCTTTCGATTCAAAGGGTCTAGCGGTGCCAACATGGCGCCCACCCAGACGGTGCATCATCACCGCTCGACAACCAAATCGTCCCATAAGCCATTCAAGACTAAGCATGCGTCTAAGGGTGCCTTGAAGGAGAAGGATAAGGGTATGGACGGGCTCTACAGTTAAATAAGAAGTCTGAACTCTGTCTAACTCGAATATCCGTGAACAGGCAAGGTCGAAAGAGAGCGGGGCACTCGCAAGACCCCCCACCAGCAACTCATGTCGAAACTCGATCGTCGGAACCAGGCTCGTCAGAAGCAGCAGGTCAAGCATCAGGAAAAGGTCCAGGCCACGAGCGTCTTCTCCGGCGCCAACGGAGCGCCCCGCCATGTCGCGATTGTGCCGCTTTCCGTCGACATCGATGTCGCGGCGATTCTCCAGTCCCTGAACGAAAGTGTGGATGTTACAGCTGATGTGTCCGCGGATACGATTTCGCGGGTGCGCGTTGATCGGTTCAGACAGAGCCTGCAGTATATTCCCGCCAAATATGATTTGCTTGGTGCTCTGGATGCATGCCGTATGGCTGATTTCGTCGTGCTGGCGCTGTCCGCCGAAGTCGAGGTCGAGGAGCAGGGGGAGTTGTTGCTGAGGTCGATCGAGGGCCAGGGTATCTCCAACGTTGTGGCAGTCGTTCAGGTATGTTACATGCGCTTCTGGGTGTCCGTCAGAGTTGGTTTGGCTAACCGCGCGGTCGGTAATAACTAGGGTCTGGAGAAAATCAACCCTCCCAAGAGGCGCCCGCAGGTCGCCGCTTCTCTCAAGTCGTTTATGAATCACTTCTTTCCCGCCATCGAAAAGGTACTGTCAGTCGACTCGAGACAGGAGTGCTCCAACGTCATCCGGTCTCTTTGCACCGCGACACCCAAAGGAATTCGCTGGCGGGATGAGCGCAGCTGGATGCTCGTCGAGGAAACAAAGTGGCCCGAAGCGACGACCGAGGTTGTGGATGATGTCGTTCTAACTGGCGTTGTTCGTGGAAAGGGTTTGAAAGCGGACCGTATTGTCCATATCCCCGGCTGGGGCGATTTCCAGATTGATTCGATTACCGCCGCGCCGCTCTCGAACGCCCGGTCCAAGCGTGATGATACTATGAATGTCGACGAAACCGAGGGCACGCAGGTCCTGGATCTTCCCACTGCGGACCGAGATGACATGGCCACAGTGGCACCGGAAGAGATTGAGATGGAGGATGACAACATGTCCATCCCCGAAGACGAGCGGAAAGGTGTGCTTCTGGATGAACATCACTACTTCTCAGATGACGACTCGCATTTACCCGCCAAGCCTAAGAGATTGCCGAAAGGGACGTCTGAATACCAGTCTGCTTGGTTCATCGATGAGGTTTCCGTCTCTGGCTCCGATATGGAGGATGACGACGACGAGGACGAGGCTATGGCCATGGATACCGCTGGAAACCCCGAGGATGGCGTGTTCCCGGATCACAACGATGCTATGACGGAAGCTGGACCTTCTGAATACCCCCAGTCCGAGATGTTCCTCGACCCGTCTCCGGAGGATGAAGCCCAGCAGCTGGAAGAGTACCGGGCTAGCCGCCGCAACGAGGCGTCTGACGACCTGGAGTTCCCGGATGAAATCGAACTTCACCCGCATGTACTCGCCAGAGAGCGGTTGGCGCGTTTCAGAGGCTTGAAGAACTTCAAGACCAGTCCTTGGGAGACTGTGGAGGATCGTGCACATGAACCCGAGGATTGGCGCCGACTTCTGCAGGTTATCGACTACAAGGGCTCCAAGAACAGAATTCTTCGGGAAGCTCTCGTTGGTGGCGTGAGCCCAGGAACGAGAGTCGATGTCCACCTGCGCGCAGTACCTTCTTCGCTCCGCAACCGTCCGCAGCCCTCGTCCCTTTTCTCGCTGCTTCGTCACGAACACAAGCACACCGTTGTCAACGTGAACATGCACCTCAACGCCAGCGTGGAGCAGCCCCTCAAGTCCAAGGAAGAGCTGATCGTGCAGTGCGGTCCCCGCCGCCTGGTCGTCAAGCCGGTCTTCTCCGCGGGCGACAACACCCCCAACAATGTGCACAAGTTCGACCGATTCTTGCACCCAGGACGCAGCGCGATTGCCACCTGGATTGGCCCCCTCACCTGGGGTGCCGTGCCAGTCCTCGTATTCAAGAACAAGCGCACTCAGGACCCTGAGGTTCTCGATTCCGCGGACGATGACACGGAAGACCAGATCCATCCCGACAACCTGGAACTCATTGGCACCGGCACTGTCGTTGCCCCCGACCAGTCCCGCGTGGTTGCGAAGCGCGCTATTCTTACCGGCCACCCGTACAAGATCCACAAGCGGGTTGTCACTGTCCGCTACATGTTCTTCAATTCAGAGGACATTAACTGGTTTAAGGCCTTGCAGCTATGGACCAGGAGAGGCCGCAGCGGTTACATCAAGGAGAGTCTCGGTACCCACGGTTACTTCAAGGCTACCTTCGACGGCAAGCTCAACCCGCAGGACTCGATCGGTATCAGCTTGTACAAGCGGGTTTTCCCAAGAATGGCCCGGGCTCTGGAAGAGATCGTTGCGTAGAATGGTCTTGGTCTGGCGCCTATCAAGGATGTCTATTCGGTGGAGTGCATTTGGTCGGGTTTGCATTGATGGATGATATGATACCACACAAAATGTTCGACTTGGCATATTTTTCATGAGTCCATATGGTTGGGATGCGTTTGATTGGAATGCGGTTCGATTCTTTCCGTGGATTTTTTTTCTTTCTTTTTGACGGTATATAGACAAAGCAGAAGTAGGTAGATTCAGCTAATGAGTTACGATTCTCGAGTTCGGTTCAATTCATCCAAAGTACTCCGTAAAAGGGTGTAATTGCACAGGTTGACGGAGCGAAAGTATCACCTTGCTTCGTCCTCTCACTCATAAAGGCCTGAGCTTCGCACACAATGATCATCACGGCGTCCCATTAATCAACAGATACCCGGCCAGTCCAACCAGGGACATAATAGATTCAGATGTTCATATTCAGCAAAAGAAAAAAAAAGACGGATTGGCGGGCTATCAACTCAAGAGAAATCTTCCTCAGCCTCTTCGATGGTACTCTTAATGCGCAGCAGGAGCGTGGTCTTCCACTTATCCAGCTTGCTGAGCTGGTCGTACTGGAATAATTTATCGGAGAAGGCTTCCTGGTCGCCGGCCTCGACAGCCTGGACCAAGTCGGCGAGCAACTGGTGTTCTCTTGTAGAGATGAATGTGGGATCGATGTCGCGGTAGCTCTCGAGCGCGCGGTTGGTCGCGACCAAATCCTGATAGCCGGGTTAACAAGACGAGTCGACAAAGAATGGGGAATGTACATACCTTGCTGGCCAGGTGGCAGATACCCGCTTTCAAGAAGTAGTCTTTCACAGACCACTTCATCAGGTTGTTGGTGATGGATGACCGGCCGATTCGCTCGTAGTTCTCGATGGCTTTGTAGTAGTCACCCTCGAGAGCGGCGAGGTCTGCGACCTTCAGGTAGTGCTTGTTTGCAAGACTAAAAATCAGATGAGGAATCAGTTTCGGGGACCCTGACATCGGATATTAGACGAGGAGCAACCGTACGCTTCGGCGTTGTCTCCATCAAACCACTCCGCCGCTTTTTCGTAGGCTTCCAGCGCCTTCTTCGTGTCGCCCAGTTCCATCTCATACACTTCGGCCAGGTGTTGCTGCTGCGTGGCCGCCCGACGGAGGTTCCCCTTCAATACATAGTGCTGGATAGCGCTGGAGAGCACGCGAGCTGCATCCTCAGGGTCTGATTTGCGGTACACCTTGAAGGCTTCCTGTAACGTGTTGGCGGCGTCATCTGGTTCGTTGAGGTTCTGTGTCTGGATCGCGGCTGCCTTCTCAAATGCCAACCCGGCTTCTTTGTCTGAATCCCGCGAGCAATGAATCCGTCAGCGACTCCCGTTTTCTGGCTGCTTAAGCTGAGCAGCGGGGGGCAAGGTGCGCCTACTCTGCTTCTGAACCCTGAATGCATTCGCGGCCTGGGTATACAAGTCTGCAGCGTTCTCGTATTTCTCTGACCGGCCGCCAAAGAAGCTGAAGCCGCTCGAGGCACCTTGTAGCGCCTTATCGGCCTGGAGAGGAGCAACAGTGTCAGTGATCGTCACCGGCGGACTGTGAAAGCGGGGAATGAATCTTACTCTTTGAAGCAGGACTCGAGGGTCTTGTGCCATGATGATCGTTGCTCGCACTAACAGGCAGTTTGGGAGGGATTCAAGAAATCTCTATCAGCTAGAGATTCGAAGGTTCCGGCTGTAAGAGGTGTGGTGGTGATTGTTGAAGCTTGAACAACTGAGCTGGATGGTGATGATTAGGGATCCCGCATGCCGACTAACGTAGGCGGTGGGCCACTTTTCGGTCTTCTGGTGCTGTGGTGATTGCTGTTTCTTTTTTTGCTCTGACATCAACGCTCGCATTTCCTTCAGGGGAACTTATAAAGCATCTAATTGAGACTAGATTTCAGTCAGCGGTGACATTTATGTTCCAGAATTTATCGTCTACTTCGGACTGCTACAGCTTCATTTAAAAATGCTACTGCGCACAAGTTCTCGCCTTGCCCGAGGCCTGCTTCCGAGGCGTGCATCCAGATTGACGAATGCACTAGCAAGGCCTTATTCGTCTAAGAAGACCGAAGAAATAGATATAGATGCCGTCCTCGCCAAACCCAGCTGGTCTGTCAAGTCCCTAATTCCCAGCGAAGCCGCTATCGAATCCCACACGGTTACTCCGAAACAGTTATACCACCTTCTCCGTCTGTCGGCTCTACCGCAACCTGCGAATAAAGAAGAGGAGGAGGCCATGCTGAGGACACTCGAGTCCCAGATCCATTTCGTGAAGGAAATTCAACGCGTCGATGCGACCGGCGTCGAACCTCTCCAAAGTATCCGAGACGAGACCCCGGAGGCGATCAAAGAGAGCACCATCGGGTTAGAGCATTTGAAAGAGGCCTTGTCTAAAGAGCGAGTCACTGGAAGGAGCAAGAGGATACAGCGTGTTGAGACCGCGAGAAATGACCGCCCAGATGGAGATATCTGGGATGGAAACGCTCTCGGCTACGCGTCGAAGACGAAGGGGAAGTTCTTCTCCGTAGAAACCGGTACCCAAACGAGCAATTGAACAAACTTCGCCGCATAAAGCTCATCGGACAGCCATCTTGCGCGGTCAGACATAGCTCTCATGTCCCATCCCTTGCCATCATCAACTGGGCAATAGCTAGTCCGCTGAGTCAGCGTCAGATGATCTCATTGGGCCTTGAAGATCAACATGTTTGACACTGTTTCAACTCTCATATCTGCCATGTCATTGACAGTGCTTGGGAAATGACCTTTTTTTTCGACTGTGTTGATTAAATCGGGTTAAATATCGACTCTCACTACAATGTGGAAGAATTTCAAAGAAAAGCATGCCAGCAAGTTTGGGGTCGGGACCTCTGAAGCGACGTCCTCTGAGAGCGATCGTGGTCAAGATTTGAGCACTATCCTGAACAGATCTCAACGCGGGGAATTAACTGTACTGGTAGCTCAAGTTGCGCAGCGTATGCGAAAAGAATTCGAGTTGAACTTTTACGATGCCGCGCTTCCTCGCAAATCAGTCCCTGATCCAGATCATGACACCTTGCATCAATCTACAGATACTCATCAACAGGATCATTCTGTTGGCGCAGAGAAACCCATGAAACCAAAATTGTCGAACAAGGACTTGGAATCTGTGACATGTGCTCTTTCAACTTTTGACGATTGGAGAGATTCTGTCCTCCTTCGTATTGGTGAGGTGGTCAACCGCGACCCGGAAAATCACGATGAAGGGTCCGAGGCTGAGCAAGGCTCACCATCCGAATCTCAATCGCGCGCAGTGCGATCGATGGAGAATGATGGCTCCTTGAGTAAACTACGTGAGGTATATCCGCCAATAGAAACGAGTCTTTCCCAACTCCCTGAAGCAAAGAAACTCTTGGTTCTTCACTCGTTGCTGCTTTTACTTTTGAGTCTCAAACACTACAATGCTTTATCTCGCGTCGTGTTATTGTATGTCGCATCAAGCCTGGGGCTGGATGTCAAATTACTGAATGAAGATGAAGTCAAAGTGGCAAGGGGCCTGCTTGATACTGCGCTCGAAGCCTCGCCCAATGACGAGGCCCAGGATCAAGGTCAGCATCGCGATTCTTCAAGGAAGTGGAAGGTTGGCATAGCATCGGTGGCGGGTGCTGCTCTTATTGGCATCACCGGTGGACTGGCTGCACCTCTCGTTGCGGCTGGACTTGGCACTGTCATGGGTGGTCTTGGACTCGGGGCTACGGCCGCAGCAGGATATCTCGGAGCTCTTGCTGGCAGCAGCGTGATCGTGGGTGGACTCTTTGGTGCATATGGTGGTCGAATGACTGGACGTATGGTGGACAAGTATGCGCGAGAGGTAGACGATTTTGCTTTCCTGCCGATTCATAGTGGTCCTCGGCAACGGACCGAGGACGAAAGAGACGCGGCCCGACAGGACCATCGACTGCGAGTGACTATCGGCGTGACAGGATGGTTGACGGAAGAAGATAATTTCGTGATTCCATGGCGTGTCATTGGCGCACAGTCAGAAGTCTTCGGTCTTCGCTGGGAAACAGAGCCCCTGATGAACCTGGGGAACGCGTTGGATCTCTTGGTAACCAGCGCGGCGTGGACCGCTGGTGAGCAAGTCCTGAAGCAGACGTTCCTTTCACAGTTATTGAGCGCCGTTGCCTTGCCATTCGGCCTCCTCAAAATTGCTCGTGTGGTTGACAATCCTTTCAGTGTAGCCAAAGCTCGAGCGGACAAGGCCGGCGAAGTTCTTGCGGATGCTCTCATCAGCAAAGTGCAGGGCGAGCGGCCAGTCAATTTAATAGGGTATTCGCTCGGATCTCGAGTTATCTTCTCTTGCCTTCAAAGTCTAGCAAAGAGACACGCCTATGGCCTGGTGGAATCGGTGATTCTTATGGGTGCTCCGACTCCATCCAATACTGAGCACTGGCGGCGAATGCGTAGTGTCGTCAGCGGACGCCTCGTGAATGCGTATTCGGAGAACGATGCCGTGCTTGCTCTGCTGTATCGCACCAGCAGTTTTCAAGTGGGTGTCGCCGGACTACAACCCGTCGAGGGCGTCCGAGGAGTTGAGAACTTGGACGTGAGCGATCTGATCAGCGGCCATCTTCGTTACCAGTTCCTCGTTGGTCGGATTCTGAGCGTTGTTGGGCTTGAAAGCATAGATGCTCGTGAGCTCGCCCGGGAAGAGGCTGCATTGGCAGCAAAAGATCAAAGACTAGAGGAAGAACGGGTTCGCAACGAGCGCCAGGCAGAAGTCGACCCGGATGAGAGGTCCGCAAACCAGAAGTTGGAGAACCACGAGAGACTCAAGGGCGAAGAAGAAAGAGCGCAAAGAGCGGCCGACAAAAGGACACATGGACACCGGACGGGTTAAAATTTCTTTGATTTTTGGTAGAGAATGAGATGTGCAGACTATACAATTTGATATTTATTTTTGGGTGTGATATACTGCGCCTTGAGAAGTTGGCCGTTTTCACGAGTATTTCAATCTCTTTTTGAGTGTCCAACTGACATTACTCTGAGCGCACTCACTGATGAACTAATAATACAAGATTCTTGCACTGCACGGGTCGCTAAGAAGCCCGAAGCATCCCGAGTCAGTATCTATCTGTTGGATATGATATAGGTGACGAGGAAAACGACGCGAGTATAATCGAGCTAACTAACATCCGACAGATCCGAGACTTTCAATTACTACCATCAATTATTTCGACTCCCGAGAGGTCTAAGCCTCGGAGATTACGACCAACAGATGCCTTGCAAAGTTGCGATAATCCAACGCGCTATTCCTGGATCTAAAACTGCCAATCAGCCAACCAAGCTTTCAGCGACTCCATCCATAACGGGGGCCGAAAAGCTTGGTCTACGGAGTATAGTGGGAACAAGACCATCGGTCTGATAGGATACAGCGTCTTACGGCCGGAGCTTCAGTGCCACATTGCACAGTGCATTATCTCAGTGGCTCGGTTGCTAATTCTGTCCAATGAAGCTTCAATTGGTTTCAAGTCTGAGCCATGGTCTATCTGACCGAATCCAAACACCCAGATTACTGAGGCTAAGTCGGTTATGGCCCGGAGATCAGGAACATGTGCATAGTGCGCGCATGCATGGTGAGATAATATCTGCCACATCGCCTATCGAGCGTAAGTCTGAGCCCCAGAGTTACCTTGGACTTGATTGCGTGTCCACTTTGACAGTGCTCTCCTGTTATGCCGCTAGAATGACTCAGGTACGCTTCCTTTGCGTCTCTGCGGAGGAATTGCAGACCCCCACTCGAACAACCATTGGCGTGATAGAGGAAGCTCATACTTTAGGCAGAAATAAGTATATATTTGTCTGTCCCTCAGTGATGGATTCTTTCGTTTCGCTTCTTTCTTCCCTTTTGCTGCCCTGACTCCCCGTGTGGTTCTATCTACTGGGCAATTCCTTTATATCCCCATTCTACAGATTTTAAAGTATCCGCAAGGATATTGTAACTCTGAGAATGCGATATTCACTCGTTACCGGAGTGTCCCTTCTGTCCGGATACGCTCTCGCCGGCGTTCCGAACATTGAGATCAAGGTAATGATCCTCCCTTGCTTGGTTGTTCGGATTCAAGACTAAGTAAGGAACGGCAATTGCAGGGCTCCAAGTTCTTCTACGCTAATAATGGCAGCGAATTGTGAGTAAAGTCCGGCGATATATGAACGTGCGCTGATACGATATCCAGCTATCTTCGGGGTGTAGCCTATCAAGGTTTGCATCCCACAGCCACTATTTCTGATTCAACTTTGTGTTAACTAATTATTCATAGAGGACTACAGCGGTGGAGGTGCTGGCGGTACTGGCCAGTCTAGTACCAGTTACATCGATCCCCTAGCAGATGCGGCCAAGTGCGAGCGCGACATCCCCTACCTCGTGCAACTGCGGACGAACGTCATTCGGACATATGCCGTGGATCCTACCGCGAACCACGATGAGTGCATGCAGAAGCTGGCAGATGCTGGGATTTATGTCATCACCGACTTGGCCTCCCCGGATGTATCCATCACGTCCAATGCGCCCGTCTGGACGGTCGAGCAGTATGCCCGCTACGCCAGCGTCATCGATGCGTTTCAAAAGTATGACAATCTGATTGGCTTCTTCGCTGGCAACGAGGTTGTCAACCAGGCAAACCAGTCCGCTGGCGCTGCGTTCGTCAAGGCTGCTGCGCGCGACATGAAATCCTATATCAAGAACAAGGGCTACCGCAAATCACTGGCAATTGGATACGCGACCACAGACAATCCGGAAATTCGACTGCCGCTGTCTGACTACCTGAACTGTGGCGATCAATCGGAGGCGATCGACTTCTTCGGGTACAACATTTATGAATGGTGCGGCGATAAGACGTTCCAGGATTCCGGTTATCAGAACCGAACTCAAGAATATGAGGACTACTCCATCCCCATTTTCTTCTCCGAATACGGATGCAACGACGAGAAGCCCCGCAAGTTCACCGACGTGCCTGTGCTCTTTGGTCCCCAGATGGAGAATGTCTGGAGCGGTGGTATTGTGTACATGTACTTCGAGACAACCAACGACTACGGCCTGGTCTCCGTCGACGGCAACACCGTCAACACCGAAGCAGACTTTGACTACTACTCCCGTGAGATCCAAAGCGCAACCCCAACCGGCGTTAATAGCGCCAGCTACTCCCCCACAAACTCCCCGCGCGCCTGTCCCACCGCCGACGACAGCTGGCTCGCGAAGTCCAGCCCACTGCCCCCGATCCCAAACGCTGATCTCTGCTCATGCATGGCAGCCAGTCTGTCCTGCGTGGTCAAGGACTCCGTGGCCGTTAAGCAGTATGGAGAGCTCTTCGGCGAGGTCTGCGGATACGGACATGGCATCTGCGACGGCATCGCGCATAATGCCACGACGGGCCAGTACGGAGCTTACAGCGTCTGCTCGAGCAAGGACCAGCTGTCCTACGTGCTTGACCGATACTATCAGAGCCAGAATAAGCAGGCGTCGGCGTGTGACTTCGCCGGCGCCGCGAGGGTGCAGTCTGCTCAGGGGGCGTCGGGCGATTGCAAGTCGTTAATTAGTCAGGCGGGCACGGCGGGCACAGGTACCGTCACGTCCCAGCCTACGGGCACGGGGGCCGCTGCGGGCTCTGGTAGTGCAGCTAGTACGTCGACATCTAAGGGAGCGGCTGTGGGTGCGGTGACACCTGCGGCGGTGCGGGTTGGAGGATGGCCGATGGTTGTGTATGGTGTTGTTGCTGCGATGGCTGGTGTGCTGATGATTTCTTTGTAAACATTGGTGGATGTTGGGCTAGTTCGTAGTCTATGATGGCAGCTGGAAGGAGAGAGGGGCTGATAGACATGTATTACAGCTAAGGGAGTATACCAATCTGGCCCAACCCGAAGGGGGTGCTGCGGCCCAACTTGCCTCAGGGGGGCGGAAACAAGGGAAATCATCCAAAAATCCATCTGAGCCTTTCTCGACCTTTGCCAGAGTTGAACTTCTACACTCAAACCGATTTCACTCCTACCAAGGCGATTGGCACTATTCCAAGTGTATCGAAACGACTGGAAAAAAAAAAAAAAAAACCCGAGACAACTACCATATGGGAATTCCACGCGTGGAAGGCTCAACAGGTGGTGGATATGGATAAACTCATCAGCAGGTCAACTGCTCACCTATGTTCAAACCACTCCAAATATCAATAATGGAAGAAGCTATCCATCGCAGCGAACTCCTTCCATGCTTCAACGAGAAGGAGACGACGGCATCGCACAAGACATCATGTCATCTTCAGGCATTCCTGAGAGACGGCGAGTACCCAGAGACACTGCCAGAGGCAAGGGCCTCTTCATCGTCAAGAATATCCTTCGATAGCGTTGTTGGCTGCAATGGTATTTAAGGCTATTCCATTCGTCTCCCCAACCTAGCCACTTAACTAGATATTCCAATTGCTTCTTTGTTGCCTTTCGCACGGCCTTTCTTCACTGATATTTCTCGGTTGTCAATGATCTTCTTGAGTTCCCATGATTGGAATTTCTTGTTGGCATCCACGCTGACAGGCCTGGGTTGCGTAGGTGGTTGTTGTTGTTGTATCGTTTAACGTCCGGCGGAGCCCAGGCATAGCCTGGCTCCTTAAAACCTCCCATGGGGTATAGGGACATGCTAAGCTATGGAATTATGTACACAATGCGTAGGTAACTAGGGAGAGTGTGCAGCCATCGAGAGCACCTCGAGCAATTGCTGTGGCCCGTGACCAGTTGGCTGGCTGACTTAACGACTTGTGGAAGCCGCGAGGGTTGCGTAGGTTATCTTTCAAAGGGATTATTATCATAATATTGTTTAAAATGAGCAATAGATACCACAGGATGCATTCTCTAGTCATCTGGAAAGTCCAGTCTATAGGCAAGGGGACCTATATGCTCTATTATCTTAAATAGTCCAGTGTATTAATTTCCAAGTTTGCGGCCTAACATAAACTGAATATTATAGCTGGTGTGTAACTTCAGTAAGACCTGATTATCCTTATGGAAGGTAACAGGTTTGTACTGTGTGTTATACCCATTCTTTTAAAGTGATTATAGCAAGTCTTAGCACCTCAGTAGCCAATACATAACTGGCAAAAGAGCAGGTAACATCACTGGCGATTCCACGGGCACGAACTGGGGTAGAGTACTTCTGAATAAGCAGCGTTGGGAAATCAAGAAATCCCAATCTATTATCGTCATAGTACAGCCAGAGTCAAGGCAGATACTAGTGGACTGCTTATGAACATTATTGCCTGTACAAAAGCCTGGTTTGGATGTTGCTTCAGTTGGAACAAATAGTCACGATCTGCCTCATAAGTGACTGGTTTCACTGGTACCCTGACTGATGAATATGGTGGTACAACCGTTTTCTTATGGGTATACACTGCTCTGGGTTCCATTCGATAGGGCTTAGGCGAGATGGTCAGTGGCCTTTAATTTATCCTTAGCTGCTGTCATACCCAACGAAGAGATATTTTGACCAAGCACTTGCACTGATGGGGCTGCGCTGGAACGGGCTGAGCGGCAGGCTGGACAGCTGCGATTGTGGGGGAAGGGTGAGTTGAGCGGGTGTAGATGTATCTTTGAAAGACTTCAGTCGGCTGTGGACGTGGGAAAGGGAATTGAGGTTGAGCAGCTATAGAAGGCAAAGCGGCCGTGAGAATGGGTGTTGGCATGGCAGCTTGCACTGTTGGCTGGGGGGCTCCTGTGGTAGGTGGTGCCTGGTGTTGCTGAGCCGTAACTTGCGATGTCCTGGTCATTGGTGCTTTACCCCTGGGATCCAGTGGGTTCATTAAGCTGCTGATTGTCGTCCGCTGCGGTGGAGGAGAGGAACGCGGGTCTGAAGCATAATCATCGTCACGGTCACTGAGACTGGAGCTCTCACTGCGAAGGCGTTGGGTGCTGGGGCCTGCGATGTTGTATACAATAAAAGTCTTTTTCAGACTTAAGGTAATCCGCATATCTGCACACCTTGTAAGAAAAGCAAGTAGATAATGCTTATGGTCTTCCAAGGTATAACTGCGCACAAGCAGGGATGATTCGGAGTGATAGATAAAGGGATCTTGGGAGCGGCGAGGTTGTCATTTAGACCATTTGGCGTATCTCTCCACCAGCCATGCCAGTAGCTGTCTTCCTTCTCCTTGTTTGATTCGCCATCCAGATTGTCTGCTGCTTTCCCTTAGCCTTATTTTGCTGACCAGCTCGGCTCGGCTGCTTTCGATAGACCATGTCTTGCACAACTCTTCGCGATATCGCGTATCCTAGTGGCCTCCCATCTTAACACATCTATTTCCTCGTATTCGAACCTGACGTCTGTACAGTGTCCGGCGGCAGTTGGGTGGAGTGTGTGATGGAGATGAAGTTACCCAAAGAAGAAGAATGCCCTCGCCCCGCCACAGGACTATGGACGTACGTTGAAACATATGAACTGTTTGGTCGGTATGGCCAATTGGTATGCCGTGTCTGAACCAGAAGCATCGCGCAGCCAGGCGACAGGTTGATGTCCAACATTTCACCTGAATCGGGCTTGTATTCCTCAACACGAGAACGCAAACACTTCGAATAGAAGTGAGCGCGTGGGACAAGGGGCAAAGCGGCAACGTGAACGTGGTGGCGCCATGGATTTTTTTTCTGTCTGTCGTATATTTGACTTAGCGGTCAACCCAGTGGTAGGATCGATGATCAAAGGAGGTTGACTTCGTCAAACTTGCGTTTGAGAAGCCACCAGACAAGCCGATTGTGGATAGAAGTCTCTGGTATTGAAGAGAAATTTCCCTTCCCTGCGGGAGCTCGAGTTGAGTTCGGACAAGCCGAAAACTCCCAATTCGAGCCCCGAAAAGAAGAACAAAAGCGTTCCGAATCCGCCTTAGAAAGGCGGTGTTGATTCTATTACTCCCAAGCGCAAGGCTGTTGATCTCCCTTCGCCCCCCCTCGCTGTCTAACAATTTTCGATTGTGTTGTTTATAATCGCAATTCAAGCCTTAACACTGATGATGGTGAGATGTCCGCTGTCAAAGTTGCTAATCTGGAGTCGGGCACGTGCTTCGCTAGGGGGCATCCTGAATCGTTTCTCAATTACTGTGCACCAGTCCTCAACAGTATCCATGTGAAGGAGTCCCCGCCTGGTTAGGTTATCGATCTCATTATTCCACGAAGAGAGGGCCTCGCCTCGAGACCGGTTCGAGACCTCTGCCTGAGAAGTGATACGTTTTTCAGCTGGGTGTTCATCCATCCGAATCCGAAAAATGCCCTATATTTTCCAGAGTGATGAGTCCATCGATGCTAGAAATACTGTATCAGTTTGACGAATGCCATCATTGAGACTATTGCCCGACTTCCGAGGAAAGGAAATGAAGACTCACTTCTCAAATTCGTCCCTCCGGATGTGCCAACGACAGTCTATTATTGTACATACAACTTTATGGCTTCGTAGGAGGAGGAGCCGCGGCAGTAGCAGGCGCAGCAGGCACGGCGGCAGCAGCAGCCTCCTCCTTCGCAAAGACCATCAACCATAACACCCTAGAAGCACGCAAGTCTATACTTGCCTCGGAGAGGTCCGAGGGGTCGGTGTTCCCCATCGTGCTTGCTCGCTGCCATCCAGACCAGCAGGAGGGACTGGAGGGTCTTGCCGAGGCCGCACTGGTCGTGACAGAAGCTGCAGAAATGTCGTCCCGCGAATCTAACCCCAATGTCGCCGTTGTCGCTGGTCCGACGCTCATCCTCTGCCCATCCGGGCTCATTGACACCTGGCTCGCGGAGATTTATGCCCGATTTGGCGATGCGATTACGGTTTTGCTCTTTGACGGCCACACGGCGCACACGGGCGACTTTCGGCGGAAGGGTCTCACCATCAACACGACTGCGGACCAGACCAACCACGACTTGAAAGCAACCAAAGAGACGGCCGCTTGGAAATCTGCCATCTGTACGTCCAATTTCAGTTGCAAACAGAGAGTGACGCGTCTGGTAATCAAACGCCTCATTTTCGATGCATTGAGCTGTTCTTAATCCGTTCCGTTCTGTGGACTAAGATTGGGGAAGGCCTTCCAGAGCATCAGTGGCCCTAAGAAATGCACTGGGAATCATTACCCTGACATTATAGATGAACACATTGCACTGGTTCAAAGTACGACAACAAGAGAGATAATCGAGCCGCTCGGTTCTAGACCTGCTTGCGATATGATGAAGATACAGGTCATTGCAGATCCCTAGAATCGGTAGAGAAACAATGAGTGGGCTCTGTGGTTAGGGTAGAGGTACGCCTGTTCGGCTTTTATCAAACGTCCGCTATGGTCGATATATTCATACCATGGTTTGCCAAGTTTGGGGCGCAGGAACACCGGCTCGTATGCATTAGATAAGAAAGCTAGTCGTTTTGTGCACGTTGCTCGGAAGGCTCGCGTCATGCCGGCCTTGATGCCCGGGAGGTGAATGCCTGTTCAGTGTGAAGGCTCTTCTGGCGTATAAAGTGATGCTTAAACTGCATAAAGGGTATACCATCCAATCCACCCTAGGCCGGCGTGTCATCACATCATCCCAGAGGAGGGCGAGGTATCTGCAGAGATCAAGACTGTGATTGAAGAGCAGTGTTGCCGTTAAGAACTAGATGTAATCAGCCTCCAGTTTAGCCACGGATTGGTGGTTAAGGGTGCAGATTTGTTTGAGGGCGTGGCCCTCGTCAGCAATAACGCGCGCGAAAAAGCCGCGCAGCCTACTGCGCACCTAGTGGATATGGATGGCATATTCGACCGCCTTTTAACTATGGCCAGGGTTCCGACTGCGGTTGAAATAATCATCTTGCAGGTTGGCCAACACCAAGATGGCCCGCCTCTCCTCCTCGTCCTGGACCCGCCCAGATTCCCCGTTCGTAGCTAGGGGAGGTGTCACGGACTGGGACGTTAGGCAATTCATTGTCATTGTCGTTGTCATCATTGTTAACGACCACTTCTTCATCCCTCAGGGCTTGTTGGATTGCTACCTCTATCTTGGGTATGACCTTCTTGATTTCAGCTAATCGCATTGATACCCACTTTTCGGCAGCAACCTCGCGAACTTTGTGTTGGGGTAAGGTCTGTAACGCGTCGTCCATTCGTCCCATGTACCATGGTGACAGTGGTTCCAGGTCATTCTGTATGTTGCGATCGATCTCTGCTCCCTTAAATGTCTGCTCGGTGCGCTCAACATATGATCATGTCCAAGACAGACGAGACGAGTACATCTCCTTCGTCTCTACCAGGATAGTCTGACGTTCTGGTAGGTTAGACAGAGCCTCTTCATGAACTTCTGAGGGAAAAAAGACTCACTGTGCATGTAAACCTGAGAAACACCACAATCAATCAGCTCCCTTGACACAAGGCACGCTGCGTTTGTTATGGCCGTGCGTACGTATATCGGACGCCTTTCCACAAGCCTTGGAAACTCACGCTTGGAAGATGGTTGGTCGTGTATGAGTCCTCCCAGTCGATGAGAGCAGAGATATACCCTTATACTGAGCGTCTCTAGTTTGTTTAACAGAGCGCTGTTCAGAGGGAAGCAGAATAAATTCGGGAGAAAGTGTTAGATAACCTATTCGACACATCATTAATCACTGATGGACCACTCTGTTACGATCAGATGCATCATGTAGTATGGGAATGGCTCACGTGTTAGTCAAGTCCCCTGCGGCATCATCGCCGGCCGTATTATTTGGACTGTCATCAGGATCGGGCTCCGTGTCCCCTGGGTTGTATATAAGAAATGAAAACTCTCAGAAGGGAGGTAGGACAATAGATCAATAGGATATTTATATTTGAAGCGTTGGGAAAATGTTGGGAAAGTAGACCCCAACCATGTTGGGTGAGTCAATAGAACACAGAGAAGTATTTATATATAGTGAATGATCATACCGCAGTGAAGCTATATATAGAAGTAAAGCAGAGCAGAGAATGAAGAATTCAAATGCAAACAAAGCAATAATGGATATGACCTGTTTATGTATTGATGCACGCTAGTAGTTCATCAAAGAAGATCTGCAAGGTTGACCAGGGGGTGAATGTAAGTTCCCACCCCAAACAGGAAAATATGAAGCTATCCGAAACATCATTGTCAACTAGACTTTTACAGCCCGCTAGCCAGCAGAATTTACAGCTGTATGCTTTTCCAATAAATTTCCTCCTCTTCTCGACTGTTCAAGCTCTATCCCTGGATAGGTGGTTTACTATGTTCGCAATCAGCAATTCTGATAGGATGGATATACGCTTTTTCAACGACATCAGGCCCGCACTATGCAATAAAAACTATTTTGATCCTCGCAGTAGATTTAATTCAACCATCTAGCTCAGTAGCATACACGGGCACAATGCAGCCAGCTGCGCATACAAACAGTTATAAGATGACACTTGATCACAATGAACCACCTGCTGCCGATGACCCAGATGCACAAGAGAGCTGGGTCAGCTGGGCCTATGCGGGAGTTCTTCTGATTGGGTTAGTGAGGGTGGTGATGGTGAGGTGGACATTGTTAGACTGGAGGTGTAGGTCTGCCTAGTAAGTGGCTTCTTCAACCCGTGTGAAGATGTTGTATTGTTGTAAATAAGTGAATAATAGGTAGATCATTCTGTCTGTAGCCATTCTGCCATACTTTCTCAGTCTGCTTCACCTTAACACATCTCTTCTCCTAACAGAGCACACGCTGGCTAAATACAGTCTTAATTATTCTTATTCTTCCTATCTTTCTAGACAGCCATCAAGGATCAGACATCAGCTCATGTCTCACAGACGGCCTACTTTGACATGGCACTGTATCAGCTGGCAGGCCATGCGTGGAACAGTATCTTAGAGTCTCAACTCAAGAAAACACTTAAGGAATACCATCCGGACTCTGTCTGATTGACACAGTGTTTCCACTCGGCAGCTCAACAAACGCATTGAAGGGGTACAGAGATGCGGTAAACGATCCCAAACAGCCAGCAAAGCTGACTCTAATGGTCAAGAAAATAATGTCTCTCACAGTATGCAGGATGAGCCCTTACAGATATATGATTCCGACGCTTATCAAGACTAGTTTGAAGGTTCCCTTGTCCCCGTTTCAACACCGGAATACTTCTCCTATCAATCATCCACATAACAATTCGCAATACCACCGAAAAAAAAGGACGAGGAAGGGGTAAAGTGGTGCCGAAGATGACTCATATGAGAGGTTGGAAAGTATCTGCAAAGGCCAGAAGAAAGGCTGGCGCAAAAAAACTCTCCCTGGAGTTAATGTGATGATGCCACAGTGGATGATGCGGCAGTGAGCAGCAGTCAGGAGATGAAGAAACTGACTGGAAGTTGAGAATGAAGACAAGAAAGACATCTCTGCAGGCCCCACTATTAGTATCATCCAATTCCTACTGAACAAGTTCATGATCAAACACAACCTCCCCAATGTGCTACCCTTTGATTCCCTGGAAGAAGTGCCAGCATTGGAAGAAAGATGGATTCTTCACTATCACTACTGTCTAGAAGATTGGGTGGGATACTGCCCTCTGGTAGTATAAGGGATGACCCTCAGGCATTCTGAAACCCTTTGATACTATATGTCTGGCATCTCCCTTACATCTAAATATTTATATTCTACAATCCTTTTAGTTAGCTGCTAGATAGTATTAAATATTATAAATAGTAGTAAAGGATGTAAGGGTTAAGGGGGAGATTAGGTAGCCTTAAATACCTCATTACCTTCCCTAACCTAAACCCCTAACTTTATATACTACCTAACTATAGTATATTATATCTAGTGGTATATCTAAAATAAATAGGCCTCTTATAGCTATTTATAAGGACCAAAGTCTCTATATAAGAGGCTATACTTATTCATTTTTAATATAGCTAAATAGAATTTTCTATTATAAGTTATAAAGATCTATCTAAACTCTAAAAGTAAAATATTAAATAATAAGCTTAAATTATCCTTAAATAAATAGAAATAATAAGAATCTTAATAGTTTACTAGAAAAAATCCTAATAAAATATCTTATAAGTAAATTAATATATCTATAGGATAAGTATTCATATCTAGCTATATTTACTATATATATCTATATCTATATATAGACTAGTTAAAGTTTATTCTATCTACTATATAGGATAGACCTAAGATTACTAAATAATAATAAATACGTAAAGAAATTAATAGATTTAGATAACTAACTTAGAAAAGTGCTATATACTTAAGTACTAGCAAATACGAAATTATTAGTTTATATAATAAAGAGAGAGATTATTTAAGACTTAAAGATTAATAAGTTCTTATATATAATAAATCCCTATAGAAATTTAAAAGTAAGTAATATAGGCTATATAAAGTTATTAAAGTCTATCTACTTAGAATATATATACTTTAAGAACTAGATAGATATATTCTAAAGAACTTAATTAATAGATAAAGACTAGTAAAAATAGCTATTAAAGAGAAGCTATAATCATTATAAACTTTAGTAGTACTAAATTGGAAACTAAGAAATATTAGACTATTAATCTAAAATCTAATTAAGATTTAAAAGGTCCTTAATAAATCTAAGGAAACCCTACTATCCTATATAAAGTTATTAAATTATATAAGAAAATAATAAGATAGTTAAAAATATTTAGGGGAATATTTACCCTAGGTAAGAAAGGATTTATTAATAAAATAATATAAGTAGAGTAAGAAAACTTAATATATTAGAAAAGGATTAGTATAGGTTAGCTATCTTATATAATCTTAAAAGAGATCTTCTTCTAATAGAAATAAAAGGAATTTAATTATATTAGTTAATAAGGAATAAGATAGGATACTAGATAAAGAAATAAAGAAATTAGAAAATTAAAGAGATACTAAAGAAACTAATTTTAAAGAATTATTTATAATAATAATATTACCTATATTAGGATAAAGATATAATATAACTATAATTAAGAGTAATAGATAGTTAGAGAACTATATAAAACTCCTAAGAAAAAATAGAGATTTAATTTATAAACTAATTATATAAAAATTAAAATAGATTTACCTAAAATAAATTAAAAATAATAACTACTATAGAGTCTCTATATTATTAAAAATGAGATTTTAGTTATCTTCTATATCTTATATAGCCTCCTTATCCTAAAATTTAGTCTTCTTATTATATATAATAAGTTTAATAAAAGGATAGAGCTCCTTAAGATAAGTCTTAATATACTTAATAAATAAGATAAGATTAGACTAAAACTATTATAGAATCTTAATATTAGATTATTATATCTAATTTATAGGCTATAGGATAAGTATTCTATTAAATATATTAATAATAATATAAAGAAGAAGTTATAGAAGGCTAAAGAATAATAGGCTTTCCTAATAATATTAGATATATAATATAAAATATACTTAGGATCTAAAGTATCCTAAATATTAGAGATAAATTAATAAATACTATCTTATTAGCTTAAGATTAGATAAGGATTCCTAAAGAGGGTAAGATAATAATAATTATATTAAGAGAACTTTCTAGATTAAATTCCTAATTAATGACATTAATTAAAGATACTTTATTATTATTAGTATTAAAACTAAAGATATAATTATAAACTATATATTTAAAGATTATAAAATAATAAGATAAAGATAAGAGGAGATTAATAGCCTCTTATTTAAAGAAAGAAGAAGTAATATTATCTTTTTAAAATATATTTATAATATTTTTATTATTTTTAATAAAACTTAATTTAAGAGCTCTTAGCTTTTTAAAACTTAGCTTAGATTTTTTTAAGTATTTTTATTATTCTTAATAAGACTTAACTTAAAAATTTATAATTTCTTAGAACTTAGCTTAAGTTTCCTTTAAGAAGAGAAATACTATAACTTAACTAAAATTCCTAAAATAAATCTAAGGTTATCTAAGTAGACTAAAATATTATTATATTATTATTAGCTATGAAGTTTATTTAATAAAAGAAAACTTATTTATTATATTTATTTAACTATATCTTTAACTACTATTAATAAAAAGAGTAATCTTTATTAATCTAAATTATAAATAATTTATATAGAAGCCTTAGTAGAGGGCTTAACCCTTAAAACTTAAA